ATACAAAAGTCAAAAAAAATATTAAAAATATATATATATATCACCTAATATATAAATAAAATATAATTCGACTAATCCTGAAAAAGGTGCAAAATATAATTAGCAATATCATGGTTCAATTTGGTTTGACCGGGTTGAACCCGGTTCTGGAGTGTCAAAATAGATAACCCAACCCATCCAACCCATTATCCAAGTGGATTTAGTGCTAATGAATCATGGATTAATCCAATCTATTTAGAAAATGGGTTGGTTTGATCCATTATCCATTTAATTAGATGGTTTTAATGGGTTAATGGATGATCCACAAACAACTATAACTAAAAATTTATAAATATTAAAATAAAGATAACTAAACAAAATCTATAAACATCACAAAAATCTATAACCCATTAAATCTGTAAAATCGTAAAATCATGTCTTTCCGCCAAAATCGTAAATCACATCTTTCCGCCGAAAAAGTAAAATCGCAAAACACGATTTTTCATCAAAACCGTAGAACCACGTTTCCGTCAAAAACATAAACTCACTGTTTTTTGCAACATAAAATTGTGATTTATGTACAAAACAGTAAACTCGTGATTTTGCGGTTTTGGCGGGAAACTCGTGATTTTGCGGTTTTGGCGGGAAACCTTGATTTTGCGATTTTGGCGGGAAACTTTGATTTTGTGGTTTTGGCGGGAAACTCGTGATTTTGCGGTTTTGGCGGAAAACCGTGATTTTGCGGTTTTGGCGGGAAACATGATATTGCGATTTTGGCGGGAAACTCTTGATTTTGCGGTTTTGGTGGGAAACCTTGGCGAAAAACTGTGATTTTGCGATTTATACCAAAATTGTAAAATCGTTTTTTTGTCAAATTTGTAAGATCATTCTTTTATGGTATTGTATTCAAATCCAACCAAATACAATTTTGGATTTATTATGTGGGAAAAAACATTTGTGGTATAACTGTTTTTTTTTTTTAATAAAGTGGGTTAACCATTGATCCAACCCATTATAAACCAAACAATTTCAATCCAATCCAATTAATCCATCACCCATGTGAACCATTAACCCATTTGGATCCAAATTTTTAATCCATTTGGATTAATAGATAAGATGGATTGGGTCAACCCATGGGTTTGGATCCATTTTGACACCCCTACCGGTTCATAACAATTTATATTTATTAATTTTAATATTTAAAAAATTTTAAATACATAATATAAATAGTTAAGAGTTGATATATAAGTATAAATATAAATATAATAGTATTAGAATAATTAAACTAGACCTAATTTTGTGAAATAATTTATAATCTAATATATAATTAATTAATTGATTATATTAATTGTATATGAACCAGACTGGAAATCCAATCCGGTCACATGTCCGGTTCATGGTCGAACCCGGTCTGACCACCGGGTCGATCCGATTTTTAAAACACTGATAATTAGTCACACAATATTTAATAAAGAAAAAATTGCATTAAAATCTGAAAACTGTTTATATTTTATATTTTGAAGTGTATTTCTTAAAATTTCTCTATTTTGAAATAATTTTTTTTTCTAAAACTTCTTATATATTAGAACAGCGTGAGTAATGATTATTAATTAATAGAAGTTCTATTGTAAATTTGTACTTATAAAATGTCCTATGAATTTACACACTTGCAAACGTTTAAAATGAAAACTAATCCCGCCGTGGTTCTCTGAATGAACTCATTTTGCCGTTGCGTCTTCCGGTCTTTTCTGGTTTCTAATACTCGAGGCTGTATAGATTTATCATCTAGTGTTTGATGATGGTTTAGCTAGCTATCAAGAACACGTATAGAAGTTAGAACACGTAACATTTACTGAGAATATCTGTCGGACACGAACCTACGTGTTACTTGATAAATCAACGTGTTCTTGATGATAATTGCTAGCAAACTACATGTTCTACGTGTTTGATGATCCTTGCAATACATTTATCATCTAGTGGTTTAGCTAGTAAGTCATTTTCTATTAAATTTGCTTTACTAATTACTATTTTTTGTGCGGAAGAAAACAAAACCGTCTTAGTTTGTAACATGCATTCATGTATGATATATATTCCTTTTACTCGTGAATGTCGACGTCACCGTATATTACGTACCCGATGTGACGAACCTAATTCATAAAATATGTAAATACAATTTTGCTTTAATTGTTTTAAAAATTTTAATATAATATCTTATTATATAAAGCTGGATGCGCGCGACGTGGTTGCACACATAGGATTTTTATAAAATATAGGATCATGACATGTGTCACTTTTAAGGTTAGGTCCATTAAAATCGTGACACGTGTCTTAGGAAAAAAGAAAACTTTTTTTAAAGGGAAAATTTTAATATTTTATAATAAAAACGAAAATTTATAAATAAATTGAAAATAATGTTATAAAAAAATTCTATTAATACATTGAATATGTATATAAACTAAATATCCTAAAAGGAATATTTTATATTATATAAAGCTGGATGCGCGCGACGTGGTTGCGACACGTAGGATTTTTATAAAATTTAGGATTGCGACATGTGTCACTTTTAATGTTATGTCCGTTAAGATCGTGACATGTGTCTTAGAAAAAAGGAAAAAAAATTAAAAAAAAATAGATAAAGGAAAAAAAACGAAATTTTAATCTTTTATAGTTAAAAGAAAAAAAAAATATTTGTCATATCCTAATAGAAAAAGGTTTCCCATTCATCAAATTTATATTATCCAAACACATATAAGATTCAAATTAATGAAATAAATAAAATCCTATTAGTACATGAAATAGGTTAGGTAAACTAAATTTCCTATAACTGCATGGAATAAGTTACATGAACCCCTATAAAAAGAGAGTTAAAGTAGTCTTTTTTTCTCATTTACAAACTCATCAAAGCAAACAACATGATAGCAATACGCATGATTTTTATAACTCACAAAATTGCGATATGTGTTTATATTCCCATTATGAACAGGAAAAAAACAATATATAATAAGCTATTGCGATTCAATTATGTGCTTCTATCTTTTGTATAATCTTTTCTCTCATAAAAAATCATGTATTTAAAATTCATGGTATCAATGAATAATATTTAACTCTATATTAGTTGGATAGAAATCAAAATTATTGTCGATACATGTATCTAACTCTATATCGGTTGGATAGAAATCAAAATTATTGTCGTTACATGTATTTGATCCGGTGAAGACATGTTAATTGGAAAAATGTTAAACAGATATAAAAACTAGAAAAATAATTAAAAAAAAACTAACTAATAATGAAAATGAAAATTTATAATGGTCTGAGTCAAAAACAAAATTGAGAAAGAAACAATATAAATAGAAAACTAACAAATTAATTATCAAGCAACTAACTTTTTTTTTGACATCATCAAGCAACTAACTAATATTAAGAAAATATAATGAACCGATATTCTAATTTTAAATAGTTTAATTTTCAATATTGTTAGGTAAAAAATTATTAAATAAAGATTTCATCAATTGAAATCTCTTGAATGGAATAATAAAGTTTTGTTGAATTAATTAATCAGTTGATCATATTTAGACATATATAAGTCTTTCTATATTGGATAAAAATAAAAATAAAACAAATTAATTCATTTTTCATATCATGAATTCAAAAAAAATATCAATTACAATAAAAACGTAAAAAGGTTACCGATCTTATTTTATTTAAATATTTTTATCGGGTTTTTAATATTATTCTGTTTACTTTAAAATGATCAAATTTGGTTTAATACTTTTCCATGATTTTATTACAAAATCTTAAAATAAACCCGCGTATACGCGGGTCTTAATCTAGTGTTACATAAACCCATGTTTAAAAAAATTCTATTAGTACATGGAATATGTATGTAAACTAAATATCCTAAAACTGTATGGAAATAGGTTACATGAACCCCCTATAAAAAGAGAGCTACTGTAATCTCTTTTTCTCATTCACAGACTCATCAAAGCAAATTCAGCAAATCTCTTTGATTCTCTTTCTCTAATTTTAAAATTATGTCTTTGAAAGTTCAAAAGAACAGTGGAGATTATTTGACTCTAGGTCTGGATCGAAATCGAAATTATCGCCGTACTATAGTACGTGTTATTCGAAAGTGGGAAGCTAGAAATCCTAAAGAAAACAATATTCTTATGGGAGTTGACCTTCTATTACTTGATGAAAAAGTTAGTAACATTTTATATTTATATCTTATTATATAAATATGAAAGTTAGATATCAATGAAGAATATTTAATTTTAGATCAGTTGGATCAAAATTGAATTTATTGTCGCAACATGTGTCTAATAATTGATCAGGTGATGAGTTGTGTTAACACAAGAACATTGGAAAAATGTATTAACAGAAAAAAGAAAAGTAACATTGTAAAAAACCTAATTGATATTGGAAAGGGAAATTAATAATGGAGAGAGGCTAAAAAAATATTGAAAAAGAAACAATATAAATAGAAAACAGACAGAATAATTATCAAGCAACTAACTAATATTAAAAAGAAAAATTTATAATAGACCCATTTTATAATTTTTAATAAGATAATTTTCAAGTTTTAAATCGAATAATCAAAAATTTACGAATTAATTAATTGATCAAATTTAGACACATGTAATTCTTTCTAATATTAGATAAAAAAAATCATTTTTTATATTATGAATTCAGAAACAAAATGTGAGTTATAATTAAAATGTAAAAGGATTACCAATTTTATTTAATTTAGATATTTATTATTGATTTCTAATACTATTTTATTTACCAAAATGATCCGATTTTTTTTGATATTTTTGTGATTAATTTTATAAATTTTAAAATAAATCCGCGTGTATACGCGGGACTTAATCTAGTGTATATATAATTTTGCTTTAATTATTTAAAAAAAATAATAATAATATACCGTGTGAGAAAAATACCACGACTTTGTGGTCGGGTGAACAAGTGCACCGTGCCTATAAATTTGATGATGAAAATGTTTTTCCATATCAATTGTAGTAAACATGGAATCCATAGCAGTTTTTGGGCCAAAAAATGGATCTCATCAACTTTTTCTTCCTTCTCCTAACAACTGGTTTCCAGTAAGCAAACTCTCTAGCTTTCCGCTGACGTCAGTTCCCAGTAAGCCTCCAAGGTTTGTTCGTTTGAAGGCAACTTCTACTCCAATTTGTGATGATAAAAAAAGCAATCGCACCTTCGAGAAATTGCCACCTTCTCCATGGACTGATCACTTCAACTCTCTTTCTGTCGATGTCTCGGTAAGTCCATGTATATATAGCTGCTGTATATAAATTAGAGAAGGTCGTTAATGCATGTATACATGTTTTTTGTTTAGGAAATGGATGCACTTAGGAAAGAAATCGATGCATTAAAGCCAGAAGTGAAGAACAAACTCATGTCTTCGCAAGGGATGGAGTCGACAAAGAAGAGAATCCATATGATATATTCGTTGGTGAGCCTTGGCCTTGCACATCACTTTGAGGACGATATCTACGAGACTCTCGAAGAGGATTTCCTAAACATAGAGGAGATTATGGATGGTGAAGAAGATTTGTGCACAGTTTCCATCTTCTTCTGGGTTTTTAGGACACACGGTCACTACATATCTTCCGGTAAAGAAGTATCTTGATCATATGGATACAAAGTGTTTGTTGTCTCTAATTTTTATATATAACAACTTTATATTCCATTCTTGTCATTAATAGATGTATTCAGAAGATTCAAAAAGAACAATGGAGATTTTAAAGAATCTCTGACCGGAGATGCCATGGCTATGTTGAGCTTGTATGAGGCTGCAAATATGGGGACGAGGAAAGATCATATATTGGACGAAGCATTGATCTTTACATCGACCCACTTGGAGTCACTAGCTGCAGGAGGGACGTGCCCTCCTCATCTCTCACTACGTATACGAAACGCTCTCAATTTATCTCAGCACTTGAACATGGAGATGGTATCCGCAGTGGAATACATCTCATTCTATGAACAAGAAAAAGACCATGACAAGATGCTACTTAAGTTGTCGAAGCTCAGCTTCAAGCTCGGACAGCTCCAATACATTCAAGAACTCAAAATCCTTACAAAGTATGTAATATGTCTCCTCGGATTTACTAATATTTTTATGAGTTGACTTACAATAGTTTTAGAGAAGTTATTCTTACCACATATCTATATGCAAGATGGTACGAGGAGCTTGAGTTTGCATCTAAGTTGCCACCATACTTCAGACACAGACTCGTCGAAAATCATTTCTTTGTGCTAGCGATGTGCTTCGAGCCACGACTCTCACGTGAAAGGATGATGATGGCTAAGTTCTTCACCATTTTAGTGATTCTAGATGACACATTTGACAGATATGCGTCTCTTCCTGAGGCTGAGGTCCTCGCCAACAGCTTGAAAAGGTATCAAAACTTTAGGTCTTTATCCATCTTCTAAATTGCTAGTACGTCTTCGGGTAAACTTTGTTTTCAGTTTCTTTTAGAGCTTTCAAGCACATTTATTGCTACTTTGTTGCCTTTAGCTTCATTGCAAAGTGCTATACAAAGTACTGATTGTCTTTATGCTTCCATGTTTTTTCACTTTTTTTGCCATGGGACCATTTGTAAGGTTATCATTTTGTTAACACAATCTGTAAACAAAACCTTTTCATTTTATAATGAATATTTACAATTTAGCAAAAAAAATGATGATAATGATGATGATGATTATGAATGATGGTGATGATGATGCTTTACAGATGGGATCACGATCATACCATGGATAAACAGCCTGACTATTTGAAATTCACGTTGAATTTTATGTTAGATACTTTCGAAGAGTTCGATAGAGAACTTGGGCCAGACGGAAGATCAGACAATGTGACTGCTGCAATAGAAGTGGTAAGCCAATTAAACTCTTCTCCGTAAGTATTTGTGGAATATATATATCAGTGTTTTGAAAACCGGACCAAAAGTATCAACTGATTATTTTTTCCTTAACATTTTTGTTAATTTTCTGTACGGAACAAAACTTTATATAAGTAATTAGGTAACTGCAATTTTGATGTAACATATTACTCTTAAATATAGTAGGGAGAATTTCAGAAGTACCACCTTATGAGTTATGATAACACTTTTAATAAATTTTACTATCTGTTGTCCAACTTGAAAAAAAAAAAAAAAAACTCTTTTTGATACGTTTTCATGAGAAAATACATCCCAGAAAAGTGTTTTAAATTTTCTCATAGTTTATAAAATTTTGAGAAATGCCAAAAAAAATTCAAAAATACTTTTGGTAACTTGTCTTATGAAAGTTTATAAAATTTCTACATTTGTTATCTTATGAAAGTGTATAATGTTATCTTCCATAATTTATAAATTTATTTTTCAAATGAACTCAACAGTATTAAATATTTTATGGAAAAAAGGTCTAGGACTCAAGGGTATGTCATTATTTCACAATGATTATGAAAACCAACATTTTTCTGATCCTAACGGATCTATACTTTTGAGCATTCAGTATAAGACACATGTGAAAGGCAACTATGATCTGGCAAAATGGGCACTAGTATCTCACGTGCCTAGCTTTGATGAATACATGGAGGTTGGTGAGGTGGAGATCGCAGTGTATGCGACTTTGGCAAGTAGATACATGTCTCTGGAAAAGTTGGATTCGAAAGAAGCTTTCGAATGGCTAAAGTCTAAACCAAAAATCGTCCAGGTTTTATGTGCCAAAGGTCGTCTTATGGATGATATAACCGGTTTTGAGGTACAAATACGAAAATCATGTATTTCCATGTTTGTTTTGTAAGTAAATACACTCTACAATCATATTTTACCCAACAAAAAACAAAAAACGCAAATCATTTATTCATATACTTTCTTGTTTTTATACTTTCTTGATCTATCTTACCAACTAACACATTCTCATTATTTAATTAGGATGACATGCGTAGAGGATATGTCACGAATGCGGTATGTTGTTATATGAAGCAACATGGAGTTTCCGAAAAGGAAGCTTTAAAGAAGCTTGATGAAATGGTCACAGAGGCTGATAAGATCATTAATGAAGAGTTCTTGACAACAGTTGGTTTGCCACGTTGTGTTCTTAAGGCAGTCATTGGTCTTTCACGCATGATCACCCTCTGCTACAATGGATATGAAGGATATACCAACCCCGAAGGAAAAATCAAGGAGTATATGATGTCTATGTTCGTCGATCAGATCAGTCTTTGAAGATTCTGCCAAATGTTTTTGCATCTTCGATTTACAAGAGTGTCCTTTGTTCTTCTTGTTTTCTTTTACAACGTCATGTGCTTTGTTCCTACCATCTATCATCAAATCCATCGGTTGTCTTAATTTTATTGTTTTTAAACAAAATATTGTGCGTGTGATGCTATAATGTTGGATGTTTCGTTTTTATAAATTCGAGTAAAATCCTATGTTGATTATTGCTGATCTTGTGGATGACCTAGAACAAGTTTCACGTTGATGATGTGTTGACCAAATTAAATATGAGTGTGTCGTCTATTACTTTGTTGTTCGAATATAGCCAGAAAATGCGCCAAGGCCCAAACGTTTTTGAAAAATGATAATCATATAACAAAGACCCAAAAGAAAAGCAATTGCTCAAGTGCCCTGATTTAAGTTGGGCCGACCCTGACAAACTTATCAGTGGATATTCGATCATCATTAGTGCTTTTGTTCCTAATGGCTAAATGTCATTTCTCAATCGTATATCTAGGTAGTTCGTGCAGGCAGATCTATATGTTTGATCTTGTCATGGACTCCTGAACTTGGGCATGGTCTCATGTCAACGATATTACAATATTTTAACCGATATACTGTATTTATTCCATTTTATATGAAGAAGAAGTCAACAACACTTTGGGTTATATTATATAATACGTGCTAGTCATGACTAAACTAGTCACCGACGTGCAACCCATCCTCCTCCGTATTTAAGTATCAAACTATCAATCAATCTGTTTTAGCCTTTTGCCCATATTGTCTCTTTCTTTACCTCACTCACTTTCAGGCCAAAATATATAATTGTTTTAAAATGGCGACAGATGTTCTGAGCTTTAGGGACGATAGTAGTCAAGAGGATTGGCATGACTTTGAGGTTCTTGGCCGCGGAGATGAGCCCAAGATTCTGATCAAGAAGACGAGCATGCAATCCGACTCCGAGAGACGAATCTCGGTTGATCCTAAATCGCTTTTGTCAAGATCAAACGAGAGTTTCGACATGATCATCTCACGTCCGAGAGACATCGACGACGACGACGTGGCATTCTCATCGTTTCAAACGTTGGACCATCAAATCAAGACGAAGTTCATGAGCTGCAGCGTACCAAACTCAGCAGCCACGTCACCTAGACACAGCACGAGTCTCAACTGGAAGAACAGAACCACTGAGCAAGTTCTTGACCTAATGCTTGTTCAAGACGCCGCCGCTGCGTTTCGAAGAAGCAAATCTTGCGGCGAAGGACGTGCGTTCACGCCGTCGCTTGATTTCGACATGCTATTACATAAATCAAGAAATGCACAACATCCTCAACATCATAATAACAATCATCATCATCAGCATGGCTTCTCTTCCTCTAACTCCAAGAGCCTCTCTCACAAGAGTAGCGGGAACAACTCTTTCTTCTCAAAAACTGAGTCTAACAAAAGCAATATCAACACGGCGAATTCGAAAAGCATCAACTCGTTCGAAGACGGATTCAAATGCAGCGCTCTGTGTCTGTACCTACCAGGTTTCAGCAAAGGAAAACCAGTGAGATCATCTCGAAAAGGTGACTCCTCATTCACTAGAACCACCACGATGACTTCTACTCATTCGATGGCAAGAACCGCTTCCATTAGAGACACTACAGTGCTCTCGGCTAGAGCCTCGCTAGAGCGGTTCGAGTGTGGTTCATGGACTTCTTCGGCTATGATTTACGATGACAATGCGGATCTCGGTGGACATTTCTTCGACTTGCCTTCCGAGTTGATCAAAGGCGGTCCGGGAGGGAACGATCAAGACGATCCTGTTTCAGCGGCTTTCGTGTTCGACAAGGAACCTAATTTGGAGAAAGAAATCAAAGGGGTTTTGAAGACTTCTGGTTCGAAATCGAGGAGATCTATGGAGTCGCCACGTCACGTTCGTTTCTCAACTTCGTCGCCGGTTTCTTTTCCGACGTCTCCGTCACACTCGATCACGCCACGGTTGCTACAAGCCACCGAGGATTTCAGTAGTTTCTTGGAAGCTCAAACCGTGTGAATAATAATTTTAACTGGGAGGGGTTAACTATTTATTTCATTTATTATATTTATTTAATTAAATTATTAAGCTTCTCTTGCCATTCGAGAGATTAATAATACGTTTCCATTGTAAAGAAATGAATACACGAGAGCAAAAGTGAAAAGATTTTATTATTTTACTTTTATCTGTGGGATGTATACGTGCAGTTAATAATAAATGATTTGGTAATTATCAATAGTATTTACTCATATTTTCATATTATTACAAATTTCTTAAAGCTATTAGCAGTGGTGACCACAGACAGACGAGTAGTTAACTGGTTTATGTCATTCTGCTTGATTTTCAGAACTGAAAAATATAACTCGAAATAAAATTTGTTCTCTTTTTTTTTTAACAATAAATTAGATATTTTTTTGTCGTTTTTGATTACTAGGATTGAATTTCTCGCATAATCGCGGAAAACGTAAAATTATTATTTCTATGAACCGATATATCGTATTGACCAGATCAACATACACGTTTAGTTTGCAGAATTGCAGTGACCAACACTTAATGGACATCATTATTTTTATTTCAACAATCGTTCGAAATCATTCTAACCTTTATATTTTATGAACCGACAACAAAACTGTTGTGTTAAATTTATCATGTACTGATTAATTAGTTTATGGAGGTTGGATCGTAGAGGAACCTTTTTCTATCTAGCTATGAGTAAATAAACTCTGTGTTTACAGAGAATATTTCAGCTGCAGAGATCATGCAGCGTCGGCCACTTTCTATTAATAATCTCCGTAACGTCAATATTAAATTTGTAGCCATAAGAAGACAATCAAACATTAAACTGGACCAATGTCATGACATGATACATCAGTTGTACATCACATATATATATATATATATATATATACACACGTATACAATTATTGACAGCCCATTACCATCAACAATTACTACAAAGGGTTTGAAAATATTGATGTGGAAATCAAGAAATGGTAGGGTTCTTGAAAGTGATATAATTATCTTACATGATGATTTGGTGCTGTATACCGTCGGTGAGATCATCTCTGACCGTCAATCATAAAATCATGTAACATGGTGGTGACATATACTTGGTTGTATTTGGTTGACATGATTCGTTGTTAAGCAGTATATTCCTTTGTTGTTTGTTTCTAAAACCAAAAAATAATTTTTTTTTGTTTGTTTCGAGAAAGTATGAATTACCGTGTTTTAAAAATGCTGAAGTTTAAACTCGTATTAAATCAATGAATAGACAATTCCTTCATCATTAGCCACGGCTTCAAAACGTTTTCCAACTTTCCATGGTTCCAAACAAACACCGACGTTTGTAAAATACTTTTGTACAGTGATCACTTTAAGCCTTTTTCATGTCATTATGGGAATACATACATCTAAGCACCTAACAAAAGTTGAGGAAAATATCTAACAAACGTGATTACGATGTTTTTAAAATGAATCGTTAAGAAAATCATTGTGTAGGTCCATATGTAAATCTCGGTGATTTCAACACCGCATATAATATAAGCAAAAAAGAAAAAAACATAGAGTTATTAGGAAATTAGGCTTATGATTATGCAACACTTGTAATCTAGCTTCTGCGACTTGCGAGGTTTAACAGCCACGAAACGTGGGTCCCAGATGTTCCTTGTACATGGGACCTACACGTTTAGGCCCATTCGGTGGTCGTCAAGAAAAGCCTAAACGCACGTTCCTAACCTCCAAAAAGCAAAAGCTATCTTCTTTTGTCGATAATCAATAGTACAACAAACTATAATTAAAGTAAAACTTTATGGATTACTGGAATCAAAGCATTTATAACACTTACACATAGGTAAATGTTTCAATTTATATTGTTAACTAGGGATATGCCGAGTGATGAAAAATGATGCCGAGTGATGTAAATCTAAGCAATTATTCTTCACTAGTTTATACACTCAAAGAGACTTATTTTATGTCCATCAAAAATATTTACCAAGAGTTTGAAGCTGTATTTATGAACCCATACAATAAAAGAATACCCCAAAAGAAAACAATAAAGTAAACATCTTCCCCCATCTTCATAACTTCTTCTAAATCTTTTCTAAAGACAAATACATTCACTATCGATATTTTTCTTCATTCTATATTTTCATTGCCGTGTCCGAATTAGCCGATTACCGATCTTTCTTATCTCGAACGTCTTCACTGCAAGGCCAACATCACGGATCGTAGTGTCAAGCACGTAAGGATTGTTCTCGAACACAACTCTAGAATCGTTGAAAAGGTGACGACAAGGCTCACGGCGCTGAGAGATCGAACCGTGGTAATGGAAGTAACGTATTTTGCTCTCGGCCTTGTGGTATGTTTTGCCTTGCAGATTCTGAGACATGTGAACCCCCGTCGCGAATACATTACGCGGCTGCACCGCGTACTTCCTGTCCCGTCTTGGAACCTTCTTCACATCTCTATATGCCAGTTTCTCAAATCCCCATTTCCTAAAACATAAAAATATTTATAACATCAACACTGAAGTTAACGCAAACCCTAATAAATTTTAAGCTTGACACATTTTTTGTTTTGTTAATTTGACTCTCTGAAACATTTCTAACACACACATACACATCATGTGATGTGAAAGAGAAGCAAATATATGGTAATGGACCGACATGGGAGACTAATACGGAATGCTCAAAGACTTTTCAAGGCCAAGTGTTGACAGAATCAGATGCTCTGTTGTATACTATATTCAAAAACTTGTTGTGATTCTACTCCAAGTCACTCTACCACATGGGTTTTTGGTTAAAGTTCAATCATTGAAACCGACAACGTCACGAGAAAGAAAAAAAACAAGATTCAACTAATCACGAGATTATGAATTTAATTTTTTACCTGTATGTTCTCGCCGGACCATCGCCGGAGTAACAAAGCTTGCTACTCATAGGCATCTGCTCAATAGTGAACTGAGAATATTCCTCCAAAGATTCCATAACCGAATCGATCGTGTTCTTCGGCGGCACATAGATAAACTCATCGACGTCGAAGAAGAACATCCACTTGGACATGAACCTATACCGATGCAAACAATCGTTCACCACCATGAACTGATTATGATAATACCCGTCGAACCGCTCCTGGTCCCTGATATCGTGCAGCGTCACGCGCCCGAGCTCGATCCACGGCCGCAGAACCTCGAACACTTCCCCGTGGATCCCTCCGGCGTCGTGGAGCACGAAATGCGACCGCTCGCCGAAGAATCGGAGGTGGTACGCGATCCATTCTCTCACTCGCTGCGGGCTTAGGTTCCCGTAGAGAGACGAGCCGCAGTAGAGGTAATCGTACTTCTGCTGCTTCGTCGTGGAGTTGTAGAGATCGAAATCGACGGAGTTTGGGGATTCCGTTAGGACTGGGATCGAATCGGTGAGGTTTCGGTCTGGATCTCCGGTGGTGGCGTGGAGGATGAGGTTTCCGCCGGCGTTTTCGGGATTCACGGCGGAGGTTGTCGGGAATGTGCAGTTGACGACGACGGTTGTGTAGATCCGGCCGTATCCCCAATCGGTTAGGATTTTGACGCCGTCCGTCGAAATCGGGTTTTGGGTCGGGTCGAGAGGGACCCACTCGCAGCGGTAGGAAGGATGGCCGTACACGTGGAGGGGTTTCGAAGATAAGCCGATGACGGCGAAAGAGTTGACGCCGCCTCTGTAAGCGCTCATTGAGACGAAGTTGTAAGCTGCAGAGCCGTAGCCAGTAAACGACCGTTTAATAACGCCGTTATCCATCACTCGATCTAGCTCTATAGCCGGTTTCGTCGTCTTCTCCGGTAACTCTTCGACGATGGTGGTGGTGGTGTTAATGGGAACGGCGGAGGAGAAGCGTGAGATGCAGAAGCGGAAATCGGAAGCTGAGAGAGAGAATGAAGAAGGTATGAAAGGTAAGAGAGTGGCTAAAGTGCATAGAACCAGAAACGCCATTAAAATGAGCTTGAGCTCGGCGGAGAAGTTCCATATGACTCCGACGAGGAGCTTCTTCTCCTTAGTAGGGATTTGCTCTTTCTCTTTAACCATGGCGGTTAGTCTTCTCTTCTCCGCTACTGGATCTCTCGAATCAGAGAAGAAGGTGGAAGAAGAAGATGAATAGAGAGTCTCTCACAATGTCTCTCTCTCTCTCTCTATCAATGAGTCGGCGAGTCGAGTCGAGTCGCTTTCTATTCTAGTCTGTGTCTATTGTGTATACACACCTGTTATTGTTTGTCTTGTTGTTACCTGCGGCTGCTTGTATATTTATGCTTTTTATATACATTAATTTTAAACTTTATGCATTTTGACATTTTCTAATGATATTTTCCGAATAAGCAATTTTTTTTATTTTAGTAAGGAATTTTTTTCTTTCTTTCTCCAACATTTGTATTTTAGCAAGAGAGAAGGGTTAACGAAAGCAACTTGTAAACGACTACTATAATTAGACAAAACACTGAATCGATCACTATAGCAACAGAACATTCCTATGCAGTGACAGATTTTAGCTAGGAGTGTGTTTATTTTGATATTCTTTAGCTATAAAATCAAAACTGAACCAAATTTGGTATTATTTGGTCTGGTTTAGTGAGATTTTAATCCAAATTTGATTTTTTTTTGTATATCCTGGTTACAGCATAGTTTTCTTAAATATGTGCTGGTTAAGAAAATAAATAACTTAGCCAAGCAAAATTTTCTAGTTTCGCATTTTAAATCAGGCGGATCGAATTATTTTTAGTCCATTATTTTTTGATTTATAGGATCTTTAATAATCTCCTCGAATAATTCTCTTTCCAATTTCTGTATTATTTTGATTTAGACATCAAAAACCGTATAGTGAAGAAGGTCAGATCATAAAAAGACTGTGTTTTCTATTGAAAAAACTTCTTTCTAAGTTCTATCTGTCAGTTTCGTTCAAAAAAAAAAGTTCTATCTATCAGAAAAAAGCTATTATTGGATACCAAATTAATTACCAATAAAAATAAAAAATGATTAACAACAACTATTGATTCCAGTGTTTTCAGAATTATATATGTGGAATCTATATTGTTCAATGATAGTTTAATAATGCAATTGAAGAAATAATTATATTATTTTATATTTTCACAAATTAGACTTGTGCTAAACGCCAAGTCATGTATATCTATTAACAATAAAAATAATTTATAATACGTATTATTAGGGGCTAATATCCAGCACATTATAAAAATGACTACAGCTTTTGCAAATGATTTGTGTTGTTTTTTTAATCATTGAGAAATTTTATAAAATACATCTTTTGAAGTGCAAATTTTCAAAATTACACCTAAATTTTTATCATTTCAAACCAATTAGCCTAAATTTTGTGTAACCGGTTAAGGTTTCTTAATGTTGTTTAGCTCGAAATTTCATGGTGAAGAAAATGAAATTTACGACGGCTATTTCTTAGTTCTTACGGTATTTTCTGTATACATTACAGGCTTCCAACAACAGCTGTGGGATACGTGGAGCTTCTTGAAGTTTTCCACCTGTCGGTTTGCCAACGTGTCCTTTTTGCTTGGCTTCTCTCCAACGTTTCGTTCCCTTTTTAGCTTTTTCTTCATTTTCCTTCTCTTTGTCGTAACAAAAGAATACTTTTATCGATTTATCCGAAGCTCAGAGAAAGGTCAAAATTAGTTTATTTTCTTACATCAGAGCCTGAGCCTCCAAAGACGACATCCCTTTGCTTTTCCATTTCTCCAAGACTCATTGTTATCCTCTTTATCCTTTTTCATTTTGGGACATTTCTCTTTAATTTACTTTTGGCTTTGTTCAGTTTAGCTATCGGTTGGTATGGATTAAATCACGTATCTACAAAACACAAAGTTACACTAAATCTTGAAAACAATACCATAGGGCCAACGGAGGGCTGAAATTAGCAATATGCCTTCACCAGAACTGCAGAAGCCCATAATGGGTTGTCCGAATAAAAGATCTTTGACGTGTATGATCGATTTGAATATTTAACATGTAGAAAACATTGGAGATATCTGCAAGATGCATGATTTTTGGCTGTATGACCCTAACAAGAATAAAGTAAACAGCTTCTAGCTTTCTCCCTAATCTCATATTTTGGCCAACCTAAGCTACACGTAGGCTTGTCTCACATATACTCTTGTGTAGTCCAAAGTAAAAAGTAATTTTCTGGATTTACTTACCTGTTTTTTTTAGTATAATTAAAAAAAAATCCGAATCATTAGACATAAGTCTCTTTAAAACATGAGGCGTCATGTTAAGTGGTAAGTGCAATGACCTTAGTGTGAAACTCGAGCTCGGATCCGTGTTAATCCTTTGCACCCTGATGATTTGTTAACATGTCTTCCATTAATCTCTCTTACATCTTAATTAAAATTTCATATTATTTTCTTATATAGTATTAATTAAATAATTAATCAAAATATGTTTTGTCAACAAATATGATATGGGTTGAAGAATAGCGTACGTTGTTCGCACGATTTATAATATATCGTTTTCATTGTGGAACTATTTTAAACAACGTATTATGATCAGCCTAATTGAAGAGTGTATATATTAGTTCAATTGGTCTAAACTTCATTTTTGTTGGAAAACTACATCTTCAATGTTTATATATAAATGATCGATTGTAGTATTTACGATGAGATTATGATTTATGATAATTATCACACGCACAGATTATGATACTATATGATAATTATCCCACGCACAAGCCATATGGTGAATATATTGGAACTGCATATATTTGTAACGATCTGAATCTATGACAAACACATCAAGGCAAAAAAGGTTTGTTATGTATAATCAGAAGTATCACAAATTAATGGAGAATTCAATATATTTGGTTAGTTTCTTGAATACTAAAAATCAAGAAAAGCCCTCACAACGTCGACAATTGGAGCCATACAGATCGGACATTTCTTACTACTCCATTGCAATTCATGAGCACATTTCAGGCACGTACACATATGTCCACACCTACAAAAAAAAAACAAAACAAAGACTGCCCAGTTATTATCTAAGCGTTTGCGGTTGCGATTTCAAATCGCAATAGTAAACGCACGTACCTATACAAGAGCGAGTCAACTGGCATCTCTAAGCAAACGCAGCACTTGCGCTGCAATGGATCTTTCTTCGTTTCTACACGTTGTTCTGCAGATGAGCCTAAAGACACAGTTCATCAGTTTTTATTTCTTGAAATGAAATAATTTTAAAAAGTTTAAGGTGATGATAATAAAACTGACCAGAGCGAGAAAAATCTTGTACTACAGATTTCTGGAAGTGAAGTTGCATATCGATGCACGATTTAACAGTATTTCGTAATTCGAGCATTTCTCGTTGCATTTGCTCCATTTGTCCCCTGAGATCACTTATCATCTGCATTTCCTGCGTCTGTTAATGTAAAATCTTAGTTTACTTTACCAACACGTAACCTAACTTGACGGAGAAGCAGACCAAAAACAAGACTGAAACTCACAGGTTGATTTGTGGGTACTGGAGGCTCAGGAAGAGACAAAGAAGTCGTCGGTTCCTGATCCTTGTCAATGTCGTGATCCCTGAAACTCCACGACATCATCAACGTACTACTCCTTACTGATGATTGGCTGAAATTGTCGCTTGCATCTTCGAGATTTGTCTTCTCTGGTTCTTCCTCTGTTTCATTATCTTCTTGGTTCCTTGGTGAACACTCTTCCTCCCATTCTTCTTCTTCTTCATCTTCATCTCCTTCTTCTTGATTGACTGGTACGCGTATGTGATTTTGCACTCGACTGATCATCAAGTTATCAATCTTTTGCCGCAAATCGCTCGTCAAAAAGTCGGAAACTGTTCGTCTGCGCAGCAATATGAAAATTAAAGTCACATACATTCTCAAAACATCAAAAGTCAAGTGAGTTTCCAAGTGAAAATATATTAAGTACCTCTGAATGAGGTTGCAAATGTCTTTTTTCTCTGATTCAGCGTTGAGAACCTCGAGATACCTTTCTTTCCTCAAATCTTCCCAGTAACTTCGAGGCCGCGAAATATCATTAACCCAGTCATAACTATAGTCTCCACTGTAATGATCATAATCTCCATATTCGTCTTCTTCTTCTTCTACTTCATTTTCTTCCCAAACACTGAAATGCTCTATTGCTGTTTCTTGCACATTTTCTTCGAGATCTACCTCCTTTGTTACTTCATCCTCAGATTCTTTAGCCCTCACTCTAGAGCCGTCACTTGCAGATGCTTCTTCTATTACAATTTCTCGAACATCGTTTCTCTCAATCTCTTTAGTAGACTTAGCTTCTGGATTTCGCAGAACCGAAATCACTTCACCGTGTTGTGAAGAGTTTATAATCTCTTTAGCCCTCTCTCTAGAGCCATCATGACTCGAAACTTCTTGAGGAATCATGTTTTTCACCTCAATGATCTCTTTGGACTTAGCTTCTAAAACACCAAGATCTTCCTCTTTCTTTCTTCTTCCTTTATCTTCAGACTCGCACTGCTTAGTTTCTTTGTTTCCAACTACTCTCTCCACATTTTCCTTTGAAGTAGTGATGCTTCTCTCCGCGGTTTCGACATTAGTGATTCTTCTTGAAGCTTCTTGCAAGACTTGGTTTGTTTTGGCATTCGCTTTGCCTCTATCAATAGAGTTTCTCCTATTCCTTCTCTCCTTGGAGTTCCACATGTTCACCTTCTCAGCTATTCCCATCATACTGTTTTCATCTACACTTTCCTCCTCATTAGGTTTTCTCAAACCATTCTTGTTGTCTCTAGCTTCAATATTAGCTCTTGTCTCCTGCAAAACCTTTTCCTCTGCTTGTGCATTAACTTGTTGAGGATTGATGTTTCTATCCACAGTCTCTTTGGACTTAGTCTCTACAGAGACAGGGTCTTCCTTTTTCGTCCTTCTCACTACTTCCTCTGCAAACTCGCACCGCTTGATCGTTTCCTTTGAAGTAGCAATGCTTCTCTCCGCACTTTCCACATTGATGATTCTTCTTGCAGCTTCTTCCAACACTTCAATATTCTTCTCAACTCTCTCAGTTTTAGCTTTGCCTTTTCTCCTGTTGATCTTCTCCTCTGAGTTCCATAGATTCACCTTCTCAGCTATTCCCATCAAAGCCTTCCCTTGAACACTTTCTTTCTCCTTCATCTCTCGCTTCTCGCCTCTCCCTTCTCTGCTTTCTTTCTGAATGGTTTCTCCTGCTGGTTTCTTGTTCTCTGCATTCTCACTGAAAACAGCTTTCTTCACTGTTTCCTTAGCAATAGCTTTAACGTTTGTTTCTTGCTTCTGGCCTCTCCGTTCCCCAGTCTCCTTCTGAATAGTTTCTCCTGAAGATTTCTTGAAGCCAATCTTGTTCTCTGTACTTTCACTCAATACAGCTTTCTTCACGGTCTCCACCGCAGAGACCACCTCTTGAATCTCCTTAATATCACTCTTCTTCTCCATTGTTTCCTGCAAAACCTTCTTCTCTGCAACCTTGGGAGCGTCTTTATCCAGACTCCGACCCCGAGAGATAGACAAAACTCCACTCTCAATGTTTTCAGAGTTTGTCTTATATTTCTCCCTGCATTTCACAAACTCCATAGCTTAATATCTCCCAAGGACTCCAAGAAATAAACAAAAAAGACAAAAAAATTTGGTACCTGAGAAGATGCATCACACCAGACCCTCGTGGAGACCGGTTTAAATCAGATGTTTTAGACCGATGTCTATCTTGAATCGCAATGCACCTTTCGTAGCACCGAATCCTAAGCGTCGACTAAACAGAACAAAACAGAACAGAACAATAAACCCTAATTTAGCCCTAAATGTTCTTACACCAATCTTGATAAGAGATGAAGCAATGATACATACCTGAATCCGTCCTCGATGCGTGAACTTGGAGACACTGTGTCGTTCTGATAAAGAAGCCAATTCCTTTTCTCGATCACGAGTCATCTGCACCAATAAATCCGCAAAAGCTTGTCTCCCTCTTATTCTTGGGGAACACGCAACTTGAGGAAAACTTCTCGCTTCTGTCGTCTGAATATCTTTGGCATTGTCGTTGCTGCTGCTTCCGTTCTCGTGATTAGCCGTTGTTTCTGAGTCGGTGCTTAGTTTCCGGATGATATCCATAACTCTTACCCCTTCTCTTTCTTTCTCTCCAGAAGCATCTGGTTGCGGAGGAACGAGTTGTGTTTCACATTCCATCTTCTCTTCCTCTTCCTCCTCTTCATTGTTTCCTTCTTCGATCGTTTGAATCAATTCGGGTTCGTTGAGAGACTCGGAGTACTCTAAAACGATTGATCCGGAACTCGTTCTGCTATCGATTAGGGATTGGTTTTGGTTAGGGTGCTGCGTTGTCCTCGCCTCCCATATCTGAACCAGACAAGAAGCCGCCCTGGTTTCTTTTCTCTTATCGGGTTGACCCGGATTGTTAAAATTTGGATCCGGGTCGGATCCTAGAGGAGACGACGAGGGAGCTTCGTCTGTTTTCGGGAGCCGATGATCTGAGAGAGAGGATTTGCTGTTGGAAGAACATTCCGGAACCGATTTGGTGGAGTTGTCGTGACAATTCTCACCGGAGACGACGGTGCAGTTTTCGAGAGGATCTCTGACAAAAACTTTGAGATTCTTCTCGAAGGCCACGTGTATGTTTCGGACATTGTTCTTGTTCTTGTTCTTCTTGTTGTTGTCTCCACGGATGCATCTCTCGTGAGGGCTCAGTACGCAATTAAAAGTCTGGCATGAGGACATTTCAACCTCAGAGGACGCCATTTCCATCAACAACACCCAAATCAAAAACACACAAATCCTATTTAATCGGATCTTTTTTCTATAATTTGTCTTTTGAATATAAATGCTCTGATTCTTATTGCTTGACCCCTTCTGGGGAAGAAGAACATGAGCATCGAAACAGATTAAATCTCATTTGATTATGAAGATTTAAGATGAAGTTTTTGATTAAAAGACAAGAGGAAAGCGAAGAGACAAAACAGAGGAAAACGAAGAGACAGAGCCTGAAACAGAGCAATGGAGAGGGAAAAAAAAAGGTTAGAAGAAAAAAATAAAAGTCTTGCTGTTTTTCTCTATTCTTCTTTTTTTGTTTTTTTAGATTTCGATGTTATTATCATCCACCAAGATTATTTAGCAAAATAATATTTCCTTTTGGGAGAGAAAGAAATAATCTAAAAATAGGTTTAGTTGATTCTTGTAGATGTAGTTGTAACTTTAAAACTTTAAGAAATGGGTTTTTTTAGGGTGAAGAAGAGAGACAGTGTCAAAGAAAGAGGGAGAGCATAATTATGGCATTTCTCTAAATGGGAGTTGACTCGTGTTTAATTTATACATGAATAAAGCCTTTTTTCTGGGTCAAATTTACTGATAACATTTAGAGCCTATAAGCACTATATTTTTCTTTTTCTCTTCAATGGATTAAACCAAGCTACCCTTAAATAAACTTTAACATTTAGTGTATTCTAAAGTAGTTTAAGTTATTTAAGATTAAGGAAGTTTTTAATATTGCTATGTTCAAAGAATATACTTTTTTTTTAATAGATTTTCATGTGAAACTTTTTGTTCCAACTCATTCATTAATTATATGTAAGCAATCTTAGCTAATATCCCATAATTATTATGAATAAACCATTAGCTATTTTTATAGATTTATGATTAATATCAAACAACTTTCCATTTACTGTATATGGTAACTCAAAGGAATAAATTTCTACTCTTTGACTCGTGTGATTGACTAAGATTTTTTCTAAATCATGATTATATTGGGTAGATTTACTCAAAAATCCAATACAGTATTCTGATTTTTTTTTTCTAAATTGAATAATTGATTACTAATAAATATGGTAACTATTTTTGGATTGTCTTTGACTAAAGTGATGGTGAAAGTTAAGAAACAGATAGAAAACAAAATTAGAGTTTTTGACGCCTGGAGTCAAAGTCTGTTCCAATTAAAAGTGTATTAAGCTAATGTCATTTCTGTTAAAAACACGTAGTACTTTTTATTATTGTTAGAACAGTTTTACTTACTGACATTTGTAACACTTAATGGGCTGCCTTAAACTTAAACATATATGACCTAAGATTCAATTCTTAATATGATAAATATTCAAACCTATTTTAAGATACGTGTCTAGTTAAAGGATTATTCATTTATTCTTTCAATTTTTAAGGATAAGTGACTAGATTTAGATTATACATTTTGCTTATATATATAGAATTCATTGATTTTAAACTATATATTATATAAATTTTATCAGAGATTTTTTTATATATATAAAAAAAGAGTTTTACGAGAGATCGGCCTTCATCTATCCACAATATGGGCCTTAATTTGGGCTTCTTGGGCTCCAGTCCACACAAAATCATATTTTTTGTCAATAAAAAAAAAGAGAGGAAAGAAAGACAAATCACACACTAATGTATGTGGGCCCAACGTGGTGCAGCTAAGTCACTAAACCGGAGATCGGAGACTCTGTCGACTGAAAAAATCCAAAATCAACAACAAATTTCAGAAGATCGAAAGAAGAAACGATGCCTCTGAGTGCGACAATGGTCGGAGCTTTGCTGGGTCTCGGTACCCAGATGTACTCCAACGCTCTCCGCAAGCTCCCGTATATGCGCCGTAAGTCCACGAATCGAAATGCAACAACAACAACCCTAAATTTGTTTTTTGATCCATTTCGTTTTGCCGATTGTTGAGAGAATTCGATTCCGATTGGATTCTGGTTCTGATTTTTTGTGTGTTTGAGATTTGTAGATCCGTGGGAACATGTGGTGGGTATGGGACTTGGAGCTGTGTTCGCGAACCAGCTTGTGAAATGGGATGTGAAGCTCAAGGAAGATCTCGATGTCATGCTCAACAAGGCTAGAGCTGCTAATGAGCGCCGTTACTTTGGTATTTCTTCTTTTTTGTTTCCTCCTTCAGCTTCTTAAATTTTGATTTAAGTCTGTGTGGTTGCGGATTTGCTTGTTTGTTTTGTGGTCATTTTGAAGAAAAAGAAAGTGATTTCGGCATTGTTTGATTCGTGTTTCGCAATGGTGAAATCAGTGTTATTAGGCAAAACACCTGCAAAATTACACTTACATCATTTTCGTTTTTGTGTTTTTGTTTAGTCTATAAGGTCAATTGATCGAATCTCTGTGCAGCTTAGCTCGTTGCCAATTCGTTTAGTCAGGCATTATTACGAAAGTTTAGAAAATTTTGAGCAACAGAATGTTTTTTTTTTAAAACAAAGCTCTCAATAAGAGTGAAAAGATTGATACTTTCTATTATTTATTTGGATTTTAGAGTTAGATAGGCTGCAACTTGAATAAGTTTGCATACTTAAGACATTGATCTTTTACTTAAATCACTTGGAATATTCAAACTTTTCTTTTGTTTTTGTTGTAATGCAGATGAAGATCGGGATTAGTTATTGAGTGACCACTGAAGTCTTCCTCTGAAGTCATATCAAATGCTTGTTTTGTTTGATCTTCCCTGTAAAAGCTTTTCTTCTCCTTTTTCTTAGAGCTGGTTCTCTTTTGCTTCGGCACTTGAGTTCTTTTCATTCACTGTTTTTGGTTATGAACCTAAAGATTTGTGTTTTTCACAATCTGAATAACTTCAATCTGTTTGTACCTGCCTGGCTAATAATTTCAAATGAAAAACCTTTCAACGTCATCTTCTTGTGCTAGATAGGAGGAGAATTCAAAACACTCTTTGATTTAGTGACTTACTATTAGCCGATACATATATGCAAATGTGCAGTTTGAAACAACAAGGGTTTGTGGAACTACAACTCTCTACAAAGCAAATACATACAGAATTTCAGAAAAAAAAATTACAACAACTTTGCATTTTTCATGTCCCCAAAATCATTTGCAGGCATCATCAGTCTTTTTACAGCTTCTTATAACCAGCCGTTCTGTTGTTGAAGACATGGAGAAGGCTATCACATGCTTGTCTAGAAGATGGTCTCTCCTGAGGAGAAGTCTTCGTGCATTTAAGTGCAATCTCAAGCACCTGATAAGCTGCATCTTCTTCAAATGGCAACATCGGCTTAAGCTTCGGATCAATGAGCTTCTCTCTTGCGGAACCGGCCATCTCAAGACGTGTTTCAACCCATCTCACCATGTCCATCTCTGCACCAAACACTGACTCTGTTGGCATTTTCCCTGTCACAATCTCCATCAACACTATCCCCATACTGTAGACATCGCTCTTCTCAGTCGCCTTCAACGAGTAAGCATACTCTACAAAACCAACACAGTTTCAAAACTCTTTAGATTTTTAAACAATGTCTATGCAAGAAAAGCTAAAGAAACTTGACAAGAAGATGTTTTTACCAGGAGCAATGTAACCGTAAGAGCCTGCAAACCAAGTGTTTGATTCTGTGTTGGTCTCATAGTTCTCAGTTAAGACCTTGGCAAGACCGAAATCTCCTAAATGTGCTTCCATGTTGGAATCAAGAAGCACATTGCTGGATTTAATATCACGGTGAACGATCGGAGGAACACAGTCATGATGAAGATACTCTACTCCTTGAGCCAACCCCACTGCTATTCTCAACCTTGCTTCCCAGTCTAAAACCTTCTTCTGTTTGTCAACCGCGGTTTTGTCCTCATCGTGAAACCAATCCCAAACGCTTCCGTTCTTCATGTACTCATATATCAACAGATTCAATCCTTCTGACTTGCTGCTGCAGTAACCCATCAGCTTCACAAGATGCCTATGTCTTACTCTTCCAAGCGTCTTAACCTCTCTGCTGAAGCTCTTGTTCGACATGAGATCATCTTTCCATAGAATCTTTTTCACAGCAACAGTCTCACCGTTCTCAAGCTCCGCCTTGTAAATCTTCCCTGATCCTCCTGATCCAATCATGAACTCATCGCTTAGATTATTTGTAGCTTCCATGATGTCTTCCCACTTGATATCCGACTTTGAGTTAGCTCCTGTCCTAAAGAGAGGCTTGTTCGTAGCCTGTGAAGAAGAGCTTGACGACGAGTAAGCAGTGCTTCCATCTCTCACTTTCTTGAAGAAGTCATGCCTTTGTTTGAAGAAGAGAGCGATCACAAGTATCATCAAAGCAATCGCTGCCAATGCTGAAACTGCTGATATCGTCACAACTGATTTTGCACTAAGACCTTGTTGCTGCTTGTTGTCTCTTCCAGCTCTGTTGCAGTGACTTAAAGGGCTTCCACAGAGACCTGTGTTGCCTGTAAACGAATCAGCAGGCCATCTTGAGAACTGTTTCTTGAGTTTCCCTTCAAAGTTATTGAAAGAGAGGTTGAGATATCCCAAACTCTTCATGTCCCCTACCGCGCCAGGTACTTCCCCGGTGAGCTGATTGTGAGACAGATCAAGCGTTTCCAGCTTGAGCAACGTCCCTAACGTAGAAGGTACATCTCCGGTGAAGTTATTGTAGCTGAGGTCTAGAGAACTTTGAAGATCTTTAAGCTGTCCAATCTCAAGAGGGATCTCTCCTGATAAACTGTTTCTTGATAACCGAAGCTCGTAGAGCTTGCTAAGCTTGCCCATAGCTTGAGGAAGAGAGCCTGAAAACTGGTTCTTGTCAAGGTTAAGTACATTGAGAGCTCCCAAACTACCAATCTCTTGTGGTATTGACCCGTTGAGAGAGTTTCCATCAAGAGACAACACAAGCAGCTTTGTGCAGTTGAAAAGCTCTGTTGGTAAAGAACCATCAAACTGATTAGAAGAAAGCTTGAGCTCTCCTAACAGTGAAAGCTTTCCAAGCCATGGAGGTATAGGCCCTGAGAGGAAATTGTTGTTGAGGTCAATGTGTGTCAGCTTCTTGCACAAGACTAGCTGTAACGGAATGGTTCCTGTGAGAGAGTTGCTTGAGATATCCAAGAGAGACAGCTCGCGGATCTTGCCTAACGTCCAAGGGACTCTTCCTGTGAACTGATTGTTGCCTAGCCTGAGACGATCAAGATTTGGAGAGTTTCCTAGCTGGAGAGGGATCTCATCTTCAAACCCGTTGTTGGTTACATCGAACGAGAGGAAAGAGCTCGAACCGCACAAAGGAAGGATCGTGCCGTTGAGGTTGTTGTGAGAGAGATTGATTCTTGTGAGGTTCTTCAGATTGGTAAGTGACTCAGGAAGGTTCCCTTGGAGAGAGTTGTTGTAAAGCATGAGCTGTTCTAATCCTTTTAAGAACCCGAATGACGAAGGAATCGATCCGGAGAGCGGATTGTCTGCCAAATCCAAGATTTTCAGTTGGTGACAGTTACCTAACGTGGCGGGAAGGTTACCAACGAGCTCGTTCTGTCTAAGGTGAAGCAGAGTAAGCTCTTTTAACTTTCCTATTGAAGGAGGGATCTCTCCTTCGAAACGATTCCCGAAAAGATCGATCATCTTCAGGTTTGTGCAGTTTCCGATCTCTTTAGGGATTTCTCCTGAGAAACGATTCTCGTAGAGAAAGAGGACTTGTAGTTTCTTGAGAGAGGTGATTTCGTTAGGTAACTTGCCTTCCAAGTTATTGTGGTACAAGACAAGCCATTGTAGATTGGTGAGGTTTGATATCGACGGAGATAACGTACCTTCCAAGGTATTGTTGTGGAGATAGAGATCCGTGAGTTCGAGTAACTGGAACAGTGCTTCAGGGATCGAGCCAGAGAGAGAATTGTTCGATAAATCAAGCTGTTTCAGCGATTGGCATTTGCTGATTTCCGGAGGGATTTCACCTGAGAGCTGAGTTTCAGACAGAACGAGTTGCTCCAAGTTTGTGTTGTTCGAACATACACTCTTTGGCAAGGAACCAGTGAGCTGGTTGTTTGCTAGAACCAAATCTAGAAGCTGACTCATGTTCCATAATTCTTCAGGCATCTCTCCGGTGAGATTATTCGCCGATAAATCAAGTGTTTGAAGATTTCTCAGATTGGTTAAAGTCTTTGGGATAAGACCTTGAAGCTGATTTTCCATCAAGTTAAGATATTGGAGTTGGCTCAGTTCTCCGAGTTGACTCGGTATCTCTCCGGAGAGACTATTGCTCGCCAAATTGAGTATCTCGAGGTTTTCCAGCTTTCCCAACTCCGCCGGTATCGTCCCGTTGAGCATGTTCGCAGCTGCGGCGAGGACTCTGAGGTCGGAGCAGTTTCCTAAATCCGCCGGAATTGTTCCGTCGAGCTGATTGTCCTGAAGGATCAAGGACTGAACATTCGTGAGTCGACCGAGTTGACTCGGTATTGGACCGGTGAGTCTACACGAGGCGAGAGCGAGCATCTCGAGATTGACGAGATCTCCGAACGTCTCCGGGATGGTTCCGACGAGCTCATTGTCTCCGATTCTGAGAGAGCGGAGGTTGACGAGTGAGCCGAGCTGACTCGGGATCTCGCCGGTGAGTTGGTTAGAAAAGAGAAAGAGAGACTCCAAGGAAGAAAGGTTGGAGAGAGCAGTTGGGATGGGGCCCGCGAGATTGTTGGAAGATAGATCGAGGTGGATTAGGTTGTCAAACCGGCCAAACGATGGAGAAATCGAACCGGTTAGGCCTAAACCGGAGAGGTTTAGCGCAGCGACGCGGAATAAACCGGTATCGTCGCATTTGACGCCGGTCCAAGAGCAGAAATTGATGTTAACGGAGCTCCATTGTTGGAGAGGATCGTCTTCTCCAGGATTCGTGACGAAAGATTTCTTCACCTGTAGAAGATTCTGAAGATCGTCGGTCGGACCGGATTTACACAAAATCGAACCGGGGGAAGAACAGAGGACGAACAGGACGAGAAGAAGAATGGTATGAAGTGACTGCATGTTTCTTTCTCGGTCTTGGCTTCTTCTTTGCTGTGGTAATAAGAAAGCGATGGGAGTTTTACAATGGCGTAGAGTCTTTAAAATGGCATTATTTGATTCTTGTTGCAGAGACTGATGAATGAGAAAGATGATTGGTCATCAAAACGGTGCTTTGAAATTTAATGTTATCCCTCGAGATTCTTTCTCTCTCTTCTGTGTTTTGTTCCTTTCTCTTTCACTGTTTTATTGAGAGAGAAAGAGAGTAAATGAAGAGATGGGACAATGTTGGAGAGAGAGAGAGATGGGAAAATGGAATGGAAAGGCTCTCGTAAGTAAAAGTTTCAATCAGCTTTTTATTAATGGCGGCAAAGGTCAACGGTCGTACAAATTTGTATGTGTGTGTACATGCTTGTGTCCGTGTAGACATGTTATTATAGTACAGTGTATGTTACACTTATATAAAACTGTGCCTAAACAGTTTGACAAACATTGGTCTTCTTTGGAGATCTCGTCTTCTTTGGCACAGATTACAGATATATAAATAATGAAGTACACATTTTATTTGTATCAAGCTTGTCAATTAATAGTTTTTCATTAAAAATCTTAGCTTACCTAGTAAAAGCCATTGCATAATGCATTTGATTTTTTTTTTTTTAAACTTATCAATTCTCACTAACGTTATATAGATCAGTGAATCACTGACTAGTTAGTTTAAAATTAGATTCATGCATGAATGTTGTAGTATATTTTACTGATCTAGATAAATCACAAATCAGAAGTTGCGATCATATCTCTTCAGTCATTCCTTCGTTTAAATGAAAAATTCGCAATTCGCTTCGAAAAGAAATATTGAAGTCATTACATTTCACAAGTTTTCTCATTTCATAGTAATATTATCTATGGAAAACATGATTACTACTCAGAAATACGTCTCTCAACTCTACACGATATCTCTTTTCTTCTTTCATATAATTGCCTTAAGAATAAGACGCAATCATTTGGTTATATCAAAACCCAAAACTTCTTGAGAACCTATAGTTGTTTATCTTCTGTTACTTGTCCAGAAGTTAAGCTGTTTAAGTAATGTTACTAACATAAAGGAATAATTTTTTTTTTTTTTCTAAAACAAAATTGATGATGCATGGCTTTGACCTTGGCCAAAGAAAAAGAGTGGTTGAGAAAATGACTTGGTTGAAGGATTTTTTGTTCGATTCTTTTTTCTTTTTGCTTTGGTTTAGTGTGTTAGCTTCTCATCGCTTCCACCTTTTCACGATAAAAAGAGCAGTTGTCTTTCCATTTTTATCTTTATAATGTACATGAATATGTCATCATATGATATCATATTACTACCGAGTCAAATGAAATTTTTTTTATCATTAATCTTTTTTTCATTATTACCCAAATTCGCGACATGTCAAATTGTGGTACTTTCCCAATATATTTTCATCGAAGTAAAGAAACTAACTCGTGAATTTTGGAACATTTTCGTGTTCGTACTATATTGTTTCCTCCATTTCCATTAATGTTTTCAGTTTTCATAAATAATTGTGGTTAGCTTGTAGGCATGATATTGTTGTCGTTTCGGAATCTAGCTTGAATTTAAACACTCCCTTCTAATTTCAAAGAAAAATGGAACTATACATTATAAAAGCTTAATTTACGTCATTTTCAAATATGGTTATTATATATGACTTTGGGTTGACTGTGATAATGCAAGATCGAATCAAGTTTACGTACAACAACTTGTTCGATAATTGAACGGGGAAAACTAATTAAGAATATTCTATTGATCGAGATTCTAAATCCAAAAGAACGAGACAAAGGAATTATCTTCGATCCACCAAAAAGGTCAAGATTCTTAATTATTTTTATGTGTTGTTTTCTATTGTTTGGTTGATTATACGTAATGTTTAGTTATATAATACTTATCTTGATCTTAAGTTCAAAGTAATATATTAACGAATTTCATTATGCATGGCAAGAAGTGTGAAACATAGAGTAGTTTTAGAACTTGTTAATATAATTATTAAGAACCATGTTAGTCAAAAGATCAAATAAGTAGCCAAAGGTATAAAATGGATTGCTTATTGTTCTGTATAACTCAAGGTAGGTTTGATTGGTTTGGACCGTAACTTTTTTTTCTTTGAAAAGAGTAATGCTAAACAAAGAGTAGAAGAAACGCAATATGATTTGATTGGTTAATCTAATCAAAAGGTTAATTCGTTCTAAAAGTAATAATCCATTCAAAGTGAGACTAATCATCATACCACTTTTACCTCAGAGAATAGTTAACTAGCAACATTTCAGACTAATCATACATTCATACTTAGGGACTAAAAACATGAAAATGAATACACCATTACACCAAAAGGTAACATATCAGCCAATAATTAAGGGTTAATATGAGCCTTAAACTAGTCCCACCATATGGATTTTACTTGTAACCACCATTTTCAATATCAGAAAAAAGCTAATGCATGGTTCCAAAGCGTTTGTTGGCTAATCAAACCCATTAAAACAACTAAAAAATAAGTTATGATTGGTCTGCGATTGCGATTAAAACAAACTAACACATTTAGTCTAACTGTTCCATACAAATGCATATTAAGCATTACACTAGACAAAAACAGACCCTTTCAATTTCCATGTCTCAGTTTCTAAGTAGCTCAAAAGGGATTGAGGACCAAGTACGCTCCTGATCAAAACAGTAACCGTTCTTGATAAATGTCAAGTGCCTTGCTGATCTTTCCAATGAACATCTTCCTGTGCATTCTATACTTAACCGCTGTCACAAACGTTGTCCTCGCTTCCGACATTGAATCTGTAACAATGACAAAAACCAAGGGAAAGCTATAAAGTATTGATCTTTATGCGGCAAAACCTTGTTGTATATAATATCAATAATGGTTATACAGTACCAAGCAATTTCTGGTCTTGATCTGAAGTTGTGGGGTATTCCGCAAGCATCTTTCGACATTCATCTTGCAACTCTTTAACAGCTTTCCTCTCAGCACTTGGAATTGGAGGAAGATCTATGTCTGACCAAATAGGCAATGTTCTTGCTGCAGCTATTACTGCTCCATCAACAAAAGAATCGCCTCCAGATAACTCGCCTGCCACATAGTATCAAACATAATAAGTACCACTGCTGCTCATTTTCTCCAGTATAGTAAAACGGAGCCAAAAGAAACTTAAACTTACTATCATGGTAATATTCTTCAGGAAGACCGAATATGTTGAAGACCGATAAAAAGGAATTCAAATGGATACGAGAGTCTCCAGAGAATGGTATAGCATCCCATGGATTCTGCAGCAGATTCAAAAACATTGCATAAACAAGAAAACTTGCAAAGTAACCATATTGAATGTGTTGAGGAAAAAAAGCATTACCACAGGAGTTGAGAAGCCGTATCTTTCCATAAGCATGTTGTTTTTCTGGCCTGGCATGTAGTTAATCGTCATCTGCAAAAATAACATTCAAGAAATGAGAAACCTTTTTGGATTTGTAATCTGCAAAAGATAAAGCAGTAAAGAAGTGAACCTGACATGCTTATGGAACATTTGAGTCCTTTACCTCTTCGCCTTTCTTAATTGCTTGACCAGCATTTGACATAACCTCAAGCATGCGATCTTTAGGACGCCAATGTAGGAAACAGTTTGGCTCGAAGGAGTGGTTTAGCATGTCTGCAGAGAAGATGATTAAACCAATGAATATATAAACTTGCAAGATCAATAGTGAGATTGTAAAACTTAATTCTAAAAATCGTCCTTTACCAGCATAAGGAATCATCATATTCAGTTCTTGAACCAAAGCACCGACCCTAGTTTGCATACTAAGGCATCGTGTCTGCGCGATAGCAACCGCCCATATGAATCTTTCTGGATCTTCAGCAAGCCTTTTGATCTTGAGAGGAACTCCTGAATGCTGAGTTGAAACAACAATTCTCAATGAAAATATGAAAAAAGCCATAGCCGAGAAGAGAAAAAAACGTTAGGCTTCAAGCCTCTTTACCCAATTCTTTTCCCAAAATTCTAGGACTCGTTTCTGTTGCTGTCTGATAGTTGAAACAAGATCAGGATCTTGAAGCTCCGCAAGGTCTTCCTATAGCAGAACACACAGAAGGTTAGATACCACCAAGCATACATCAGAGGATCAGTTTAAAGGTAAACACTTTAACTATGAGAAGTAAATGTGCTTGCTCAGTTTCAAAATGATAAAATCAGTCACACCTCTGTAGCTAGAAGCAAGCTGCTGCACTCATCAGAAGAAGGTAGAAAATCTCCATAGAGTCGCCAGAAATGATCGTCCCGATCAAAAGAGAATAACAGAAGACATGCTAATCTGAGATCCCAATCTATCTGTGTAATCATAAAAACCAAAACAATATGCAACATTTGTCAACAATGAGAGGGCTCTGAGAGAAAAATGAGAACTTTGATATCGAATAGCACTACATATTACCTCAGGATCAGTGGAGTTGATGATGTCGAAAATGGGATGACCAATTGGAACAACATCAGGGAAAAACATCCAAGGGTGCTTCTGTCTAATGGTTATCATCAATTCTAGAGGAATCTCCATTATCACCTGCCACCAAGAGAAGAAAACAATCCAATGAACAAGAATCTAAACAGAAAGTGCAAAACAAAGAAAAAGGTGTAAACTTTTTTAGTTAAGGAGACTACTGACTCTAGCACGGCGGCGAGGCTCAATATCCTTAGAAGCGTAGACACCAAAACCATCAGGGCCTTCTTTAAACTCAACTCCATAAGCTCTCACACTTCGAACATAACCGATTTTGTAGAAATCCGGATCTGCTGGCTCCAGCTAAATGAGAAACCCAAAAATCAATCTCACAGGTGAGGGAAATGGACAGAATTGTCTAAAGTTACTTCCTTTTCGAGCTCAATTAAACCCTATGAAACTCAATTATGAGGGAAATGCACAGAATTTTGAGAATAGATTCACAAAAATCCTACCTCAGATGAAACGGATTCCTCAGAAGCAGGGGACTGAAACAGAGGGAATGGTTGAGTCTCAAGAGAAGCGACTTTGATGGGTCTGACACCATTTTGTCTCTCTCTTACGAAATTGCTTCTGGGTTTTGGTGCTGACACAGTTCCGTAGCAGAAACCCTTATGGCAGGACGGAGAATATGAGTAGTCAGATAATTCAGAATAAACATACAATACATGGAAAGATTTAGGTATAGAGAGATTAAGAACCTGAGGTTTGGAGGTAAAAGTGTTGATCAGGTAATGAAGAGAGACGGAAGAAGCCATGGCTTCTCAACTGTAATAGCGCCAGTAAAGAAATGGGTTTAGGAGAGGAAGAGGAAGACAACATCGTTATCCTTTGTTTTCATGTTTCGTTAATTTGAACCAATATAAACGTGTTCGACTATTTCCTAGCAAGAAAGCTTTCATAGCTCAGTTGGTTAGAGTCTCGTTTAGTAAGCGGGAGGTCTTGAGTTCAACTCTCAATGAAAGCAAATTTCGTTATTTTGTTTTTTCTTCTCTTTGCTATATTGCACAATGCACAAGATATCTCTCACCTTTAGTCATATACAACAAAAAATACCCTAATATTTCAAAGTAACACAAAAAGGAAACAGCAAGCAAGCTTTCATAGCTCAGTTGGTTAGAGCACCCGTTTAGTAAGCGGGAGGTCTTGAGTTCAACTCTCAATGAAAGCATTTTTCTTACTTTTTGCTTATATTCTCTTAAATTGCAAAATGTATCCCTCAAAGGCTCAAAGCTTAGTACAGTATTTTAACAAGTTACAGAAAACATCCCAACATTTTGGAAAGTTTCTTTACACCCAAATTTGTCAATCAAATGTAGATTTTTGTATTTTTTTATTACCATGAAAATATGCATAATAATACACTCTCTTTTTCTTTTATTCAAGGTAAATAATATGTACATTACATGATGTCAAACATTTCTTTGTGCAGGAACAATATGAAATCTGTTCCTGAAATTTACAGAGACAGTTTTGGTTCCTTTGGTCATTATGTTATATTAGGCTGTAGAGTTGTGTGTGAAAGGCTCGGCTTCTGATGGAACTTCACGAGCTCTTTGGCTCTCAAGTGGCATATACTGTGACATGATCGTCATAATCTCCGAGTCCATGTAAGACTGTGTGCCAAAAAAACCGCAAAGAAAAAGTTAGTTGGTATATAAATCCTCAAAACTAACTTTGATTTCAAAAATAGGTTTTGTGGAATCAAGAAAGAGTACCCTGAACCGGTATTTGTAGAATAGATAACCAGCTAAACCGGCTACAGCCACTACAGCTAGGATCAAGAGTGTGAGCCACCATGCTGTTTTGGATCCATATCTCTCTGTAAAGTATGGTTTAAAACAAAACAAGTATCAATGTAAAATAGTTTTAAATTGTTACAGAATTTGAGTCTTGTAATCTTGATTGGTAATTTTATTTACCTATACAAGTATCTTGATCGCTTATGTAAAGCCTGTCACCAGAACAGCTACATGTGTGTCCTCCCCATGTGTTCTTGCATCTGCAACCGCTACATTGACACACTGTACTCTCTTTACATTCGTTGATATCTGCAAGTAGATCCAAACACAGAACACACAATATTTCAGAACTGGTAAGTGACTTGTCTTTATGAGATTATATAATCAAAAGAGTTTAAAGAGTTAAGACAGGATTCTTGATAAGTCTTACCTTCACAGGTCTGACCGTCGCCATGGAATCCTTCAGGACATTTGCAGCCAGTAGACACAGAGTCCTAATTGTTCATAAGTAGTTTGTAAATAAATTTACAAAGAGATTATTGAATTTGAAACAAAAAATTTGAAAGGAAATGATTTGGTTTTTAATAAGAGGAATCACTAAACTGAGCAAGCAGAGAAAGTTAAGCCATTTTTTGTATCAGACCAGCAACCTCCATTGTTAATAGTACACCTCGCAGGCCCATAAGCTGCAAAACTCAATCACAAACTAGAGTAAAAATCAAGAAACCGGTCTCAACATTTGAAGGGTTAGTGTGAGGTGTGAACAACTTACGTGTACATGAAGTATACCCATCGCCTTTATATTGAACACCTTTAACAACCGGACACTCGCAGATTCTTCCTCTGAATGTGTCCTGATGATAAAACAAAAACCAAGACATTATAAGAATTTCAGACACATTTTGATGCAAATATAGCTATGAGATGTGTCGGTTTTACTAAGAAGACATACTTTGCAAGCAGTTATGTTTGCCTTTGTATCCTTCCAGCAACCACCATTGTTTTCAAGACATTCATTAGTCTCAAGACCTGTGTTTAAGCAAATGGGAGGATCAGATGTTTCGTTGAATCCTGCACATATCGCCTTTAGAACAGCGGTTCTCTCCAATCTCCCTTCACAAACACAATCCAACAGCAACAGAGAATTTCAGTATCTTTCAGAAATATTTCAGTAATCTTGAAAAGTTGAAAGAAGCAATCTGAAAACCTCGATATTGAGCGTTATTGATGACTAATGTTGGCAATATTGTAACATCTCCTCGCTCTCCTCTGCCAATCTTTGAAGTTTAACATACGTTACAGTTAGTAACCAAATGTGATGAAATCTATCCAATAAGTTAAAGGCACAAGAACAAACCTGAACTACTTGCTCTATTTTCAGAACTTGGTTCTCTGTATCAGCCAAAGGATCACCCATGCATTCCTTGATCTTCTCAATAGGTAAATCTGAGACAATTCTTGAGAATTCATAACCCAAAATAAAGAAAGATATACTAATAAATAAAAAGGCTTTCTCTTTAAAAGACTCTTACTCAGAGATTTGATGACATTCTCAGCACACTCTATGCTATACTTCTTCTCCTTCATCGAACACCGAGCATGAAAATCAGTAACATAATCCCACCAAACCCAACCTCGGCTACTCTCATTCGCAACTCTATGCACACAAAGCTGTCTCAGATTCTCAAACACGACATCTTTCCCTTCATACCCTTCTCTGAAATCATGCTCAGGGTCAGGAGCACAATACCTCCCACGGTTTATACACTGAGACTTACACTGTGGACTGTTTATGAACTGAAACGGGCAAAACCAAGTGATGTAATGCGGCGTAAACGCGGTGTAACCGCCTCTCTCGAGTATCTGAGCATGACCTTTAAAGTTCTTGACGAAATCCATCTGCTCATCGCACCTTGCACCACACTCGTCGTTGCTGTTAGTCCACAGCTCGTACTCTACTCTCTGGTCAGGATGAGGCACAGATTCTCTCCAGTCTAGCTTCAAGACTATGTCTTTGCCTTTCTTAAACCCTTGTCTTAAGCTGTCTCCGAATGATTTCTCGATTAGTACCGATGGGATTGTTATCTTCTCTATGAACCCATCTGCGTCTCTGCTCTCCTCTGGTGAATCCATTGTCAACAATGGCTCGTCTACATTGTCTGCCACAAGAACTGCTGCGGCTCCTGCTTGTTGCGCGTGCCATGCCTTCAAGGCAAAGTAGCAGCCTGAAACATCCATCAATGTTTCTAAAGCTTAAATCTTGAGAAACTAAGTTCAAATCTGAAGGGACTTGAGAAACTAAAGTTAAGTCTTTCATCACAAAGATTAAATTTTTCAAGGTAAGTCCAAATTTGGAGGACGACCCATAAATCATATTGGATTCTACAATTTTAATGGTGGATTGAAAAAGGGCAATAGAGTTTAAAGTTTGAAACTTTGAACTGAAATAAAAAAATTTGAAAATGTTTTGGTATTTTTTTTATTACCTCCACGATCGAGAAGGAGAATAGTGGGGCGAGGAAACTTGGGCTTGAAGGTTTTACCAAAAGCAGAGCAACCATCGGTTTTACTATCCGGGTAAACCACTGACCCGATTAGAAACCCGCCGTAATCGGGTAAACCGAAATTCGCGATGGAGCCGTCGCGCTTCGACCTCATCTCCTCCGGATTCAGAACGCTTATGCTCTCTTTCTCCACGACGAACCTCGCGTCGACGACGACGACGATGATGGTCAACGCCGCGAGGAGAGAGGTCAACGCTCTCCCGTTGACTAAACCCATCTCCAGAGACAACACCAGGACTGGATTAACCGATGGGGTTGGTCGATGATCAACTGTTTCCCGGGAAAATGAAGGGGAGAAAAATCAAAAAACCGATGTTTATGTGTTTAACTGTTTCTGATTAAAGATGGTATAGCGTAAGAGTTTATATAATTAAGAAACAAAGTCGTATTTTTAATTTTTAAAATGTGGTTGATTATTTAGAAAACTGGAAAAGAATTGGAAGATGTTAGACTTTTGTTAGTTTATGGTTTTTTCCTATAATGGTTGTTAGTAGGAGACTCGATCAAAGCCTCGACTTTTGAAGTGTTATTTGGGTTTGATTGGTAAACTCTAACCACAAACTGGAAAAGTACACAAATTTTTTAAAATGTATTACAAAACAACCCCTCAACTAAAGATAAATCAGATAAAGCCCCTTAAGTATTAAATTAACGATTAAACCCGTATCTGAGGAAAGATTGATTTTTTAGTGATACAGTTCTATTGGCGAAGAACAGAGAGAGATGATTTTACATTTGCAACATCAATTGAAGTGAAGCATTACAACAAAACTTTCTCAATTCGATCGAACTCGTATTCGATTCTCTCTTCTAAATCCGCAACAGAGAGGCAGGCTTAAGCAAAAACCTCAAACATTCAAATCCCCGAAATCAGGGTTTAAGCAAGCAAAAACCCTCCGAGTTCATGCCCAAATGCCCATTCCCAATCCGTATCAGCTTCTTCAGCTACTTCGTCAACGAAAGTCCAATCCTTTCGAGCAACCCAGCTAAGCCCTCTCTTCGTCTTCGTCTTCGCCTTCGCTTCTCTTCTTCTGTTTCAGTTTCTCCGAAGCTACCCATGGAATCCGAGCAGCAACACGCGGAGCATCATCGTCCATCAGAAGCTCCAATCTCGGAGAAGATGTTCAAATCATCCCCCAGAATGGGCTCCTACAAGCTGGGCGATTCCACTTTCTCCTCAATGATTGAGAATTGCGCCAATTCAGGTGATTTCGCGTCAATTGAGAACCTTTTCAGTCGAATTAGATCAGAGAACAGAACGGTTAGAGAGCGTAGCTTCACTTTTGTGTTTAGGGCTTATCAGAGAGCGCATTTGCCTGAGAAAGCCGTCGAATTGTTTCACAGAATGGTCGATGAGTTTCACTGTAAACGCACAGTTAAGTCCTTTAACTCTGTCCTCACTGTGATCATAAAAGAAGGTCTTTTTCACCGAGGATTGGAGTTTTATGACTACGTTGTGAACTCCAACATGAACATGAACATTTCCCCTAACGTGCTGAGTTACAATCTGGTCATCAATGCTCTTTGCAAGCTGAGACTTGTGGACAGAGCGATTGAGGTCTTCAGGGGAATGCCTGAGAAGAAGCTTTTACCTGATGTGTATACGTATTGTACATTGATGGATGGGCTGTGTAAAGAGGGAAGGATCGATGAAGCGGTCTTGCTCTTGGACGAGATGCAGAGTGAAGGCTGCTCACCGAGCTCGGCTACGTATAATGCTTTGTTAGATGGGTTGTGCAAGAAAGGGGATTTGAAGAGAGTGACGAAGATTGTGGATAACATGTTTCTTAAGGGATGTGTTCCTGATGTGAGGACTTATAACACGCTTATGAATGGTTTGTGTTTGAAAGGGAAAATGGAGAAAGCTGTTAGTCTTTTGGAGAGGATGGTGTCTAGCAAATGCATTCCGAATGATGTCACGTATGGAACACTGATTGATGGAGTGGTTAAGCATAGACGAGCAACGGACGCTGTTCGGTTGCTGGTGTCTATGGAAGAGAGAGGGTTTTGCTTGAACCAGCATGTTTACTCTTCCCTTATAAGTGGGTTTTGCAAAGAGGGTAAGGCGGATGAGGCTGTGAGTTTGTGGAAGAAAATGGCGGAGAAAGGTTGTGAACCGAATGTTGTTGTGTACAGTGCTCTTGTTGATGGTTTGAGCCGCGTAGGGAGGCCAAAGGAAGCTAGAGAGATACTTAAAGGGATGATAAGTAACGGCTGCTTGCCGAATGAGTATACTTACAGCTCTCTGATGAGAGGGTTCTTCAGAAGTGGTCTTAGTGAAGAGGCGATGCAAGTTTGGAGAGAGATGGATGAGACTAAATGTTCTCGGAATGAGTTTTGTTATAGTGTACTTATTGATGGTCTTTGTGGGGTTGGGAGGGTTAAAGAGGCTATGATGGTTTGGTCAAAGATGCTCACTATTGGTATCAAGCCTGATACAGTAGCTTATACTTCAATGATTAAAGGTCTTTGTGGTATTGGCTCGATGGATGCAGCGTTAAGACACTACCATGAGATGCTGTGCCAAGAGGATCCCAAGTCACAGCCTGATGTTGTTACTTACAATATACTTCTTGATGGTTTATGTATGAAGAAGGATGTCTCTAGAGCAGTTGATCTCTTGAACTCTATGTTAGATAGAGGTTGTGATCCTGATGTTATTACGTGTAATACGTTTTTGAAAATTTTGAGTGAGAAGTCGGATTCTTGTGAAGAAAGGAGGAGGTTTTTAGAGGAGCTTGTTGTGAGGATGTTGAAGCGACAGAGAGTGTATGGAGCTTGTAAGATTGTGGAAGTGATGATGGATAAGTATTTGACGCCAAAGGCTTCCACTTGGGCGATGATTGTTCCAGAGATTTGTAGACCGAAGAAGACCAATGCTGTCATTGATAAATGCTTGATGAACTTGTGTACTTGAACATTTTATGAGGATTTTGGTTGCAGATTGCACACTTTTTTTCCTTCTGTATGTATGTTATGATTAAACTATTCTGTGTTTTTTAAGTCATTCTTTCATTTATGAATTGTAAACCTTTTTTCTTTCACTTTTTAACAAAATGCAATTATGTGTACAAATCCTCGAAACTAAATAATTATAAACCTATTTTTCTTTCACTTTTTAACAAACAAGGTTTATAAAACAGATGATACAAACAACATTATTCATATAAAACTAAATAGCATTAAGCAACGAGAGAATGAAACTTAGATCTTCTATAATGCATGACAACGTACAAATTTCACACATTGAAGTTGTTGTGAGTCCTCCTATCTATGCTTGCAACGTTTTCTTCCAGTTTACTTATTATGAAAAATCATTTCATCGCCAAAAAGCTCTGTTCAGCAGCATTTATGAAATGGGAGCGATGAAAGAAAGTTTGGTTGATTCTCTAGACCACTCCAATAACACGAAAGGTTTGCATCTGATCTTTCAGTTTATTTGATCCTTTTTGCTGCTTCTTATTGTCTCCCATGTTCTCCTTAGATCGAAGAAGAGAGGACATGGGTATTACATTGACAAACACTCTGTCAAATCCATTGAGAAACACTGTGCAAAATATATTAATATTGGGTGGTAAGGATTCAAGAGTTGACATATGGTCTTTTCAGTTTCTTTTATCCTTTTGCTGTTTCTTATTGTCTCCAGTGTTCTCCCTCAGATCTACTGTTCTCCCCAAATCTACAAAGAGAGGACCAGAGTCTAGGTATTACAGATGACAGAAAATTTTCACTTGATGAGATTGTTCCTCTGTCTCAAGCCTGTATCAAAAGAGATTGGATCACCGCTGAGGCTCTAATCAAACATCGTCCCAGTATCACCCGTGAAGGCGTGAACCAATCAACACTGGTTTCGAAACCGCTCTACACATTGCTGTTGCTTGGAAGCACACCGAGTTTGTCAGAAAACTTGTTGCGGAGATGCACAAAAAAAGATTTAACCTTGTGGGATTCTAATGTGCGAACAGCATTTGGTATTGCTGCAGAATCAGGGAACATAAAGATTGCTGAGATTCTTTTTGAGAAGAATAAAGAACTTCCAGTGATTTGAGGGCTTGAGGCTGGCCAGCAAATTGGTGGTTTACCCATCTAAATGGCAGCAATTTTTGGCCATCACGAAATGGTGTCATACATTACCTTTATGACAAAACAAAGTTCTCCTCACTAAACCTATCAGATCTTGGAGATCTTTTTTTGACCTTCATAACAGCTGACATGTTTGGTAATTTCTCTAACTTAATCACCTTAATCACAATAGATAGACAGATTAAGAATCTGAGGTTTAGAGATAAAAGTGTTAATGAAGAGAGACACAACATCTCTCATTCTTGTTTAGGAGTATCAGGTAATGAAGTCATTCCTTAACTGAAATAGCGCCATAAAAGAAATGGGTTTAGGAGAGGGAGACTACATCGTTATAATTTGGTTTCAAGGTTCCAACATGAAAAAATATATATATATATTTAATTATCTTTAGCAAGAAAGCTTTCATAGCTCAGTTGGTTAGAGCACCCGTTTAGTAAGCGGGAGGTCTTGAGTTCAACTCTCAATGAAAGCATATTATTTCCAATTTTTTTTTCTTTACAAGGTAAAATATTTGTACAGTACATGATCTCTCAAACATTTATTTGTTTGTTCCTGAAATCTACAAGACAGGGGTTTGTTTTCTTTGGTCATGTGTAGTATTAGACCGTAGAGATAAGTGCGAGCAATGGACAAAAGTCGCAAAACCATCAAATACAAGCTAACAACGTTTCATACATTAAAACTAAATCGAATTTTTTTAATTCTATACAAATGCATAGTCTAAAAGAGAACACAAATACAAATGACACTGTACATTCATGGAGTCTCTATGAGACAAGACTCCACGTTGTATCTCATATATAATTCTTTCCTTTCTTTAAAAGAAAAAAGTATTACATTTGAGACTCTAGAAACTCCAAGATGGCTAAACCGGCTGCACCAACATCATCATCCAACACATGTTCTGCCGGCGAATGACTTATTCCTCCACGACACCGGACAAACAACATTCCCACCTGCCGGAAAATAAAAACATCTCTTTAAGTTAGTATCCGAACCAAGAAACAAGAACCCACAATGACTACACAACTGATAAGTTCCTAAAACATTGTGAATCTCTTTTGGGACCTGTGACTAGACTGATAAACAGCTTGTAACAATGTCTTAGAAAAGCGTTTAGACTCGCAAAAGAAGTCTATCTAACTCACTGGTTAAATAAGGATGATGAAATAAACATTCTACACTAAGATGAATTGAGTTTCATCAACTCAATTACCTTAGTTAAGTGAGACATAGCCATAGCATCATGCCCTGCTCCGCTCATTAGCACAGGGACCTCGTCTTGGATCTCTCCTGTCATCTTCTTAAGTGCAATCTGAGCTGCTGATTTCAGCTGTAAACTCAACTGCGGATCTGACATTACTGCGTCTGCATCGTGCTGCAATGATGGAAGACAAACCGGGGAATGAAGTTGGTAAGAAGAAGACATCTTTGGATATATATAAAGCATGAAGAACAGCTCTTTACCTTTCTCTCAATGGAGCACAAAAGCGATCTTTTGTCACAAATCTGGTACATCCTAGTTGATAAGTCATGGAGAATAGCCTTGCGTCCTACATCATCTATCGTACGTAAATCCACAGTGAAAGTTACCTGAATTCATTTCCATTCATCTCCAAGAAATCATTTAGACTTGATCCACAAGAGCAATCAAGAAACCAGAAAAGCAAAAGGAGGTTAGCTTCCTTCTCTTACCTGTCCTGGGATGACGTTACTAGCACTTGGCCACGTAGAGATCTCTCCAACAGTACACACAAGTGAATTAGCAAGAGACTCTACTGTGTCCTCGTTGCACTGACCATCACAAGACAAGTATTCTTTAGGGTTCTTGCAAACACTTTCCAACAGTACAATCAGTTCCGCGGCACCAGTCATTGGGTCCTGACGCAGTGACATTGGAACTGTTCCAGCATGTCCTTGAGAACCTTTCACAGTAACCTGTAGATATTCTGTCCATTTGGGTTTCAAATAGCCTCCCCAAAGAATTTTAAACACAAAGTTTAGTCGTGTGAATACGTTACCTTGAGCCTCGTCTGTCCTGCGATTCCTTTCACTACTCCTAGAGGATAACCAACCCATTCAAGCACAGGCCCTTGCTCAATGTGAACCTGAAACAGAACATTAAGTCAATAATCACAAGACCGTGCGAGACAACAGGAGATAAAGTAAGCTTTACCTCTACATATCCCCAAACAGAAGCAGGATCATACTTGAGCTGCAATAGGTTTTCCTCTGTTATGTCTATGTCATTCTCTTTGAGAGCATCTTGCACAGAAATACCACTGAGCGAATGAATATGCAAAGAGTAAGTAACGTATACTCAATCTACATAAAAGGAGAAGAAGATAAGGTCCTTTGAGAGTAAAAACCTTTTATCAGCAACCTCTAACCGAGAAACTGGCATGATACCAGCAAGAGCAGCACTGCCTAGGAAAGTAGACTGAAACCTCACTCCTTCCTCATCACTAAACGCAATCACCTGATAATGAATGCATATAAGACATTAAGTTTCTTTGTTCTTCCACTTTATTGAATGGAATATTATAACTGGACGAACCTCAACAGGACGCTTTAGTTCTCCCAATCTCCCATTTACTTTCAAAACCTTTAACGCTGATATTGCAGAGATTATGCCTAACGAGCCATCATATTTACCAGCATCAATTACAGTATCCTGTTTAAAGTAAAGATCAATTGTCAGCATTATCATCTCATTCAAGATCACGCAACAGGTAACAAGAAAATGGTAAACAGAATTGTGAACTATACCATATGGGAACCAATAAGGAGAGCCTGCGTGCTTCCGTTCTTTGGATCGACTCGACCATGTACATTTCCCATGTAATCAACCCATCTACAAAAGAAAATCCAATTTTTCATCTACCAAGAACATATTTTAGATAAGTCCATAAACAAGAGAGAGAGTATAGTTTGAAACTAACGTTGATAAACCGGCATCTTCCATCCACCCGCGGATAAGAGTTATTGCTCTTATGGATGCTGGACTCATAAAAGTCCTCTCTAGATGTGCAACTGCATCACTCACCTGTAAATTCAAGGAGTTAAAACAATCGGTATCATCTTCAAAGAGATTGTAATAGATTTGCTCACGTAAAATAAAGAAGCATTCATTTTTGAGATAACACTAGCTGGATTCCTCGTTATAAGAAACTTAGAAAAAGTTTCATTAGATTGCAACAGCTAGAAAAGAGTTTTAACAAGGACACAATCAATCAATGTTGGTCAAACGAGAAAACAAAACATTCGAAACATAAGTCATAAGAAAGTATAGATTATACAGCTTTGACGTTAGAAATACAGATTGAAGAGTGAACTCTAAGCAATTTAGGAATTGTCATGAACTTTGTTCGTTTATGATGCATACCTCTCCGAGCTCGTGTAGTCTTGCTACAGATTCGTCCCTTAGGATCGCCTGATGCAGATCGTGCTTCGTCCCTTCCGTTTCGCCGATTCCTTTTTTGACAAACGATTCCAAATAAAAATCAAATAGGTTAGAAACAGAGCAAAGAGATGGCGATGACTCATCGACATGAACAGAGCATCATCACGGATGATCGCATAACTACGGATGATTAGAGAGAAGATCTATAAACCCAGAATCGTAGATTTGAAAAAGGTGAATCTTTTAAATGGAACTGACGGAAGTTTAATCGTCTTGAAAATGTCGACGATAAGCGTATAGCCATTGAAACACTAATACTAGCTAGATAGAATCTAATGACTGAGAGAGTGTTCAGGAATGGGAATCTTTTTTTCTGATTAACCATTTTGAAATAATCCGAAGCTCAAAAATCATTTTTTTTAGTATTTTTAAGATTGAAACTGATTTTGAATCACACGGAGACAGAATCGTGGAAGAGATAGAGATTTACCGAGGGATATTAGGGAAGAAGACGACGGTGACGTAGAGGACGAAGAAGAAGACGATGATGAAGAGGAAACAGCGAGAGGAGATAACAGAGATATCACCAGGCACCAGAAGAGCACAATCGAAGGGTGGTAATGATGATGATGATGATGGTTATGGTTATGGTTATGATGGAAGCTAGTGTGATAGACATGGGAGAGGAAATGATGAGATCTTGAGGAGGGAGAAGAGGAAAGAAGAGAAGGATGAGGAACCGCCATGGCTGCCGATTCAATAAATTTTCCGACGTGGAAGAGGACGATAGATACAAAAACACAGCCACGGAACGGAACCACACCACTAGCTCTGTGAGAGGATGAGAGACGAAGAGAAGGGCTCCGCTTTATGCTTCTTCCATGGCGGAGAAAGGAGAGGAGGCGGCTGGTGGGACCCGTTAGTCCAACTTGGACATCTGATGGGGCCCAGATAAAGCCATGACGTGGCAGTTGTAAGTGGAATCTTGTGGAGACGGTCACATGTGGTGAGGAATCATGTGCTGATGAGGACGTGAAATATTTTATTTTTGTTTATTGAATATCATGAAAAAATGTACAGTCCACTAACGTTTTGTATAAAATCGAGTGATTAGAATAAAACTTAGAAAATTTGTTATATATCGAGTGATTAAAAAATGTTATAATTCATCTCTTAGATTTATAACTCTCTCTGTCACATGGCACTTATATCATGATCCAAGGTATTAGAACAAATCTCTACTTTTAAACTAGAGATTTTAGTCAAGACTGATGTCTTCAAGCAAACAAGGTGTATGAAAATAAATTTCCGAAAAAGTCCGAAATATATAATATCGTTTCCTTTAATCTAGTACTAGTTTTTATTAGTAAAAAATCTCTAGTGATTCGTGAACCGCGATGCATTTTTCCTTTTACTTTTAAAGCAAAAACGGGATCCACCATATAAACGAAGATTCTAGTATCCGACCACTAGACTTGATCGATGCACGTGACGTGACATACCCTCGGTTATATTATATGGTGTGATGCTTCATTAGCATTTTATTTTTAAATTTACTAATACAAAGTGATTAGTTCATGTGATGCACTTAGTCTCTGTCTGACGGGATAAAATGAAGGAGGAAATTAGGTTGAGATACACATCCAAATTATTATCTGTCTATGTCAGCAAAGCTTGTTAATTTGAGCATATTGTATTGTTAGTTTTTAATTGTTTATTAATTAAGATATTATAACAATTTCATGACTCATTAGACATAATCTTATTGTTTGAGTATGAACCCACATTTAGTTTATTTCAGAAAGACCATTACAATTTACAAGTTTCTAATCCGAACGAAACGAAACTGTATTTATAGAATAAGTTTTGGTGTGTTTGTTTACATTCACTTTGAAATGTATGGATTTCAATTGATCCAGTGACAATAGAATTTTCAAAGAATTTTTAACATGCATTTATTTAATTTTTGTAAACTCATCGAGATAAAAAAAAAATAGCATTAGAGACCAAATTAGTTCAACACTCATGTACATCGGATGTTAAACAAGTGACAAAATGTTGTCAGCAAGTTAATACTTTACTTTCTGGTTGTATACTTAAATACTAGGGTTTGACCCGCGCCTTGCACGGGGTGATATTTTCTGATTTTTACATTATGAGAACATAACATTTGATTCCACCGCAATTTCTCTGTTACAAAATAATACTCAAATTTTGAGTGTGGATTTCTGAGCACACATATATATCAATTTTTTAATAAGTTATAAAATAATTATATATTTTGATAAATATTAATTGGTATAGATATTTTATGTTTTGATCAATTTTAAATAATGAAAATAATTTAAGTTATGATAATTTATTATATTTAAAAAATTTAACTACAATTTTTTTAGATATATAATTTAATTATTCAGCTCAATTAAAAACCAAATTAAATTAAATATAAAAACTTTAAAGTTTGGAAACCTATTAAATTGGTTTTTCTACTCATGGTCAATCATTATTTGAATATTTATTTATAATAGGTTTTTGAACTATTATCCAAAACATACTCTATGTTGGACTTTTAACACTTGCACCAAAAAAACTAATTTTGTTTTATTAGGTATTTTGATGTGATGATATAGTTTATTTTTGAAAAGTAAAGTTACACAAAAAATGATAGGAGAATAAATTGATTTTAGTATAATACAATTGAAATAAAATTTTACTGATGGACTAATAAATATTTAAACTTTACTGATTGATTGACTAATAAATATTGATCAATTAAAATAATTTTACTTATATAACAATTTAAAATTCTGGTCAAATTAAAATATTATATTTTTTACTTTTATTCAATCTAATTATACAGTTCACTTAAAAACCATATTAAATAGAATAAATAAAAACTTATATATTTGGATACCTACTAATGAGCTTTCCTACTCATATGGTTGCACATGATTTGGATCTTTTTATAGTAGATTTCTGAACTATCATTTAAGAATATTTCTGATGTGGGATTTTTAACAGTTTTAGTGATTTATTTAGTTTTTAAAAATTCAAATTACAGTATATACAGAAAAGTTAGATTTTATTTTTATCATGTTTTTCATATGTCAATTCATTTTATTTTTAAAAGAAATAAAACTAAACAAAGATAATGGGAAAAATATAATGATTTTTAAAACTAATAAATGTGATGTAATTGGATACCTTATTTTGCTTTTTTAATTAATTTTTCGTATGAGACAATTAAGGAAAGAAAAAATATTTGATTAAATTAATATTAATAAAATGGTTAGTTAAATAAGATGTATGTGATTTCTCTAACCAAATAATATGAGTGGCATTACTTGTAATTATTCTAGTAAATGATGTCTTAATTAAAATTGACCTTTAGAATGAACCTTGTGATGACACATCAGCATGGCATTTTTGTTAATACCACATGACACAAAAGTTTATTTTATATTGTTTTCTCTTTTAATATATTAGGAATTATCATCAACTTACACCAACACGCCAACACGTAAACACTTCTGTTAATTTGAATAATCTGAGTCGATACGTTAGTAAATTGTCCAACTTTTGAAGGAAGTATATATATTGGCCTTAATTATTGCATATCTAGTCATGCACATCAACGTTCGTTAAATAATAAACTAAAAGGCCATATAATTGGCCATGAACATGTTTGTTGTTGATACGACAAATCTATTTTTCAGGATATCCAACTTTTATTCACAACCAATGCAATGCAAATTTTTTAACTTACTACATCAAATAACATACAATCATCTATGTTTTTTTTTTTAAAAAGTTCTAAAAAAAAAAAATCTTACTACATCAAATAATTTCAAAAGTTTGCATTGCAAACCCTAGGTTTAGTGTTAGGTTAGTTACTCATCACATGTGTGATCTGTAAGTTTAGACGTGATTAATATCTACTATTAACTATGCAGAAACGATTGAAATGTAAAAAAAAGAAGTACAAAATGGAGCTATATTTGTTTTTTCATCTAGATTTCGTGGATTTGCATTTACGAAATTTATATTAAAATATAAACCCATGAACTACAAAAATCTAGATTTGTTTTTCGTAAATTAAGTTCGAGCTATATGTAAATGTTGCAACACACTGTACAAATCAAAGGATATTTGTCCCTCCCATTTTTCTTCAAGTAAATCAAAAGCATCCAAATATAATCGGATTGAAGTATCATCATGCATGTATATCATCATGTGTGACATCTTTCAAACCAACAACTACTATCATTATTACCATTATAACTACTATGGGGTTGGTTGTGGCCGTAGAAGCTGTAGAAAGCAAAAAAAAATTCTAAAGCCAAATAGATCACCAATCATGCTCTATACTTTTTTTTTAAACATACATCCTTCTTTCATTTCTTTCATTTTTCCTTCCTTTTTTGGTTTTGCAGAGCAAAATTTCTAGAGCATAATTTTAAAGGCTCTGAATTTTTTTTTTCTCTCTCTTTCATTCTTTCCAAATATATTGTTTTCTTCTTTACTTTTTTCCATATTATTATTTTCCATATTTAACTATTTTCTTTTTTACTAAAATTCTGCAACTAATATTCTAAAGCAACAATTTCATAGCCACAACCATAAAACATAAAGCAAAAACTCTACAGCAAAAAAAAAAAACTAGAGCAACAACCAATCATCCCCTATATACTATTATTTTCATTTGAATATATTTGAAGGATCAAGAATTTCAGGTTTAAGGTTTAGTATTTGTATGCTGTAAACTCTGAGCAAACCAATAAAACCAAAAAATACTTGGCCCAAATAGAGGTGAGCCTAATTAAAAAAAAAAAAAAAAAAAAAAAATCACCTAACCCTCACTTGATTGCTCAGCTGAACCGAACCGAACTCGGCAGTCAAAAATTTGAAATTTGAAGTCGGGTTTGGTCCTGAAAGACTGATTTTATTTTGCTCTGTAGCTCTCTGTAGATTCGTGAGGAAAGAGGCTTCTACATCCGAGCGAGTATGGCGTGAAAATTCGTCTTCTTTCCTTTGCTAGATTCTATCTATCAGTCTCCGTCTCTGCTCCGGTTTCTTCTTCGAAAACCCTATAATCAGCTCGTTACACACGAAAGAAAAATCCAATCAAAAAGTGGTAAACCATGGAGAAGGTCTCTGCAGCTTGGGCCATTGATTGGAGCATCAAGCTCGAGAAATCTCTTCGTTCTAAAAACCCAGGTGCTTAATCCTCAATTCCTCTCGCTTTCCCATTATCTAGTGCTTGGAAATTTAATTCTTTAGCTCCACTTTGTTGATGCACATTAAGCAGTAGGACTATGAAAAATTAAAGTTTTGATTTTTATTTCAGTTAGAGCCGTTGAAACCATCTTGGAGACTGGTGAGAAGCTTGAAAAATGGAGCAAAGAACCAGAACCTTCAATTGCAGTTTACAATTTATTCAATCTGATTCCTGAAGAAGATAGGCTCTTTTCCAATACAATCCTATTGAGGCTAGTTGATGCGTTTTGTTTTGGGGATAAGCTCGTTAAGCTTGCAGTTGTTCGGGTTTTTATGTCTATGTTCAAGCTAAGCAGAGGGAAGAACAAGAGTGAATCCGCAACTTGGATTTTGTCAAAGGCTAAGGTCCATAACCACTTGGAGATTCTTAAACGAGTCAAGAATGTTTATGATAAAGGTGATGCCGAGGCAAAAGCTCTGGCTTTGATTCTGTTTGGCTGTTGGAGAGACTTCGCTAGCGAGTTTGCTCCAGTACGGTACTTGATTTTCACCAGTATGGTTTCTTCACATGATCTGGAGGTAAGATTAAGTTCATTTTAGTTCTTTGATTGTAACATGAGTAATGTTTATGATACAATATCTTATGAATTACTAGAATAAATTATTCTTTGTTGACCTAAAAATAACTGTTGTAATCTATTTTCTGATTGCAGGTGAGATCATCTCTGTTTGCTGCAGCTTGTTTTTGTGAGGTAGCAGATGACTTTGCATTGGTTGTTATGGGGATGTTAAGTGACATGGTGAAGTTCCCGGAACTAATGCCAAAGACCAGGTTAGCTGCTGTGCGAGTTTTTGCAAAAATGGGATGCTCGCATGCAATTGCTAATAGAGCATTCAAGGTTCTTTGTCTAAATTCTCATTCCATCTGCTTCTAATGCTCAAAACATTATCATTTATAGTATGACGTCAAGAATTATCTGGTAAAAGAAAGATTTTTGCTGAAAGCGAAATTGAATTTCGACTTTGTTATCATCTTGAGATTTCAAGCTGTAGTAGATTGGAGTATCTAGCACATGATGAAAGTTTGCCATATCATAGTGCATTTAGTTAAAGCCATCTGTGTTAAAACTTCTGTCAACCATTATGCTATTGCAGATCTGTATGAAGCTAATGCTGGAGTCCTCAGACGAGGATAATTTGGTGCCATTCCTGGTTTCCATGACAAAGCTTGCTTCAAGTTCTACTCACCTTACTTCTGAACTGGTATGTTCTTTTTTCCCTACACAGCTCTTCATGATTAAAAGCCTTACGCTCAATATGTTGCCCGCTGCGAAAATTAAATTTTCAACTAAAAAGATGAAATTTTCTTATTAGATCAACAAGATACTACAGTCTTCTTCTCCTGTTTCTTATCCTGACACTCTTTTTCTGAGAGTTTGAGTTGGATGGTTGATGGAAAGTGAAAATAGTTCATCATTTATTCTTGGTTTTGGAGAAAAGGAATCTCACTCTTTTTCTTTGAAAAAAAAAACTAAAGAGAGTCTATAATTATCGTATGTGGGTGCAGGCAGAGATTATCATCCCATTTTTGGGTGAAGATAAGACCTCTCATGTTCGAGCTGCGGTACTAAGATCTCTCCACTTTCTCATTAGAAGAGGAATGTGCTTCTCTCTTGTCCATGAAAGCGAAACTGCAAAATTTGCCAGCTTACTAAACCAAGCAGAGCTCTCACTAGATATGCAACTTAAAGCTCTTCAAATTTTTCAAAAGGTGATTAATTAGACAGATTATTTTATTTCTCCCTGTCTTAAGTGGAAGAGGCTTACTTATCTTTGATGTGAATGCAGATACTCATCTACAAACTAGTTGTGGCTGATGCATCTGAATTTCATCAGCTCATAGCTATTGTTGAGAATGCATCTCATATTCAGATCTTCTCAAGCAGTTGTTTAGCTATCAGTATTTTGGTGGATATATGGAAACAAATAGTCCGGACAGCAGAAATAAGATCAATTCAGTTTTCTTCTACATCTCTGCCGCTGCATCTCGTTGTATTAGTCATGGAAAGGGTCACCTTGTTGGGAAAACTATGCGCAGATCCGTTTCAGGTTGACTATGAGCTAGTTGGTGCGGTTCAAGAACTCTTCAATCTTCTCCTACAATTAGTTGGAAATCATTCTGAAATGAGGTTGATAGTTCTTGACAAAGTCAAGTTATTCGTAGAGTATATTGTGAACTTAACTGATGGCTTAAGAAAAACAGATGGAGCTCATGAACTGCTGCTTGGTGTTATCAGTTATAAAGGCAAAAGAGGGTCGGTGGTCGTGAGGTCAGAGCTTATAGCATCGATACACAAGTTCCTGATAGTGCTCTTGGAGAATCTGGACGGTGATGGTCCTGTGTTATCTCAAGTTTATGAAAAAGTTAAGCTTCTAACTGAGAGCGTACGTTCATGCAGCTTCTTCGATTGCCACACGAAAATGATATTCACTCTGCTATTACATTCTCCAATTCTTTGGGGATCCCCTGTGAATGGAAATTCATGCGCTTCACATGTTGCTGATATAGTGAACTACGGAATTGTTTCTCTTGAATGTTCGAATCAGATTTTAACTGAGAGAAACTACTGGCCTGCGTACAGAGCTGGGGTTTACGCAGCGCGTTTGGGTGCATGGGTCACATCTGCTTTGATATTTGATCAGCTTAAGACCAATGTCAAGTCTGATATCAACTGTTGTTGGTTAAAGTCATTAACCTATTTATCTCATGCTGAAGGGAAATTCCAACTGCTTCTCATGCCAAGTGATAGTATCAAGTTAGTTAACTGGTTGAGAAGTAAGAGTTGTTTACCAGAACTCTCCAAAGATGCATCAGGAGAGTTTGCCCATTGTGAAGCTCTTCATGAAGCACATATGAATTTACAATCGTCTCTGGGAATGTTGGGGAATATTAAAGCATCGAGTGAAGTTTTCTGTTTCCAAAGGTGGTTCTTGGTTCTAAAGACTCGGGTACTGGAAACTGTGATTGATCTTGTTGAACACCTCGGGCTGCTTAACCAAGACAACAAGAAGCAAGTAGAGGAAAAGTTCTTGACTGGTTGCAATTCTCTGCAACAGCTTCCTCGAATTGCTGTTCAGCTACAAAAGCTGGCGAAGGAATTTGATATGTTAGCGACGTGTTTTATTGACATAGACGATAGCAGCTGTTCCATTATCGCAACTCTTTCACTAAGCTGTTCAGTTCTTGCTTTTGCTTCTGGAAGTGTTCTTTTCCTTCCAGGTTTTTCTTTTCAAGAAACTTTGGCTCCTTTCAGTTCACAAAGTGGTGTACGCTCGAGGCTTGTACAAGACTTAGTTCAACGGCTGTGGAAAATAGACCCTGAAATCTGTGAAAAGCTTAACATACTCGTGAAGGAAAACGAATCATTGAACTGTTTCCACCTGCAACCTAGGAATCAGGTGTTGAGAGTCTGTGACAAGGTGAAGGTGTTACTCTCTATTTGCAGTGATGCTCTTTCATGCATTTATGGATTGCAGAAGCAGACAAATTCAACGCCCAAAGAGGACATTATGTCTCTGATTACCAAAAGTTGCAGGAATCTACTGTCACAAGGAATTATGAGATGGATGCAGATTCCTTTTGGCATTCCAAAGTATTTCTTCAACATAAGGTATTCTCATTCTGCTGACTTATAGATAGTTCTAATTAATCCAACTCGTATCAAGTACAATTCTATCTCCTTTGTCTTGATCACCAAATCGTTATTGAATTGCTGATGGTTTTAATGAAATGTGTGAGCATACACATCGAGTTTAATTTGTCTTTGTGCTGCTTAGTGAATGAAAGATTATGAATATTTCCAACCATGACTAACCTTTTACTGTTTCATTTTCTCCGCTAATATGTTTTCATTGGATTTCAATTTCAGGCCTTGTGTTGGTGTTGAGCTATTTGCTCTTAGTTCAGACAACAGCAAGAGTACTCCTGATACAATTTCAGTGGAACATGGGTTTCAACTGTCACTTGATCTTTGTCTTCAGTTGAAAAACATACAACAACCGAGAGCCCCTGTTCGACTAACCAAACTGTACTGTCTTCTCTATTCAAAACTAGCTTATCTTACCTCAACTCAACAGGGTGAAACCAACAGAAACCAAAAGTGTTGTTATTCCCCTTGGAGAGATGAAGATCTGGTAGAAATGAGTAACAAGCTGTTTCATCATGCTGTAACGTCTGGTAAGAAGCCGGGAGTTTCAGGTCGATTTGAATGGAACAACAGTGGTGGTGTTTCTGCGATTGTGGAGTTCGAACCAAATGAGAGAGGACAAGGGTTTTCGAGCTGCTTGCTAGACGTTTCGCGTTTCCCGGTTGGTTCATATCAGATAAAATGGCTAAGCTGTTGCATTGATCAACATGGTTCTTACTGGAATCTTCTACCTCTTAATGGCAAACCTGTGTTCACCGTCAAGAAAGCTTCATGACAAATTTCTATACTAGTTTTGATATGGTGAAAGATCTAAAGATCCAAGGAGGATGTGGTTTTGGGAGCAAGCAAGAAAAGAGGCAGATATTGGCTTGGTGTAGAAGCTTAACACTAATCTCGAGATTTGCAGCTGCAATATGAGTTCTGAGTTACCAGTTGGAATTGATACCGCGTCTGGTCAATAAGCTGCAGCACATAAGAGACATCTAAGGACACTAAAGACTCAAATGTATAATTATAAAGACGTTAGGGAACTTAACAATGCTATTAAGGCCATTTCCGGATAAACCAATTTTGTTTTTTCTTAATTATGTAATTCGATTGTAGACTGTGATCCATGATGATTAATGAATATTAAGTGGTATATATTTTTGTTTGATTAATAAAATGGGGTCCCGTAAAAGCTAAATTCAATTATATCCTACCTAGCTAACACCATAATTAGCTAGACACCTACAAATCTTTACTAATTTAAAACAGCTGTTTGGGGCCTCTTAGGCCATCCAAGTCAGCACTTTTTCCTTTTCTCCCACGCTGCCACGTCATTTCTAATATCTCGCTGAAAAACTATAGTAATTGTAAAGTAATTTACGTCTTCAGAATTCATTGCGTCTCTTCTCCTCCTCTTCTTCCTCATACGAAACGTTTTGCCTTACTATAAAGTTTAGATCCTCAGTTACGACTCGATCTCTTCAGTTTCAAGCTCCTCTCATCTCCATAGCTTCCTCATATGAATTGATTTCGTTTCAGTAGTCAAATTCAGTTCTAAATAGGATTTGCACTCTCAAAATCTATGACGAATCCGGCAACCCATTGGTAAGCTATCGTTTTCCTTCTTATACTCCTCTTCAATTGATTGGTTCCTGAGATCTGCGTTTTTTTTCCTCCCATGTAAACGCATCAGCCCAATTTGAGAAGGATCGAGTCGCAGGATGGTGAATATGACCTTACGTTGACCAAATCATCGGAAGTGGAGCTGAAGAAGAAGCTATTCCTCACCGCACAAGTGGACTGCATCAGCATTGATCATGAGGTGCTTTTACTTTGTTTCCAAATATTATTTGGATATGATAGTTTGGGGTTCTATTATGTGTATCATGAGCGGAAAGAACCCAAATCGTTTACTTCTTTCAGGGAGCGACTTCACCACTTACAGGCAAGCATTCTTATAAAGAGATTGCAACATTGAGGTGTTCCTCTCTTTTTCTTTTGAGGTATTATCAAATCTAACAAGTGTATGTTTCATACTTTCATGCATCAGAGGACAAAAATGGATCGGGTCTGCTTTGAGAGATCTGGAATACATGGGTGGGGTCTTTTGCGAGAAAAAATATTCAAGAAGGAGATATGGTACGACGACAGACTCATTTATGAATTTGGGTTTGGTCTATTTGGGATGAGAGTGAATGTTATTTGGGACGAGAGTGAATGTTGAGATGCTATTTTGTTTCAGGTTCTTGAATACTTAGGAGAACAAGTGAGAGATATCATTGCAGACTTGAGAGAAGCACGGTGTTGTGCAGAGAACGGAAGAATTGCTATGTGAGTTAAAAATTGTGTATCCCGTTTGATATCCACAATCTTCCTATCTCTCTGTCCCTCTTAACCAATGGTAGGATTTTGTGTTGCTTGCAGCTGTTCAAGATCAATGAGGAAGTAGTGGTTGATGCTCCAGAGAATGGGAATATAGGTCCGCTCATTAACCATTCGGTAAGTATTTGCCTTTTTTTCCAAAAAAGTTGTTTCCCTTTGTTGTGTTTTACTATACTACATTATCAATCTCCGTTTAGCAATAACATTTAAACTCTGCATCACTCTTACTCTCCACATCAATATGTTTCCTGTGTTTTCGACAGTTTAACTACAGTCGACAAATCATGACTATCTAAAGATTTGTGTTTACGTTTGGTCGATTTTACCACCGATTTAAGTAATTTATCTTTTTACTGCAGTTTCAAGCTATAGATCTTATCAATATTTGTAGAGGATGAAGGACATACCCATTAGCGAGTCTTTCACCACCAGGTACCACACATTCTATAGATCTTATGTACACCATATGGTCACTGATCCGAGAACATGTGAGTGACCGAGATGGGAGAAGAATCGAAAGGATTTTGATTCTTTAAGTGAAATAATTTGGTTCTTTCTTATGAAGTTGAAGAATCCCCTTCTTTTGCAAATTAGTTCTTTAAGCCTTTTGGTTGTAGAATGACTAATGATGACTAACATTAAGAACCAATGATAGAATTCTCAAGCTTCTTTCCCTTTTTAATGGACACGTTGCTCTTGAATCTCATATGTTCTTACATGTGTTTCATTAAAAAATGTTATGTAGGGAAGTGGACAGTACGAAATGTTAAGTGATCACATCATTAGATCTGTCGCTTGCAGCAGAGCTCAGACAAATTTTCTCATCGGTAATCTCTTATCTTCAACTTGCTTAACATATTTTTTCTTATCTCTGGTGATTTCCAATATTTTTTCTATCTTAGATGCTGTAATGCGATTTGGTTTATAACTAAGAAAAGCAGAACAATTTGTAACGTTTTAGAGTTGGGAAAAGAAATATGTCCACTGTTGAGTTGAGAAATGCAGAGAAATGCTATCTCAATGACTTGATGAGTAGGAGACATTTTGGTTGTAAGCTTCTACCTGCAAATTTTCAGAAGTATAGTAGCTTTGATGCAACTATAACATTTCCAGGCTTTGTTTAATTAAGCATGTTGCTGTGCAGTTAGGATTTCGCAAAGTATGTTTTTTTCGCAAAGTATACTTTGAATCAGAAGTATAGTAGCTTTGAGTCTCACCTTACATGAACTATTACACATGTGACAGAAACGAGGAAATAATATCTAGATTTTCTGTTAGGTTGCAAGTTTTTATTTGTTTGCCTCTCTCTTTCAGTTTTCCCACATGTCTTTATCTCATATAGTTCAATTAGTTAACAGATTCTTGAATCGTTTTTCTTTAATTATAATAATTTAGGAGCATCTTCAAGTTTCTAGATTAAAAGCGAACATGGACAATGTTCATCACTAAAACGTCAATTACCTGAATTTTAAGCATGATCTCCAACATGCCAAACTGTTTTCCTACTGTTGTTTCTGGTGCAATGCATTACATGGTTGTTTCCATTATACGTTTTCTTCAAGATGCTAGACTGTCATATGTTTCAACCTCTGCAGTGCATGAATCACCATCAACATGGCTTAAGATCTAAAAATCCTTAGATGGATACAGAAGTAATCAAGTAAACGCCTTTTTCTTCTTCTTACGAGTACTAAAGAAAGCTCAAGAGCATCTTTCTCTTGATCAGACGAGGTCAAGTCAACAATAGCATATAAATCTTGCATATGGTATAATTTCGTTTTCTGTTATGTTACACTCATGATTGTATTATGTACTTTGACTGCTATATATGGATTGAGATTTGAGAATAGAAAGACTTATATTTGCTCCGTGTTTGTTTTTCTTCTTTTCATAATTTTAAAGATGTGGCAAATGCTAAAAGCTTCAAGATCCCTCTAGGCTTTATATGAAGAATCTTGAGATTAGTCATTGTTCATTGGTATTGTCAAATTATAAGATTTTTCTGAACTACTCATGAAGATTATTCTTTCTACTAACTTGTATAATTACAAAACTGTGAATAAGCAAACATAATCTAAACAAAAGTTCCACATAAAAAAAACAAATACTATAAGACATTGAAGAAAATAAATCTTTAAACTTAATCAAAAGCCACAAAAAACGATCAAAAAATATAAACAAATTATCCCTTAACCTGCTGTAATCCCCCTATCTTATGAGGCAAAAAGAAGAAAAAGAGAGTTTGACAAAGGCGTAACTACATCATCCAAACGGACCAAACCTTTCCAATATACCAAATTATTTCATACAAACCTTTCCAGTATTGGTTTAAAGATTAATGACACACACCAAAAAAAATTTGCTATAGTTATTTTTATTGCTATAGTTATTAATAAAGAAAAGAACTAGCATGATTTTCACGAATTTGATGTTAATAGTTTTTTTTTTGTTTTTGTCATCTTTTGTAGGCCACAACGGGCCGGCCCACGGACCCATAATCCTCCCAATGAGGAAATTAACCCCACATAGGAGAATGTGGAATCGAACTCCAGACAAGATGGATACAGAGGTGACTACTATTGAGCCACTTGCTCCTCTTATTTGATGTTAATAGTTAGTAAATGTTATTTTGATCATCAATATAGTTTTAGGATGTTTTCTTCGCTAACTCTTATGCTACATTTTTTCAAACATATATCTTAATTTGTTAGAAAACACATTCTAAAAGTAATGTAAGCCAAATATTGTATTTGAAATATTAAATTCAGATTCACAGATTTATCCAACAAATATATTTATAAAAATAGTCCCGCGCGTAGCGCGGGATAACTCCTAGTTATATCCTAAATTCATTTTAATGGTGTTTGTTAGGGAATAGTACATGACAAAGGAAATACCTACGGAGGTGTGTAAATTCGGTTTTTAAAAACTATGAATACGTAAGAAAAAACAGTTCAAAGACCACAAAGAACTGGATTAGGACTCGTGATAGTGCAGTCTCCTTGATTAATGAGAGGGGACATAAGAATGACTTACAAGACATTAAACAACATTAACGCATGGTGTTTCTGTTCTCATTCCCTCGTACTTCGGCAAGGTATTAATATGGTAACTAAAACAACATCATTATAATTAGCTACTAATGAACGCTTTGTATTAAAGGCAAAGTTTTGTTGGTGACCAAAATTTTGTTGTATTTTGTTGAAATTTTAGGATTTTGGTGGTATTTGAAAACAAGGCAGTTCAAAGATAAAGGAGATCCATGTTATTTTTCAATTCAAAGTTATGATATCACTATATCAGTATAATTGTACACATGTTTTCCAACATGGCATTAAGTTTTTCAGTAATTAAATGACAAACTCAGTCAATATATTATAAAATTTGAAATCAGAAAGAAATAACTTGGAGAAAATAGATAATAAAGCATAACATAAGTAAAATATATAAGCATAAAATTTGAAAAACATAAGCTATAGTCATTAAAAACATACTATAACAAAGAGTGGCAAAATAGAGATTAATACAAAGGCTACAAACCAAGTCAATTTTTTTCCGGTCAATGAATTTTTTTTAAGGAAGGGAATTGAGTTAGTCAAAGTGAAGTGTGCATTTTTAATTTCATTTATTGGGAAACAAATCAAAGAGACTCAATTAGTTGGCATATGAAGATTTTTGACAGGACTAACAAACCAAAGGGAAGAAAGAAGAATCAGATTTAAAAGAAATAAACTTTTAGACAACAACATCAAAATCATTTGCTTTTAAAGATGAAAGTATCTGTGTAAATTAAAGAGCAAGAAGCCAAGAATAAGTTTCGTGTAAGTTGTCACACTGCATTAAGCATTTTCTTTATTAACTCAAGCATTAAGCATCGTTTTGTTTGATCTTAAGGTTTTTGACTTTTTGTTGTGAACATAATATCTAGAATTTGGATTTGAGATCAGATTTTTTTTTTTTTTTTGGGGGGTTAAAATAGATCTGATGAATTGTTTTACCTCTTCTATCATTTCCCTGGCACCACAATATATGACTATTTTCTCTCTAATGAGGTATACATTATTAGTTGGAAAACTATCAATGCACATAAATTTTGAGTATGCATAGTACTTTTCAGATATTTATGAACTTTATTTTGCTTATGACAAAAAGTTCGCCCTCATTTAATTTTATATTATTTTTTCATTACTAATAAATACAAAATTAAGTTGTAACAAGCTAGAACAAATTTTAATATGGAGGAAATGTTACCGTATGCAATTACCGTTGAGTTTTGGTTTGCAATTAATTAACTTCGTGTAACCTTCTTACTTAGCATCCATTTTCTTATGTTTTGATTGCAAATTCATTATTTTTAATTAACCTTTAGATACATATAAATATGTTGCTTTGGGGACCTGATTGTTTTACAACCTAACATGAATCTAGACTAAATTTTCAATTTTGCTATGAGAATAAAAGGCCAAATTCATATTTCTGGTGAGTAATTCATATAGCCAAGTTCTTTGATTAAACTCTTCTGTAATTTTATGACTCCTTTTTTAATTTTCGAACAGAGAAACCTTAAAAGTATATTTATATATATACACATAGATTCTCTCTCTATCTGTGTCCTTTTGCATCTATATTTTTAAATGAATTTTGATTAGAAATGAAAAGTTTTTTTCTTTTCTTTCTTGTATCTTTAAATCCATCCGATTTAGTTGATTTGCAATATCCATCCTTATTTATAGATTTTTTTTTTTTTTTTGCTTATGTAGTAATAGAAAATACATATATTAATCTTCCGTACGTTCGGTTCTGTTTCACATCCTCAGGCCTCAAATACAACCCCATCGGAATCCCACAACAGTATTTGGGACTTAAACAATAGAGAAACTCATAATCAAGATCAACTAGAGCCTAGAGGTAACGTCTTACTGATTTTTCTTGTTTTCTTTATGTTACATTGATCCATTTTCTGATATTTAATTGGAGGGGGAGAGTATGTTCTTGTGCTAATTTTATAACTAAAAAAAAAAATGGATGTCTTAAAATCTTCTTTTCATGAAGGTGTAAATGCAGATGACCCAAACACTAAAATGTCTAGTTTCATCCTATAGCAATATAATAAGTTTAAAGCACAAATTTCATATACGTAATTACCTTTTTTAATACTTAGTTATTTTTCTTACGGTTTTATACCATTCTTAAGCAAACTATTAAATTTCAAATCTAGTTTTTTTTTAACAAACTTTAATTTAGAAAACGGAAAAAAAGAAGAAGAGGAGTGAATGAATAGATCTCTTTTTAGTTGGAAGAAAAATTCAAAGAAAGAGGAAAAAACTCTACCAAAAACCTATCCACCACTCAAACCTTCCCAACCAAAACCCCATGACTTGGTCTACCCTTTTGCATTAAAAAAAATCTAATCTCATAATGCATGAATCTATACTTTTATACACTTTTGTGGATCGTTTTCCTTTTGCCGCAAACTAACTAGTAGCTAGCGTATCTATCTCTTACTTCTCCCTATATAAACAAATCAAATCACGTAAAAACGTCACAAAATGTATCATCATCTTTTTTAATGAGAGAGCTAGAGTTTCATGGTAAGTCATAATATAAAAGTTAGAAAAAAGTAGAGTTTCGAGATTATGAACAAATAAAACGGTATTGCGTAAACCGGTAGCAAAGAGAGGAAAAAGGGGATTAAAGATGTAAAAGAGTGCAAAATGTGTGACTCCCATTAGAAAAGACAAAAGTTTGTATAATGTTTCATTGGTAACCTTAGTTAGGCCTTTCTCTTTCCATGTGCTAACAACATACATATATATATAAATGTCTCACAAACCATTACCTTTAGCCATCCTCTTATTTGGCTCATCGGATCATCTTGTTTGGCTCATCGGATTATTATTTTAGGAGGATACCATGGAGATAAGGAAAACTCAAGTGGCCATGCCAGTTTTGTTGGCGATAATGACTCTTATGGCGAGTCAAGTGGTCTTCGCCGGTAAATTCCCTGACTCAATGGCACTCCATGACCGGCAAATGGCGGAAATGCAAGCCCTTAAAGCTTCATTGGTTCGCCGAAATCTACCGGCTTTGGTATCTCCTCCTCCTACCCCTCCTCAGGTAACAAATATATAGCCTTCTCGATCACAACAATCATATAGTTTATGTATGGTTGAGTTTATAGTTTTATTTGGTTTGATTAGATGAAAATGATACAAATGATGCAATATATGGTGTAGGCAGTACCTGGTCCACGCGTGTATAAAGTGATATCATATGGTGCCGATCCCACAGGGAAATCGGATAGCACGGAAGCGATATTAAAAGCTTTGGAAGATGCGTTTGACGGTCCAGAACATGGACCTTTGATCGCAGGTATAAATGATCTCGGAGGAGCAAGAATCGATCTTGAAGGTGGTAGCTACTTAATCAGCCGTCCTCTCCGGTTTCCCTCAGCCGGCGTCGGAAATCTCCTCGTAAGTATCTCTTATTTTGCGATCTCAGATTTTGTCAAACTATATTAAAATCATTAGTTGCATGTTTACATATAGAGTTAGATTTCTTCCGTACGTGCGACAAATTACTTTTATATATCGACCAAGTCATGCTCAAATAAATATTTACGTTTTATGTGACGTCATATGACACTGCATCCATATGTTAAATAAATATTTTAAGACATGAAATTCTTAGTAGAACCTTAGTTTAAACGTCAAACTTGATTAAATTTGTTCTTAGGTTGGTGAACCAAACGAAAATTTGTTCAATGATCATTCATTTTCATTCACGAGAATAGAATGATTCCTTTCTTTCTATGCATGTTTCTCTCATAATTTTAAACATTATGACCCTTTTATAACTCCCCAACAATAACTTTTTTCTGTTTCAATTTTTTTTTAATGAGATTCACTTCCTTTTTTTACCGTATTCCTTTGCATTCAAATATAAGAAAATGTTTCATAAAAGTTTCCATCAAAGCTACAACTTTCAACGCTTTGCATATGTACTTCCATTTCTATATTATAAAATAAGAAATCAACTTTGGAAATATATTTTTGTGTGGGAAAAATCCAAATATTTTTTTCTTGGTCAACTAATCCAAATATATTAGTCTCGTTAATTACATTGTAAATTATTTGTTAAAAAGTATACTCTACGATCATATAGTTGTGCCAGTTATATATATCATCTCCATTTTGAAATACTTATTTTTTTCGTTAATTATTTCGGTCTTGTGCATACATTTTCTGATTAATTTAAACTGATGGAACTTTCTTTTTCTTGACCTGTGTGACACGTCAGATCAGCGGAGGAACATTAAGGGCATCTGATGATTTTCCGGTCGATAAGTACCTAATCGAACTCAAAGACGAGGCGTCAAAGTTACAATACATCTTCGAATACATAACTTTCAGAGATCTTCTCATCGACTGCAACTACCGCGGAGGAGCAATCGCCGTCATCAATTCTCTCCGGACAAGCATAGACAACTGTTACATCACACGATTCGGAAACACGAATGGGATTCTTGTCCAAAGCGGACACGAGACTTACATTCGGAACACGTTTCTTGGTCAGCACATAACAGCCGGCGGAGACAGAGGAGAGAGAAACTTCACCGGAACCGCCGTGAATCTGATGGGAAACGATAACGCCGTCACGGACACCGTCATCTTCTCCGCCGCGATTGGGGTGATGATATCAGGACAGGCAAACTTATTGTCCGGTGTGCACTGCTATAACAAAGCAACCGGTTTTGGAGGAACCGGGATTTATTTGAGATTACCCGGTTTGACTCAGAACCGCATTGTGAATTCTTACATGGATTACACCGGTATCATCGCGGAAGACCCGGTTCAGCTACAGATTTCCGGTACATTTTTCTTGGGAGATGCGTTTATCTTGTTGAAATCGATGTCCGGTGTGGTTAAAGGGATTAATATCGTCGACAATATGTTTTCCGGGTCGGGTAATGGGGTACCGATTGTGAAATTGGATGAGTCGAGAAAGGCGTTTCATGACGTTGACCAAGTGGTGGTGGACCGGAACAGTGTGAACGGAATGGCAATGAAATCGACGGTGGCTAAAGGATCGGTCGATGGAAACGGGACGTCTTGGACCGTTGATTTTAACCCGGTTTTGTTGTTCCCGAATTTAATCAAGCACGTGCAGTACACGCTCGTAGCTGACGGGTTTCCTGTTCACGCGCTAAGGAACGTTTCGGGTAATCGAGTTATGGTTGAGACAAATGCTCCTGTTACTGCAACAGTTTATGTAACAGTCGATCAATGAGTTTACAGTTACATGTCTTGTTTTTGGCCGTAATAATGGTTTAATAATAGTATAAAATTATATTTGTGGTATTTTAGTATTTTTGTAAATTTTTAGTATCAGAGCATCTCCAATAGTCACTTTTAAAATAAAGGGGACACACCTTTAAAATAAGGGGTTTGTAAGTTTGGTTCCAATGGAGACCCTTATCCTTATCCCTTAAAAAAAATTACACAATATTATTAATTAAAACATTACATAATAATATAAAATTACATTAAAACATAAAATTATATATAAAAATATTAAACTAAAATTACATAATTTTCCAATCAATGAATGTTTTTATTTGATTTTATGTGGTGTTAATTAAATTTCTTATTAGAGAGAGTAAATGTTAAAAAAAAAAAAATTTTAGACTATACTGATCACAAAAAGTATTATAAATGTTATTTGTAAGATTGTATAATTACAAGGACTAAAATGCAAATTCAAAATATTTTTAAGGGGGTGAACAGTGACCATTTATATTTAAGGGTATACTATTCATCCCTTTAAAATATAAGGGGATAATGATCCATTGGAATGCAAAACCCCTTAAATTATAAAGGAATAAAGGTCCATTGAAGATGCTCTCAGGAGAAATTATATTTTCTTACTACAGCAAAAAAAAACTTGGAAATTGTGAGTACAGTTGAAGAGTTGTTGGCAGACATTTATTTAGTTGAGATGAAATTCAATGCAATGACTAATAGGAAAGTTATTTATGAAATAATGTTTTTGACCAATAGCTCTATTTTGCATAATGAAAAGGAAAGTTAAACACTTTGTTTACAGAGAAAGTAGGTGAAAATAAAAGTATAATTATTGTTTTTTATGACTGATGAATAATACTGGAAGAAAGCAAACTTTAGGTTGATGACGAATAAAGTCTAAGATGGTTTGGTACTTTGATTGTAAACAAAGTCTCATTTATACGAATCATTTATTTTCTCACCAGAAACCACAGGACATGAAATCTGCATAATAAATTTGCAGAACCACATAATTATATTAAAATTTAAATCATTAAAAAGTTTAAACCTTAAAATGACATATCCTTTTGATTACTAAAAAATGATAGATCGAATTATATTTGATTATCAAAATTGAAATTATAATCAATTTTTTTTTTTGATAAAGGAAAATCATTTTGTTATTCTTAAGAATTTGGTTATCAGCTGCCTACCAACATGCGTCAGAGAGAGACTCAGAGTCATGCTTTGAACTTTCTTTTATTTTCGCAATTCCTTATGAATAAAGCAAAAACATCTAAAGTGTTTCCGTTTAATAAATCGGAATTCGAGTCGGCTCATTGGAAAAATAAAGCAAAATACAAACAACATAAATAATGCCCTTTAATACACACCCACGCTCGTACGCCTCATATATGCCTGCAAGGCTGCAACTTCTTCATAATCATTCCCCCCACACACACTCTCTCTAGAATAAGAAAAAAAAAAAATCAAGAAAAACCATATGAAACTCGATTGCTTCCTCTGCTTGGTACTGTTTCTCATCACAATTTCCGTTGAATTTAAAGAGACATTATCCTTAAGAAGAGACATGACAAAGCTTCTTGAGTTCCAAAAGAAGGTCCAAGAAAGACTCGCAACCACTCCCACTCTCCCACCATTGTCTTCTCCTTCTTCTTCTGACTCTCCCAAAATGGTAAGAAGTCTCTTTCATCTATTCAGTTTCTACATTGTCTCACGCACGTGTGATTAGCTTGTGAGCGTGTGAGTTGGGTTTTGTGCAGGTGGGGAAGGTAATATACCCGATTGGCTACGGAGCTGACCCGACAGGTGTACAAGACAGTAGTGACGCAATCCTTGAAGCTTTAACCGATGCTTTTCAGTTACAAACAGGGCTTGAGATGCTTCCACGTGTCCCCGATCTAGGAGGCCTAGTTATTGATCTCCAAGGTGGCAGTTACAAGATCGGAAAACCTCTCCGGTTCCCTTCCTCCGGTGGCGGAAATCTCGTGGTCAGTCCTTTGGATTAAATTTTTAACTCTTGCTTAAAAAATTTACAAAAAAAAAAGTTTGAACTTTTATTCATTCTGCTCCAAAAGTTTGAGTTTTTGGTAAACAAATCTGCAAAAAGTTTGGGTTTTTACTCTTTCTTGGTATTGATTTAGGTGAAAGGCGGGACTTTCCGGGCATCAGACGTGTTTCCAGGTGATCGGCATTTGATCGAGCTTGTACCATCAAACTCCGGCAAACCAACAAAACCATCGCCGGAGGATTCTTTCTCCGATAGAAAAGACCAGGACTCCGGGATCTTCTACGAGGACGTGACATTCAAAGACGTTCTCTTCGACTCAAGCTTCAGAGGCGGAGGCATTTTAGTAATCGACTCAGCTCGCATCCGCATAACCACTTGCTACTTCCTCCACTTCACAACACAAGGGATCAAAGTCCAGGGAGGCCACGAGACGTACATCTCAAACTCCTTCTTAGGGCAACACTCAACGGTAGGCGGAGACAAACAAGAACGAGACTTCTCCGGGACAGGAATCGACATCTCGAGCAACGACAACGCCATAACCGACGTGGTGATCTTCTCCGCAGGCATCGGAATATCTTTAAACGGCGGTGCGAACATGGTCACGGGAGTGCATTGCTACAACAAAGCCACGTGGTTTGGTGGAATCGGCATTCTGGTGAAGTCTCATTTGACGAGGATAGATAACTGTTACCTTGATTACACAGGGATAGTCATTGAAGATCCTGTTCATGTTCATGTCACAAACGCTCTCTTCTTAGGAGATGCGAACATTGTCTTGAGATCGGTACACGGGAAGATCTCCGGTGTAAACATCGTTAACAACATGTTCATCGGTACACCGAAGAACAACTTCCCGATTGTGAAGATAGAAGGAGAGTTTCATGAGATTGATCAAGTTGTGATTGACCACAACAATGCCGAAGGAATGACGTTGAGATCAACTACAGGGAAGGCTAAGGTTTCAGCTAATGGGACGAGATGGGTCGCTGATTTTTCCTCTGTTTTGCTATTCCCAAACCGGATTAATTATTACCAGCATTCGTTTTTGGCTCAGTCCGGTCAGATTCCTGCGAGTGCAGTGACAAATGTTTCCAATAATGTTGTGGTTGTAGAAACCGATAGAGCTGTGACTGGAACTGTGTCAGTAATTGTTTATCAGTGAAACAACATTCTTCATTATTTTCTGAATAAGCATATATATAATGTGAGCCGGTCTATGCAAGTTCGGTTACAGTTTAGTGAACTTGAAGCTTAGAAGTAACAAACTAATACCAGCAATCAGCGACCTCATTACTGGCTACTTCTTCTGGTGCATGGAGCTTCTCAGGGGGACCAGAAGTCCTCGGGTGTTGTTGGAAATCGAACTTCCCGGGTTTTGCAATGTCTATGTAAATTGTCCTGCCATTGTACATCTGCAACATGAATGGGAACAATTTGGTTTGATTTTCATGCAGAAAAATACTAAAACTTGTTTATTTCAGTTGAGGTTTTGTTGAAAAAGAAGGTTATACCCGACGGTCCATGGTCTCTATGGCTAAGAAAGCATCATCTTGAGTTGTGAATTGGATAAAGGCGTAGCCTTTTGATCTCTTCATTGACTCGTCTTTGACTAGCTTAACTGTTTTGAAAGATAAAGAGTGAAGATATCAGTTTATCACGCTAAACCTTTGATAAAGAAAAATTAGATTTGGACACAGCAAGAAACAGAGTAATTGTGTAAGTAAAACACATCAAGATAACAACACACCTTCTGCTATCTCGCCAAAAGCTGAAAACTCCCTCTGCAGAAGATCTTCAGTTGTAGAAAACGGTAAATCTGAATATCTCAAAGCGAAGAAACATCAGAAACATAGAGAATTTACAAAACTGATTTCTGAAATTTCCAGAAACTAACACATGTTTCAGTATAGTCACTATCCTGACTCAAATTCACCGCAAGTCAATTATTTTTTAGGTTCTCCATCAAATCAGAATTGGAAATTTCTTTCTGGGTTAATAACAGAACTATATCCTAATCTCAGAGTGAAGCAAATTTGAATCTAAACCAAAGAGTAGTACAATTTAATTAAACTCATAAACTTACTTCTGACCATGATTTTGCTCGCGAGAGGATAATTAGAGAGCGAAGCTTGAATCTTTGGAAAATTACGGCTTCTGAAACTTGATAGAGAACTCGAAGAAGCCACAAAAGTAGGGAAAGAGAGAGTCGCCGACAACATGATTTCACGGCCGCCGGAGAGATTGAGACCGAGTGAATCGTGAAGATGAGGACCGATGTTTGAGGAGTTTCAAAAACGACAACGTTTAAAAGCTCTGGTGATTCGCGCTTAAAGCCCATTAATGCCTAATTTTTTGGCCCAATGATGTTATTTCGAAATAAACATAGGGGTGTGTGTATATATCTAATAGATTTGTGGCGATTTTAAAACAAACTGAAAATACAAGGAGCTAAAAGGTAATTACTACTCTTACTGAAAAACCTCACAAAAGCCCTAATTTCGTCACTCAAATCTTCCAGAAAAATTTCGAAGACACTCTTCTTCATCATTTCTCTCTCCCTCTCCGGCAGCGATGGCTATGATGTCTCACCGTCTCCGACGAGCCTTACTCACGGCTACTTCCTCTTTCAACCGATCAATCTCACTCTCTCCGGTGACTTCTCTCGCACCACCCGCCGATTTCCCTACTGCCTCGGTGGTGCTACAGAGATCCGTTCTAGGGCGTTTCACGGGAGTGAATCGAGCTCCGGCGAGGCTGTTTTCGACGAAGCAGTACAAGCTTTACAAAGAAGGCGATGAAATCACAGAAGATACCGTGCTGTTCGAAGGATGCGACTACAATCACTGGCTTATCACCATGGATTTCCCCAAGGATAATCCTTTGTCTCCTGAAGAAATGGTCTCTACCTATGAGCATACCTGCGCCAAAGGGCTCGGTATCAGGTTCGTTATTAAATTCTTATTCATGGAGTCTCAAAGTAGAAATGTTACCAAAAATTTCGTGGATTTGTATGTGTTTGCTTTCTTTGATCACATAGGATATGGAATTAGAAATGGAACATATTAGATGAATTTGTTTCTGTAGAAAGTTAGTGAGATTTCTGATTTGATTGCTTATCTGATGGAATGAGTTTTGTTTAGAGATCTCTGCATCTTTTTTTGTCATTAAATTGATCTTTTTTTTTGGTGTTTATGGCTGAGCTAGTTTACAAGAGGCCAAGGAGAAAATCTATGCTTGTAGCACAACCACTTACCAAGGTTTTCAAGCAATTATGACTGAGCAAGAATCAGAGAGGTTCAAGGGTATAGCTCAAAATAACTCATATTCTTTTCCTTTTGGAAGAAACTGTTTGACCAGAAACTGACTCCTCCTCTGTTATGTAAACAGAGATACCCGGAGTGGTCTTCATATTGCCAGATTCCTACATTGATCCTCAGAACAAAGAGTATGGAGGTAAGCTGTGTGTTTTTGTTTTTTTCTCCAAATGCGTCTCATTTTAGGTAAGATGTACAAATTTTGACGCTTTCTAATTTACCAAAATTATTTACGTTTCTTGTTTATTCAGGAGACAAGTACGAGAACGGGGTGATCACTCACAGGCCACCGCCAATTCAGCATAACAGAAGACCCCGTGATAGGTTCAACTCTAGATCTGACCGTGGAGGAGGCGGCGGTCAAAACTTCCAAAGAAACGCACAGTATGGTCAGCAACCGCCAATGCAAGGTGGTGGAGGGGGCTATGGTGGTCCTCCTCAGCATAGCTATGGGTCTCCAGGACAAGGAGGTCAAGCTCCTCCTCCATTTCAGGGAGGTTACAACCAAGGCCCTGCGGGATCTCCACCACCTCCTCCGTATCAGGCGGCGGGTTACAATCAAGGCCAGGGGTCTCCCGTGCCACCATACCAAGGAACACCAGGCGGTTACGGTCAAGGTGGACCTGGGAACTATAGCCAAGGGCCGCCACAAGGAGGTTACAACCAAGGAGGTCCACAAGGAAATGGAAACTTGGGTCCTGCACCGGGAGCTGGAAATCCTGGATATGGTCAGGGATATTCTGGAGCTGGACAAGTGCAGANAGTCCGGCGTCGGAAATCTCCTCGTAAGTATCTCTTATTTTGCGATCTCAGATTTTGTCAAACTATATTAAAATCATTAGTTGCATGTTTACATATAGAGTTAGATTTCTTCCGTACGTGCGACAAATTACTTTTATATATCGACCAAGTCATGCTCAAATAAATATTTACGTTTTATGTGACGTCATATGACACTGCATCCATATGTTAAATAAATATTTTAAGACATGAAATTCTTAGTAGAACCTTAGTTTAAACGTCAAACTTGATTAAATTTGTTCTTAGGTTGGTGAACCAAACGAAAATTTGTTCAATGATCATTCATTTTCATTCACGAGAATAGAATGATTCCTTTCTTTCTATGCATGTTTCTCTCATAATTTTAAACATTATGACCCTTTTATAACTCCCCAACAATAACTTTTTTCTGTTTCAATTTTTTTTTAATGAGATTCACTTCCTTTTTTTACCGTATTCCTTTGCATTCAAATATAAGAAAATGTTTCATAAAAGTTTCCATCAAAGCTACAACTTTCAACGCTTTGCATATGTACTTCCATTTCTATATTATAAAATAAGAAATCAACTTTGGAAATATATTTTTGTGTGGGAAAAATCCAAATATTTTTTTCTTGGTCAACTAATCCAAATATATTAGTCTCGTTAATTACATTGTAAATTATTTGTTAAAAAGTATACTCTACGATCATATAGTTGTGCCAGTTATATATATCATCTCCATTTTGAAATACTTATTTTTTTCGTTAATTATTTCGGTCTTGTGCATACATTTTCTGATTAATTTAAACTGATGGAACTTTCTTTTTCTTGACCTGTGTGACACGTCAGATCAGCGGAGGAACATTAAGGGCATCTGATGATTTTCCGGTCGATAAGTACCTAATCGAACTCAAAGACGAGGCGTCAAAGTTACAATACATCTTCGAATACATAACTTTCAGAGATCTTCTCATCGACTGCAACTACCGCGGAGGAGCAATCGCCGTCATCAATTCTCTCCGGACAAGCATAGACAACTGTTACATCACACGATTCGGAAACACGAATGGGATTCTTGTCCAAAGCGGACACGAGACTTACATTCGGAACACGTTTCTTGGTCAGCACATAACAGCCGGCGGAGACAGAGGAGAGAGAAACTTCACCGGAACCGCCGTGAATCTGATGGGAAACGATAACGCCGTCACGGACACCGTCATCTTCTCCGCCGCGATTGGGGTGATGATATCAGGACAGGCAAACTTATTGTCCGGTGTGCACTGCTATAACAAAGCAACCGGTTTTGGAGGAACCGGGATTTATTTGAGATTACCCGGTTTGACTCAGAACCGCATTGTGAATTCTTACATGGATTACACCGGTATCATCGCGGAAGACCCGGTTCAGCTACAGATTTCCGGTACATTTTTCTTGGGAGATGCGTTTATCTTGTTGAAATCGATGTCCGGTGTGGTTAAAGGGATTAATATCGTCGACAATATGTTTTCCGGGTCGGGTAATGGGGTACCGATTGTGAAATTGGATGAGTCGAGAAAGGCGTTTCATGACGTTGACCAAGTGGTGGTGGACCGGAACAGTGTGAACGGAATGGCAATGAAATCGACGGTGGCTAAAGGATCGGTCGATGGAAACGGGACGTCTTGGACCGTTGATTTTAACCCGGTTTTGTTGTTCCCGAATTTAATCAAGCACGTGCAGTACACGCTCGTAGCTGACGGGTTTCCTGTTCACGCGCTAAGGAACGTTTCGGGTAATCGAGTTATGGTTGAGACAAATGCTCCTGTTACTGCAACAGTTTATGTAACAGTCGATCAATGAGTTTACAGTTACATGTCTTGTTTTTGGCCGTAATAATGGTTTAATAATAGTATAAAATTATATTTGTGGTATTTTAGTATTTTTGTAAATTTTTAGTATCAGAGCATCTCCAATAGTCACTTTTAAAATAAAGGGGACACACCTTTAAAATAAGGGGTTTGTAAGTTTGGTTCCAATGGAGACCCTTATCCTTATCCCTTAAAAAAAATTACACAATATTATTAATTAAAACATTACATAATAATATAAAATTACATTAAAACATAAAATTATATATAAAAATATTAAACTAAAATTACATAATTTTCCAATCAATGAATGTTTTTATTTGATTTTATGTGGTGTTAATTAAATTTCTTATTAGAGAGAGTAAATGTTAAAAAAAAAAAAATTTTAGACTATACTGATCACAAAAAGTATTATAAATGTTATTTGTAAGATTGTATAATTACAAGGACTAAAATGCAAATTCAAAATATTTTTAAGGGGGTGAACAGTGACCATTTATATTTAAGGGTATACTATTCATCCCTTTAAAATATAAGGGGATAATGATCCATTGGAATGCAAAACCCCTTAAATTATAAAGGAATAAAGGTCCATTGAAGATGCTCTCAGGAGAAATTATATTTTCTTACTACAGCAAAAAAAAACTTGGAAATTGTGAGTACAGTTGAAGAGTTGTTGGCAGACATTTATTTAGTTGAGATGAAATTCAATGCAATGACTAATAGGAAAGTTATTTATGAAATAATGTTTTTGACCAATAGCTCTATTTTGCATAATGAAAAGGAAAGTTAAACACTTTGTTTACAGAGAAAGTAGGTGAAAATAAAAGTATAATTATTGTTTTTTATGACTGATGAATAATACTGGAAGAAAGCAAACTTTAGGTTGATGACGAATAAAGTCTAAGATGGTTTGGTACTTTGATTGTAAACAAAGTCTCATTTATACGAATCATTTATTTTCTCACCAGAAACCACAGGACATGAAATCTGCATAATAAATTTGCAGAACCACATAATTATATTAAAATTTAAATCATTAAAAAGTTTAAACCTTAAAATGACATATCCTTTTGATTACTAAAAAATGATAGATCGAATTATATTTGATTATCAAAATTGAAATTATAATCAATTTTTTTTTTTGATAAAGGAAAATCATTTTGTTATTCTTAAGAATTTGGTTATCAGCTGCCTACCAACATGCGTCAGAGAGAGACTCAGAGTCATGCTTTGAACTTTCTTTTATTTTCGCAATTCCTTATGAATAAAGCAAAAACATCTAAAGTGTTTCCGTTTAATAAATCGGAATTCGAGTCGGCTCATTGGAAAAATAAAGCAAAATACAAACAACATAAATAATGCCCTTTAATACACACCCACGCTCGTACGCCTCATATATGCCTGCAAGGCTGCAACTTCTTCATAATCATTCCCCCCACACACACTCTCTCTAGAATAAGAAAAAAAAAAAATCAAGAAAAACCATATGAAACTCGATTGCTTCCTCTGCTTGGTACTGTTTCTCATCACAATTTCCGTTGAATTTAAAGAGACATTATCCTTAAGAAGAGACATGACAAAGCTTCTTGAGTTCCAAAAGAAGGTCCAAGAAAGACTCGCAACCACTCCCACTCTCCCACCATTGTCTTCTCCTTCTTCTTCTGACTCTCCCAAAATGGTAAGAAGTCTCTTTCATCTATTCAGTTTCTACATTGTCTCACGCACGTGTGATTAGCTTGTGAGCGTGTGAGTTGGGTTTTGTGCAGGTGGGGAAGGTAATATACCCGATTGGCTACGGAGCTGACCCGACAGGTGTACAAGACAGTAGTGACGCAATCCTTGAAGCTTTAACCGATGCTTTTCAGTTACAAACAGGGCTTGAGATGCTTCCACGTGTCCCCGATCTAGGAGGCCTAGTTATTGATCTCCAAGGTGGCAGTTACAAGATCGGAAAACCTCTCCGGTTCCCTTCCTCCGGTGGCGGAAATCTCGTGGTCAGTCCTTTGGATTAAATTTTTAACTCTTGCTTAAAAAATTTACAAAAAAAAAAGTTTGAACTTTTATTCATTCTGCTCCAAAAGTTTGAGTTTTTGGTAAACAAATCTGCAAAAAGTTTGGGTTTTTACTCTTTCTTGGTATTGATTTAGGTGAAAGGCGGGACTTTCCGGGCATCAGACGTGTTTCCAGGTGATCGGCATTTGATCGAGCTTGTACCATCAAACTCCGGCAAACCAACAAAACCATCGCCGGAGGATTCTTTCTCCGATAGAAAAGACCAGGACTCCGGGATCTTCTACGAGGACGTGACATTCAAAGACGTTCTCTTCGACTCAAGCTTCAGAGGCGGAGGCATTTTAGTAATCGACTCAGCTCGCATCCGCATAACCACTTGCTACTTCCTCCACTTCACAACACAAGGGATCAAAGTCCAGGGAGGCCACGAGACGTACATCTCAAACTCCTTCTTAGGGCAACACTCAACGGTAGGCGGAGACAAACAAGAACGAGACTTCTCCGGGACAGGAATCGACATCTCGAGCAACGACAACGCCATAACCGACGTGGTGATCTTCTCCGCAGGCATCGGAATATCTTTAAACGGCGGTGCGAACATGGTCACGGGAGTGCATTGCTACAACAAAGCCACGTGGTTTGGTGGAATCGGCATTCTGGTGAAGTCTCATTTGACGAGGATAGATAACTGTTACCTTGATTACACAGGGATAGTCATTGAAGATCCTGTTCATGTTCATGTCACAAACGCTCTCTTCTTAGGAGATGCGAACATTGTCTTGAGATCGGTACACGGGAAGATCTCCGGTGTAAACATCGTTAACAACATGTTCATCGGTACACCGAAGAACAACTTCCCGATTGTGAAGATAGAAGGAGAGTTTCATGAGATTGATCAAGTTGTGATTGACCACAACAATGCCGAAGGAATGACGTTGAGATCAACTACAGGGAAGGCTAAGGTTTCAGCTAATGGGACGAGATGGGTCGCTGATTTTTCCTCTGTTTTGCTATTCCCAAACCGGATTAATTATTACCAGCATTCGTTTTTGGCTCAGTCCGGTCAGATTCCTGCGAGTGCAGTGACAAATGTTTCCAATAATGTTGTGGTTGTAGAAACCGATAGAGCTGTGACTGGAACTGTGTCAGTAATTGTTTATCAGTGAAACAACATTCTTCATTATTTTCTGAATAAGCATATATATAATGTGAGCCGGTCTATGCAAGTTCGGTTACAGTTTAGTGAACTTGAAGCTTAGAAGTAACAAACTAATACCAGCAATCAGCGACCTCATTACTGGCTACTTCTTCTGGTGCATGGAGCTTCTCAGGGGGACCAGAAGTCCTCGGGTGTTGTTGGAAATCGAACTTCCCGGGTTTTGCAATGTCTATGTAAATTGTCCTGCCATTGTACATCTGCAACATGAATGGGAACAATTTGGTTTGATTTTCATGCAGAAAAATACTAAAACTTGTTTATTTCAGTTGAGGTTTTGTTGAAAAAGAAGGTTATACCCGACGGTCCATGGTCTCTATGGCTAAGAAAGCATCATCTTGAGTTGTGAATTGGATAAAGGCGTAGCCTTTTGATCTCTTCATTGACTCGTCTTTGACTAGCTTAACTGTTTTGAAAGATAAAGAGTGAAGATATCAGTTTATCACGCTAAACCTTTGATAAAGAAAAATTAGATTTGGACACAGCAAGAAACAGAGTAATTGTGTAAGTAAAACACATCAAGATAACAACACACCTTCTGCTATCTCGCCAAAAGCTGAAAACTCCCTCTGCAGAAGATCTTCAGTTGTAGAAAACGGTAAATCTGAATATCTCAAAGCGAAGAAACATCAGAAACATAGAGAATTTACAAAACTGATTTCTGAAATTTCCAGAAACTAACACATGTTTCAGTATAGTCACTATCCTGACTCAAATTCACCGCAAGTCAATTATTTTTTAGGTTCTCCATCAAATCAGAATTGGAAATTTCTTTCTGGGTTAATAACAGAACTATATCCTAATCTCAGAGTGAAGCAAATTTGAATCTAAACCAAAGAGTAGTACAATTTAATTAAACTCATAAACTTACTTCTGACCATGATTTTGCTCGCGAGAGGATAATTAGAGAGCGAAGCTTGAATCTTTGGAAAATTACGGCTTCTGAAACTTGATAGAGAACTCGAAGAAGCCACAAAAGTAGGGAAAGAGAGAGTCGCCGACAACATGATTTCACGGCCGCCGGAGAGATTGAGACCGAGTGAATCGTGAAGATGAGGACCGATGTTTGAGGAGTTTCAAAAACGACAACGTTTAAAAGCTCTGGTGATTCGCGCTTAAAGCCCATTAATGCCTAATTTTTTGGCCCAATGATGTTATTTCGAAATAAACATAGGGGTGTGTGTATATATCTAATAGATTTGTGGCGATTTTAAAACAAACTGAAAATACAAGGAGCTAAAAGGTAATTACTACTCTTACTGAAAAACCTCACAAAAGCCCTAATTTCGTCACTCAAATCTTCCAGAAAAATTTCGAAGACACTCTTCTTCATCATTTCTCTCTCCCTCTCCGGCAGCGATGGCTATGATGTCTCACCGTCTCCGACGAGCCTTACTCACGGCTACTTCCTCTTTCAACCGATCAATCTCACTCTCTCCGGTGACTTCTCTCGCACCACCCGCCGATTTCCCTACTGCCTCGGTGGTGCTACAGAGATCCGTTCTAGGGCGTTTCACGGGAGTGAATCGAGCTCCGGCGAGGCTGTTTTCGACGAAGCAGTACAAGCTTTACAAAGAAGGCGATGAAATCACAGAAGATACCGTGCTGTTCGAAGGATGCGACTACAATCACTGGCTTATCACCATGGATTTCCCCAAGGATAATCCTTTGTCTCCTGAAGAAATGGTCTCTACCTATGAGCATACCTGCGCCAAAGGGCTCGGTATCAGGTTCGTTATTAAATTCTTATTCATGGAGTCTCAAAGTAGAAATGTTACCAAAAATTTCGTGGATTTGTATGTGTTTGCTTTCTTTGATCACATAGGATATGGAATTAGAAATGGAACATATTAGATGAATTTGTTTCTGTAGAAAGTTAGTGAGATTTCTGATTTGATTGCTTATCTGATGGAATGAGTTTTGTTTAGAGATCTCTGCATCTTTTTTTGTCATTAAATTGATCTTTTTTTTTGGTGTTTATGGCTGAGCTAGTTTACAAGAGGCCAAGGAGAAAATCTATGCTTGTAGCACAACCACTTACCAAGGTTTTCAAGCAATTATGACTGAGCAAGAATCAGAGAGGTTCAAGGGTATAGCTCAAAATAACTCATATTCTTTTCCTTTTGGAAGAAACTGTTTGACCAGAAACTGACTCCTCCTCTGTTATGTAAACAGAGATACCCGGAGTGGTCTTCATATTGCCAGATTCCTACATTGATCCTCAGAACAAAGAGTATGGAGGTAAGCTGTGTGTTTTTGTTTTTTTCTCCAAATGCGTCTCATTTTAGGTAAGATGTACAAATTTTGACGCTTTCTAATTTACCAAAATTATTTACGTTTCTTGTTTATTCAGGAGACAAGTACGAGAACGGGGTGATCACTCACAGGCCACCGCCAATTCAGCATAACAGAAGACCCCGTGATAGGTTCAACTCTAGATCTGACCGTGGAGGAGGCGGCGGTCAAAACTTCCAAAGAAACGCACAGTATGGTCAGCAACCGCCAATGCAAGGTGGTGGAGGGGGCTATGGTGGTCCTCCTCAGCATAGCTATGGGTCTCCAGGACAAGGAGGTCAAGCTCCTCCTCCATTTCAGGGAGGTTACAACCAAGGCCCTGCGGGATCTCCACCACCTCCTCCGTATCAGGCGGCGGGTTACAATCAAGGCCAGGGGTCTCCCGTGCCACCATACCAAGGAACACCAGGCGGTTACGGTCAAGGTGGACCTGGGAACTATAGCCAAGGGCCGCCACAAGGAGGTTACAACCAAGGAGGTCCACAAGGAAATGGAAACTTGGGTCCTGCACCGGGAGCTGGAAATCCTGGATATGGTCAGGGATATTCTGGAGCTGGACAAGTGCAGAACCAGGCATTTCCACAGGCAGAGCAGAGGAATCCAGTGTGGAACAACAATAATCCAGCAGGCCAGCCCGGATCTGACCAAGTAAGTGACTGATTATAAAAGATGAATTTTGCATTCAAGTTACTTTGCCACATAGTTGTTACTGAGATTGTTCTTTCTTTCAGTTTCCACAGGGGAGAAGATACTAGAGAGAGAGAGAGAGATGCTGTGAATGGAGCTGAATAAGGAGAGAAGTGTCAGGCCTTTTATTCAGTGTTTTTAGTAAATAGTATTTAGTCAATCTTTTCTTCTTTATTTATAAGACGAGAGTGATCCCTTTTTCTCCCAAGTTAAGAGCTTGTTCAACGTTGTCTGTTTACATCTGTTAACTTAAAACCCTTTGGAAAAAGTTATTTTTATATCCAATCTGCTTATTTGAGAGTTTTGTCTGGTACCATATCCACTGACCAAAGATCAAAATGAAACTCGGATGAGTAAATTAGATAGAAAAAATTATTTTTGCAAACACTTGGAGCTCTTTACAAACATGGGGATAATCTTGTCTGGTGGTGGTAGTTGTGGTAATACCCAAGTAGGAGACTCATTTAGCCACAGTGCTTCACCTGTCTCCTTGTGCTTGAAATCAGGGGCTTTCGCATTTCTCTACACTCAAAACGAAAACGGTATTGTGACAACTGACAACACTCATTTTCTTCAAAAGATTATTGAAAGAGCTGAGCAAACGATATAACTACCTTCTCAATTCTATTGTCCCACCATTTATCTGGATTCTGAACCAAGTCCTTCCATGATTCTTCACCTACACCATCTCAAACCAGATTTTGGTTAACATAACTGTTTCTTTGTGTAGTTCCATAGGGACAATGGAAAACAAAGGGAAACTTTTACCTTTAAGTTGTTTCACTACTCTGGCTTTAGGGACAAGAACATCAAACTCGAGCCCTTCGAGTTTTGGCAAAACCCAATTAGGAGCCTTGTTGAGCCACAATGAGACACTGTTGTCCTTGTTCTTGAAATCAGGATGTCTTGGTTTAACCTATGCGGAGAAAACTTAGAAGTCAACATAAAGCAAGATGAGGGTGAATTGTTAAGCACATTTGACATTTACCAATCCTTTGGCTTTATTTTCGCGGTGATCCCGCCATTCTCTAGGGTTCTCAATGAGGTGATTCCAAGAATCAGAAGCTTCATCCACGACTATATTCTTCTTAGCTCTAGCTAGAGAGTCAAAAAATTTACAAAACCATTAGCCAGAGAGTCAGAAGAGTTCATAAGGAAACACATTTTCGATGAAATAGTTACAATAAATCGAAAAGTAGCTCCCTAAAGAGCCTTGCACAGACCTAACACAGGCATGTCAGAAGCTTCATCCATGACAACATCCTTCTTAGCTCTCGCTACAGAGTCAAACAAATGTATCAATCCTTTAGCCAGAGAGTGAGTTCACAAGAAAACACATTTCGATGAAACCCGTTACAAGATATTAAAAAACTAGCTTTCTCAGAGCCTTGCTCAGACCTAACATGACATTGAAATAAGAGTTCGAAGAAAAATTAATATGACACATACCAGGACGCTTCTTGACGCCAGTTTCTTCCATCTCAGATAATGGTAAAACCAAAGGCGGAGAAGCAGGCTGTACAAAACTAAGACTCTGTACCAACACCTGATGTGAGCAAACCACCTCAAGTTACAATAGGATATGTGGAACTATTCATACAGATTCAAGGAGAAAACAAAAACTTTGAAAGAGATAGCAAACCAAAATAATACTCTTATCACAAATTCTCATGACTTTTAAATAATTTCATTAAACGAACTCCTAACAAGTAGGGCTTTAAGGCTCACCTGGACATTGGATTGAGCATAAGTCATATTTGGAGGAGGGGAATCTATAAAGAGCTTTCCAGAAACATGAATAAGATCGTCTTTCTTTATATATCGAGCTGCGGTTTTAGCTAAATCACCTTCGAATATTATCGGAATCCTGACAAGGAAATCCAAAACCTCTTTTAATATCAATCACATACAGAGTTACATCAAAACTATCTCATCTTTGAGCTTATATCAATCATTTTCCTCTTTTAATATCAATCACAGGAAAATGCATACTAATCACACCGGGCAATACATATATTCTAAATAATGATAAATCAATAAGTGAAAAAATTGAGAAAGTGTTAAGTACCAGAAAGCAGAGGAATCTGAAGCGGACTTCTGGGAAATAACAGTACCAGCCCAGAATTTGCCGTCAGAAGAAGCTTCGAATTGAACAGGTTGATCAACAGATCCTATCAGATTGACCCAATTCGCCACTTCCGTATTGTAAGCTATCTCATTTGGCCGACCTAATCCATCCTCCTTCTTCGCCGTGACTGCCGCTACCTCCGGCGCTTTCACCGGCGTCACCACATCCGGCGCCGGTGCCTTGACTATTCGTTTCTTTCCGACATCACCAGTTTTCCCGGCGACAGCCACAGTGCATAAACGGATTTGCTGAGAGCTGATTCGTTTTTCCGCAGGCCTTGGATGGAAAAATGGCGAACATTCGAGTCTCGTCAATGATTTGGAAATCAAATTCATCTTCTCATAACAACGGGGAAGAATCACGTTTCTCGAATCCGCGAAGGGATTTTGAATTTGGAAGACGAAGAGAAACCCTAATTTTCGGGAAGGGTTTAAGGAAAACAAATGGAAGAAAGGGGGAAAAATGTCGATGACAGGGATGGATAGTGGTTACTGATTAGTGTCGTTTAGTTGGCGCCAACTAAAATCTGTGACTGTATATCTTCATTATTCCGGTTTACAGATTTTAGTTGGGCCTTATACGGGCCTAAACCGGGCTTCTTTATATGAATGTTCAGTGTTTCTTAATAAGGAAAGTTAATTATCGATAAAATAATTAGCTAAACGCCATGCACGTAAAACACGTACGTATATTAATTTGATTTCAGTCACGGAGTCACCAATTCATAAATTGACAACTTATTAAAACAAACGTCTCACCTTCCACGCTACAGCCTTATTTTTTTCCAAAAATTATAAAATGCAATGAAACGTTTTTGTGTTATTAGGTGATACGATTATATACATTGACTTGGTCGTTGTTTTGCTTGTTTTTTTTCTTTATAAAGGGTTTGCAAACGTTTATTTTCTTTGTTAAGGAAGTTAACCGTCCTTACATAATGCTTAAGAGTCACTTTATATTTTCTTAGTTTAACAATTGCTATCACTAAAATTTTCATTACATGACACAAATGTATATTGTATTACATGTGTGTCTCTATATACAGACTTGATATACACTTAGCATGTGAGTGAAATGTGAAAGGAATTTAACAATATTTGATGCAAAGTTGACTAATGATATATATCCAAAGGAGTGGTCTTAAACTTTGACCATGAAACAAGGTTAATGAATATCTCTAAATCAATTGAAAACCAAAGTTGAGTACATTTTTTTGACTGCGTACATTGTTCATTTGATGATGATTTTGGCCTTTTCTTTGATTCATTCTCTCTGTCGTCTTTACCGGGAAAAGTACAGCATAAATAATAACTCTCTTATGTTTTGTAAAAAAATATTTATAAAAAATGTTTGTAAATTTTCACCATTACATAATAAAGGAAATCTTATGCGTTTTTAAATACTAGGTTTGAAGCCCCGCGCAAGCGCGGGGTTGTTTGCGATAGTTTTTCTGTTTAATTTTATTTATACTCGTTGATTTGAATTATGATGGTTTTGTATTAACTTTCATGTTTTTGTTATGTTTTGAGTTAACTCAATTTATTTTTTTTTTAATTTATTAGGATATTAACACCCCGCTTTATCTCGAGTTTTCTATTTCTAAAATTTATCATGTTATAAATATTATGTTTGTTTACTTTTTTTTTACTTCTATTAGACTGTAAACATGTATATGTATTTGATTGAAGGTTAAAATTTATAAATATGTATATGCATTTGACTGAAGGTTAAAATTTGTAAACATATTCTTGTTTTTCACTACAATTAAATTTACATATAAAACTCCATTTCTATTTGTTTAGAAAAACAAACTCTAACTCTAATGTTTCATTAGCTTTCTATTATCTTAATTAATTTATATTCAACTTTTTAACTTGTAAACACATTATAACATTTTTAAATAGATAAATCCTTTGAATAAAAAGGTAAATATATACTATTTGAAGTTAAATATTTCTTTACTCCATCTCTATTTTATATTCCAACTTTTTGATAACTTTTAACATCAAATTATCACATACTTTCTATTAATTAATTTAATTTATTTGTATATTTTTATTAAATATGAATAAATGTAAAGAAATATGAATAGTCATATATTTAATAAATAATTTAAATACAATTTAATGTTTTTGTGCTGATGTGGACACTCTAGATGGAGAGAGCAACTCTCCTATTATATATAAGATGAGTATATATGAGATATGACTAAAGTCTCCGACATCATCTTACATCTTTCATCTTTGCATATTTTAATTTTGTTATCCACTCGTCCACCTTTATTATAGTTCGTTCACACAAGCATATTATCATATTTAAACCTAAGTTATAATTTATAACACAAGACAGGTATTAGTATAAAGAACTATATTTCATTTTATTGTGTGAAATCCATATATCATCCGATAAATAGAAATGATTTTGTTTATACATTGGCTGTTGTAATATATTTATGATCCGATACATTTTATTAAAACGTTTCAAAATCTTAATTAGATCATGATTTTTTTTACATATGTAGGAACTAGGATCGTAAGCAAATACGCAAGCATATTCTAGTTGTATAGATGGATCAAGATATATAAAGATTAGAGAAAAAGACTGATATATTGATATTTCTTTGTTTGATATACTATGTAAGTTTTATTTGTTTAGCATATAGATAATGTATATTACAGAATTATAGGAAACCTACTTAAATTAATCTCTTATATCGATATATATACTTGAATAGTTGAATCTAACAATCTTACCATATTGATATCATTTTTTGTTTCATAACAGGCAAATCTCTAACATAACATAAAAACACACAAACATATTGACATCTTTAGCTTGAATCAACTTTACGCAAAAAGATCCATTATGTGTGTAGCAAGCTATTGAAACGTGAACTTTTCAATCTTTAGGTGACTGGATGAATGACCATTCCAAATAAATTTCATTTTTCTAACTAATTAATCGAATTAATTAAGAGAATATAAATTACAAGAATCGAAGTACAACATTTAATAAAGCATCGATCTATGGAACAGAAACAAAATATTTTATCCAACAAATATTTTTAGAAAATGCTCACTGGACTTGTAAAGCAATATTCCCAAATACTTTTATTCTCTAAGTAACATCACCGCGATCATGATTATCATCATCTTCATAATGATCTAATGACTAAAACAAGCTATACTATAAATCAAGATCTCTCATCATAAACTCCTCCAAACTTGCCGTTTCTAGGTGAAAATCATGATGATAGTAATCAGTATGATCCAAACCATCCTCATAGCAACTATTCCCGGAATATTCCCTCAACAGATCATGATCATGATCTTGATCAACCACCGAGTTACTTTCCTCACCCAGCTGATACGAAGTCGTTGCTTCAGAACATGACCAAGTCGCGTGACCCTGCTCGTTACTCACGTGCCGGTTAAGCACTTGATCATGATCGTAGTTACTTCGATCGTGGGAGACCGGAAAGATAGCTTCGTTAGAGATTGTAGTCGGAGACCCGAAGTCCAGAGTCACGGGACCTTTTCTACGGTTGGATTCACCTCCCGCAGAACGTCCGGTGAATTTCTGAACTAGGGCTCGGAAATTACTAGGGTTTGCGTTTAGGAGAGTCGTTGGTATGGCTCTCCTTGAAGCCCTAGATCTCCTTCCGGAAACTTCGTGCACCGTCGCACCACCGTCTCGAAGGGAATATCCTGATGACGACGTCATATTGCACGGAGTCATCTCTTGAACGTGGTGTTGTTCGTAGTGTTGTAGCCACTGCTCTGCTCTAGAGTTGTTGTTATCCATCGGACTTTTTTGGTGTTTTTCTACTTGAAAATACTTTTTCTTTAGTGTGCCGTGTATTCATTGCATAGGCTTTAGGACTTTGGGTTAATGTTACTTTATAATGCGGCCGGAACAGATGTAACTCTTGATGGTCGTTGACGTTGACTTGTTTTCTTGAAGTTTTTTATATGTTATGTAGTTAAATAACCCAATAAAATAATTTGGGCAGTGTGTAAATCATTTAGAGTGTTGAGGAAGTATTTGTACGTATAACTAGTACGTGTTTTAATTTTATAATGTTCTCTTGGTTTAAACAATTCAGTAGCTGAGGATTCACTATGTCAAAGCAAGATGAAGATTCCACTTTTTATTATTATGATTTGAATTATGGTTACATACTTAACAGTGAAAGAATGACCAGCCTTTTCATGGATTTTGACTATTCTTTATTGTGTAGCTTAAAATTACTTGGTATTCATTCAGAAAAAAAAAAATTATTGTGAGTTTAGTGTTGGTTCGTTTCTTAAGTGTAAGTAAACTGCTAGTATTTTAAAAGGAGTTTTCCGAAATAATTATCAGCATGGTTGTTAAGTTTTACAATTTTTCTGATCAGAAGTTTTATCATATTGATAACCGATTGATATGTATGTTAATATTCAGAATGAGTTTTCGTGAGGCGTTAACTTGTGGTAAGGTTAATTTCAATATTTTATGCATATATATATGCCCAACATATTAATATTTTAGGTGGATGGAGATGGAGTGACAACGAAAATAATATTATAGGAACTAGGAAGCGACAAATGATGATAACATCAAGCATGATCTTATAGGAAGACTTGACTTTGATGATTTCCTGTCTCTTCGTTCTCTCGATCGTTTACTGGTCAATGCCCTCTTTTTATATGTTGTTTTAGAAAAGAATAATTTTCTTACGACTATGATATTAAATTTGTATCTATTTGCCTTCTATGATATAAAGTAACCAATGTGCAACGATGTTTAAAGTTTATCTATTTGCCTTTTCACATTTATATAAGCCCAACTTTAAGAACGTATTTACTATTGTGGATAGATGCAAATGTAAAAGTTTTACATTTGGAGGAGAACTGATGAAGATTGATAGAAATTAGTTTTGCTCTCTAAATTTTTTGTTAGTGCTGATTTATTTTTTCGATCGAGGAGTTTTTATTTTATTTATTTGACCAGTAGTTCATATTTCCTTTCTAAGTAACCTCAAAAGTCAAAACTTTATATATGAAATGTACAAAGTTCAGAATGGTTGGCTTATATATTCATCTGGATTAGCTATGTTTTACTTACTGGATCGATTTATCAACTGTATATATAGATTAGTGATTTATGTTTACATTGTTTTACCACTTATTTTTCTTTTCTAAACACTAGCGGCTTGACTTACCTTTATTTCAGTTAACCAAAATTTTACCGAATTAATATTTGCTTCAAACCTAAGATGATTTAAGTGAAGCTAACTCAGAAATTTCTCAAGTGAGAAAACTTGTTAATAGCGATTGTCCATATGGTGTGAGCAATGACGAAAAGCTACTAACGTCGTTACAAGTTAAAGGGTATAATAAAAAATCAATAATTGTTAGAGAAGAAATTAGCACATTTTCCTGAGCCCGTCATCATTAGTAAAGTTACAAGGTCCAATCCGGCTTTAATCCTAACCTCCTCAACAAAAAGGCAAGACTTGAAAAGAAAGTCACAATTCATGAGAAAATGTAAATAGACTCTCATGAATATTTAAGGAATAGAAGGAAATCAAGAACGAAAGGAAGATTTCTATATCGCAAAAGAGGAAGTTTTCCGTCTCGCTCAAAGGAGGATATTCATCTTCAGCCGACCTATCAACACTATATATTGAAGACCCTTCATTGGAGAAAATACATTCAAAAATCATCTAGAATCACTAGGCTTTTGCACCCGCCTTTACTCTTTCTTCTTGTTCATCACAATCATCTCACTAGGCTTGTTAGCGAGATAACCTTTTTGTAACTTCCTTGATATTCTTTGAGTCGAATTAAGCATTCTAGTTTCCTAAACTCACATCTTTGATAGCCCGTCTTAACGAGTGCTATCTCGGATCTAACAATAATTTGAATAACGATTTCATTGCAGTGTTTTCATTCTTCCAGTAACGTGGTTATTTTATTATAAGAATAGTTTTGTCAGTTGTCATTTTGTTAAAACCCTAAAATATGTTTAAATTACCGTTAACGATAAGCTGTGTGCTTATTTGACGAAGCTTCCTTCAGTACTATTAAAATACACAATAATTATAAAAAAAATAAGCTGAAAGACCGGACCAGTCTTGTAGATTTTAGAGATCACCAAAAATCATCGTCGTCGTCATCGGATTATAATTAAAGGTCCCAAACTTTCGTAATACATAATTTACAAAATTAAAAAGTAAGGAAACATGAGGACCGTAACTGTATATATAGGCGATTTTCATTAACCGGTTCAAAATTCAGAATATGCTTTGGTTCCAATAACTCACAAAAGTAAAACTCGGATTTTTTCTTTTTGGTAATCAGTAAAAGTCGGATGTGGAGGATCAATACTCTTGATTTTCATGACTGATTTGGTCTATATATGTAAGCAAATATGTGGTACGGACCGGACTAAGTCACATGATTCATGAGTCTGAAAAAAAATGTCAACATACAAAAGCTATAGATACAGCCAGTAGAGGATACTGTATTTTGAAGAGTCAATAGTGACTTGGTCAAACTTCTTGACCATGAACTACAATTCTCAGTTCTCACCAATGTTCGAGGAACTATGATCAAGTCGTTGACATGTGACATATTCCGAGGAAGAACTTCACCAAGGCTCCTTCATTTGAATTCAAACTTGTAGAAGTTCTCTAGTATCTTTCATTTTTCTTATTTGGACAGAAAATATATTAGTTTAGTTAAATATCATTAGCCCAACTACGGCTTCGAAATGTTACAATAATTAACCCAAGAAAATGTAGGAAATGTAAAAGAAATTTTACCTGTTGAACATTACATGAATCAGCACAAGTAGAATTATTTTACAAATCGAGGCGTAGACATTTTTTTCTAGACACAACCCTCAAGAGTCAAGACCCACCGACAAGGTTATCACGACAAAAGTAAACAAAGAAAGAGAGAGAAATGATTTTCTTTAAGCAAAGGAGGCTCGTGTACTTTCATCTGTAGTGAGTCTTGCTTTCCTTGTACCTTCTAAGAAGCAAAGAAAAGCAAACAACACCAAAGAAGGAGAGGAGAGTGACATACTGACATGCATCATGCATGTTCCGCACCACGAGGAAGAAAAAGTCCGCAGCTTATGGGATCCAAAAACCACGTTATATGCCATGGCGAAAACGTAATTTAATCTGGTTTCGGGTCAAGGTTTTCCACGACAGATCGATGGCTTTGATCACGTTAGATTATTCCTCGTAAAGCTATAATCCGCAGCTTCTATCACTATATTGGGCCTTGCTCCAGTCACCATCCCCATAGATACAAGAAGGCGGGAGAGTAGTTGATTCCGTTTCTCACCATAACTACTTTGCTTCCATGCATGTTTTTGCGACGGATAACTTCTACTTTTACAAAACAAAAAAAAATATTAAGTTTTATAACATAGTATATATACACGTACGATTAATGGGTACGTAGTTTGTAACATTCATTTTATGTCCTCTCTTTGGGGAGAGTAGTTAGTGTTCTGTAACCTCTTTTTCTGTTAAATGAAACTAAAACCCCTTATAAACAAGATCCCAAACTCGATCGCACTAGAAAAACAAAACTTTAATTTACTGAATTATTTAATTGGTAGATATATTAACTAATTAACTATGATTGTCATATTCACCAAAATAACGATTCTGTTATAAAGGAGAAAATAACCATAAATAATACAATAGAACCTCTATAAAACAATACTCGATAAAACAATAAACACTATAAGACAATAATTTTCTCCGGTCCCAACTCGGGCCAATGTAAAAAATAGCATAATGCGATAAGATGATAAGACAATAATATTTTTGAAACTCCTATGTAAAAATATAGTCCCAACAATAACCTAAGATAATAATTATAAAACTAAGGCATATATATCTAAGACAATTTAGTAAAATATGACTCCAATGTAGTTTGTCTTTTCTGAAAGTTGGATTCCCGTTGGAGCTCATCTCGAATTTTTCTTATTGGATCTACAATTTCTGTGATGTATTCTCAACTTGCAGCCAAAAGTTGTGAAGAGTTCTCGAAGCCACAATTGCTTAACTACTTGCACATGTCTTTCCTCATCATCTTCAACTTCATCTTCACCATTAAGAACAGTAGACATAATTTCTTCTAGATTTTGAACTTCTGAGCATGAAATATGTAAATAACAAAGTATAAGGAAAATTTGAATAAAAAAGTGAAAAAATATATTCTATAAAGTTTCTTGTTTTTGATAGAATATTTCTATAAAATAATAATTATTGTTTTATCGATAAAATAATAACTCTATAAGATAATAAAATTTCAAAGTCCCAACATTATTGTTTTATAGAGGTTTTACTGTATAAAGAAAAGTAAACCAATCAAAAATAATTGCAGACTGTGATTTTGTATTTTTCTAGTATTTTGTTTTCGAAAACCATGCGGGTCTACACGCGAAATTAGCGCTTATAAAACGGATCAATTAGAATTATTGTGTTGAACTTTTGATAAACAGAAAATGAAGAGAAAACAAACTTTTGATAGACTCGTCCAAGAAAGCCATAAAATATTTTAGACCCTAAGTTGGAAAAAAAAAAAAAAAAACATCATCGCTCATTTCTTCTCTTATATTTTTTTTTATGTAAGAGAGATTCATCACCACTCAACATATCAATTTTCTCTATTCTTTTAATACACCGCTTACCTCGTAGTAGATTTATTATGAGTAAACCTAAATGGTTTCAAGTATTGACAGAGGAAGAGTTTGATGGATACTGCCAAAAGCACGGTTGTCGTTTCCGGAAAAACATCTTCAGGTTCGACTCCTGCGACGTAGTCTGCCTGGAAGGCATAGATCCATACCATATTCAACCCCATGTTCGAGTATGTTCTCGTATGCATAAACCCTAATTTATAATATCTTCAAACTTTATCATAGAACTTGCATCTTTGAATATTAATCCAGGTGACAACCTTGTTTGATCTTAACGCTATTTACCTGGACCAATTCTCTGACCTCTTTGATTGTTTCCAAATTCAAGTAACAAAACTATTCAATAGACATCATCTATTACTTTCCCTAAAAAACAAAGGGATTTTATAAAACAAAAATAGTTAAATGCTCTTTTTGTAAAGACTTACGGTTACGGGATAGGGAAGGAGATGATAGCTTTGAGGCCATGGCGGGATTGTGAAAGAACAACAGAAGGGTGCAATAAACATGTCAGTGGGATTAACTCCAAGTTCTGCTGTTTCACATGCAAGGTCCTCTCTTGTTATCTTTTTCCTTGGCACATAACTGAGTTTTTGATGGAAATTATATACATTGATGAGTTCACTACAAGAAAACATGCTACATTTCTACGTTATCTTAATGATCTTAGCAGGTGGAACATGTTTTGGAGCATGAAGGTGATCTGTCCAGCATTTATAAACTTTGGTCGGAGGATGATTCAAGGGAAACTTCAGAACATGTTGGTGGTCTATCAATGCATCCTTGTGGTGGTCCAGAGAGAATCTTTCCATTCAAGAAGAGGTCTCGGAAAAGAAGAGAGTTTTTTGGTAGCGACGAAGACATCTATGCATCTTACTAGTTTCACACATATCTCTTGGTCTTAACAGTAATTTTCACATGATTTTCATTTTGTTATACATGTCTCAGCGATCAGGAGATTGTTTACTATATATATATAACCCTCCGATTCTGCAACCGATAAATTGTAGCCATGATAGATAAGCAGGAAACATACTGTACAAGCCTAACAAGTTGTCTCTGTCTTGCCTAGTAGCCACATGTTGACATCTTGAGCATTTCATGTGGCATGGGTTTGAACTTAAAATGGTCTCCAAATGTTTGTTTTTGTTTATGTTCTGTTATGTGATGTGTACGAAGAGAGTCATGACCACCACTTCCTCAGGTGCGAAGTACAAGTGATCACTTGGGATTTTGGTATCAAGATATTGGGTTATCACTTATCAGCCATTTGCCTTTCAAACATGGACTTCCTTCTCCATGACTCAGACGCAAGAACAAAACACCGAAGACTCTGTGGAGAATAGTCTTCTAAGCCTTCATCTACAGAATATGGTCCGAGAGGAACAAAAGATTGCACAACAACATCTCTTCTTCACGATGTGAGATGGTGGCTGATTCGGTCAAAGTTTTAGTTTTCCTATAGCAGAAAAACATATCTTCTTTCACTTCGAGCAATATCAAAGGTAATTAATTGATCGTCTTGTACGTTGATGCGATCCTTGAAAAGAGAAAAACGCAGACGGTTCGATGATCTGATGCAAAGTTAGCTGAGCTATGAATAGGTCTTCCCTACTTGACTACTTGAGAAATTAAAAAAATCCTAACAACTTTTGTAGTAAAAGACTTGAAGAATTGGTGATAACTAACCACTTTTATTTAATCTAATATGATAAAAAAAAAAAAAAAAACTACAAAATTGTTCACTTAAACAAAAAAGTAAAGAAGAAGCAAATTTCTTTCACATTGGTTTCCAAGGTAGAGTTCAGATTTCATGTTGTCCTCGGTCACTATAAAAACAGCTGACTTCGGACCACTCATAATCCCACGGAAATCGCTCGTCCATAGAGTTTGGATTTTCAATAGTCCACGGTTTCTTGAAAAGCCTCTGTGCTTCGATCGGAGATAGAGTTTGGATTTCCTGCTGTCATTGGTCTCTTGAAAAGACTCTGTGCTTCGGAGGTAGAGTTTAAACCATTCTTTCTTTCTTTCTTGTGCTTTCTCTGGTCTCTTGAAAGAAGCAGCAGCAGCAGCATTAAACCATTCTTTCTTTCTTTCTTGTGCTTTCTCTGGTCTCTTGAAAGAAGCAGCAGCAGCAGCATTAAACTATTCTTTCTTTCTTTCTTGTGCTTTCTCTGGGTAATCAGATGCTGAAGTTGTAGAAGAAGCATCAATTTTTCTTCTTTTGTTTGTTGCTTGAGAATTGTCTCTCGACTCTTGTTTCTGTTGTGGCTTTGCTTCAAAGTTAAAGTTCAGATTTCCTGTTGTCGTCCGTTTACTGAAAAGCTTCTCTGCTTTCATTCTTTCTCGTGCTTTCATTGCGTACTCAGAAGCTGAAGTTGTAGAAGAAGCATCACTGTTTTTTTTCGTGTTCGTTGACTGTTGTTTCTGTTGTGGCTTCGCTTCCTTCTTTTTCAGTTTAACTTCTAGCGATTTCCACTGCTGACCATACGCAGGTCTCTTAAACGCATCTTCCGCTCCACGAAACCTGTTCTTGTTCGGATGAAGTAGAAGTGCTAACTTGTTCTTGATAACAAATCTCTTGGCTTCAACGTAATTATTGCTTTGCATGTCGTTGAGAGGGGTTTCACTTAGATTTCCCATTATCAGATACAAGTTTGCAGAATTGGTGAGCCTAACAAAACCTAGAAAAGATGGAAGAAGCTTGGGAAAATCTCGTGCCAAGCAAAAACGTGTTTGAAGAAGAGATTTCTATATATAATAATAAGATTGATTTTCTGTATTTTCCTTGTATATACAGAAAGGAAATTTCCTATATATCATTATGAATTTATTGGCGTAATAAGATTTGTTACCTAATCAAGTTTCAGAATATCTATCGAATTCCCGAATACATCAGCATTAATTACTTGTTTAATTTATTATTTATGCCTTCGTGAAGAAAAATTATTGTATACAAAGATTCCAAGTCAGGGCTGATATACTGATATACATTACCGTTAAAAGCTAAACACATAAAAACAGGAAAAATTTACAAAATGCTGATTAAAAAGTAAGAGTGACTCAGTAAGAGAAATTCCTGTTAGACTGTTGATGTTTTGAAGAATCGGAATGCTGCTGAGGATGATGTCTAAAACTTGACTGTCCCTATCATTTATGAACAAACACATATTCCCTTAACTCTTTTGTGAAAAAACAGAAGCTCATGAAAACTTGAGACAGCTTTGAAAGGTCTAGTTAAAGTTTTTTTACCATGTCTTGAAGTCTTTCATACATAGCTTCTGGCCTGAAACTTATTTGTTCCTGCCATAATTTTCAACATAAACTTCAATCAAACCTCATATGGGATCAAACTTGTGGTTAGGCAGACATGCTTCAGAGAACAACTTACAGTTCCATAAAGCCTTTGTTGAGTTATGGATTGTCCCTGCAATGAGATAACATAAAGCATCGTGAGCAGTTTCTTTCAGAGATTCTCTATCTAAACACCAAAGAAAAACTCGGTTACATTTACATACATACCATGGAGTGTATGTTTTGATGCGCAGAAGAATATCCATTGTGATTTGAGGCCATTGAGTTGATCTGTCCCTGTCGATCATAACAGAAGAGCTCAGCTAACAATGTTGGTTTGAAGTTTGAAACTTTTAATACTCTGTAGCTGTATAAAAGGACTTCTCCTGTGTACCACCATTTCATGAGACATTTGTTGGGCACTGAGGTAGTCATCGAGAATCGAGTATCGGTTTCTCTGTTCTTGCAAAGCAGTTGCTTTCCAGAGTTCATGTAACGAATGTTCCTGGACAAAAAGAGAAAGTCAGGTCAGGTTAGACCAAATACTTGCCTTAACGAATGTTCCACGAAACCAGCTTAGAAGCAAATGAAAAACCTGTCCTGTGTTGGTCACATTCTCATCAAACGTGTGGTTCTGTTCTTCATGTCTTGAAGGATCTTGAGCTGAAACCGAATCTGACTCTTCCACATTGTGAATCAAGCTACTTGTGTTCTCACTATCTCTAAAAGCTTCATTCAGCACGTTAATCACGGCGTTATAGCTCTCTTCAGATAAAGATGCTTCCTCGCTCAACTTCAAAGATTGCAGACAAAGATCCATATACCGCTGAGCCTTAGTTGAATCTCCATCGATCTGATCAGATTCCACGGCTTCTCTGCTTCTCGCATCTTTTGTCCAACGCTTCAACACATACTGAGAAGGAATAGTAAGTTCTCCAGACATCTGCAGAACAATCATCGCGTGTCTACAAAGAAAACCTTTGAACTCAAACAATCTACAAGAACATACAACTTCAGATGATTCAAAGCTCCACACCACAACGAAAGCACGGTTCTGTTCGTAATCTTGAACCCTGAAAGTCCTCTTGTTACCTTCTTCTTCTTCGCTTTCTCTCTTCGGATGACAAGCAACACCTCCCAACACCTCAACCTGAAACTTCTTGAACATCTCGCGTGTGTACATCTCAGCCATCTGCTTCCCAAACGGTGAAGGCGACTTAATTCCAGGTTGTTTACACAAAGTCTCCATCTCCGCTTTCTCTTCCTCTTCGTATCTCTCTTGTATCATCGTCTTGTACTGATCAAGAAATGCTCTCAACGTAGTTTTCCTCTGAACGTATCTATCGAGAACAGCGCTAACACTATCCAATCTCTGAGCTGTACACATTCCCGCCAGAGAAACATCTTTCAGATACACAGGAACCCAATACTCCCTATCTTCATACAACGACTGAAGCCACGCATTGTCTCTCACATGAAACTTATCAACAACCTCCCACCATTTCTTTTCAAACTCATCGCTCTTGCAAGACCCGTAAATAGCCTCATTCATCTCATCCATAAAGCTTCTCTCTTGTCTCATAACATGACCAAGCTTCTCCGGCATCTGACCAAGAGTATCCCACATGTAAAAACAATGCCTTGAAGATGGGAAAGCCTCGGAAACAGCTTCTTTGAGCATTTGGTCATGTTTGGTAAGTATAACCTTCGGTTGACATCCGTGTATTGCTTTTAACCATGCCTGGAAAAGCCAAACGAATCCAGATTTAGACTCATCCGTTAACAGTAATCCACAACCAAGCAACAGGAACTGTCCATGGTGGTTCACTCCAAGAAAAGCAACAAGAGGAAGCTTATACTCGCTCTTGATGAATGTAGTGTCGATAGATACAACATCACAGAAACAAGTATAATCCAATCTGCCTTTTGCATCAACCCAAAAGATGTTTCTTAGACTCTGCTCCTCGCTGAGATCAATGGCATAGTAAAAAAAAGGATTCTCAGCTTGCATATCCGTAAAGAAGCTTAGGAGTCTTTCAACATCTCCATCCTCTAAAGCTTGAAGCTTTCTTGTTTTCATCTCTTTCACAATGCCACCGTTTTGTCTCTCTACCTTTTTCCCTCCAACCGGTTCTTGTATGGAATTGGCTTGACCAGGAGAGATTTCATGGTTATGTTCTTTGACCAAAGTGCGAATAACCCACCTCCCGTCTTGCCTTCGCTTAACATGTAAGCATGCTTTACAATCGGTTTTCGACGATGACCGGTTTATTCTCCCTCGTTTTCTTGCTTGAGGAATGCTCAATCCTTCTGTAACTAAACCGGTATCCATGTCTTCTTCTTGTTCTTCTTCCACTGCTTTCTTGCTTCCATATCGTGTGCAAACAAACTTGGCGTCGATAAACTTGCCAGTCATTCTTGAACGACGACTAGCTTTTACTATGGTGTTAAAGCCAACGGATTTAGCATACTCTTTGTAGAACTCAAATGCTTCCTCTTTAGATTCAAATTCTGTTCCTTCATTGATCCCTGAGTTTACTCTTTGGTCATCACACTCTCCTGACGGCATTTCGAGATCAATCTCCATTAAGTAAGCTTTGTTTCACTCTTAAAACCAAATTCCTTGCATCAAATTAACCCTGTGAATCACAATTGTTCAGTCATCATCTAAAGGTGCAAGCTTTACGAGAATTAAATAATTAACTTAAAAGTTTCCATTGGAGAAAGACATTCTAGTAGCAATGGAACAGTTGAAACTTAGAATCAGCAATGTAAGTAAAGCGACGCAACTTCAGATATAGAAACGAATCATCTAAACAAAAAAAAGGTCAAAGCTTTTAAAATCCATAATCAGCACAAAGTCAGCTCAAATCATAGGACCCAATAGTTAATAGACTGAGATGAATCAAGCTCATGATCAAAGCAAAACTCAGAAACGACATTAGGCAGCTCAAATGAAGATCGATAGACTAACAGTACGAATCAGGAGCTAATTTACTAAAATGCAAAGATGATTAATTTGGGTGTAAAAATTGATACTTTACATGATTGAAGAAGACAGGAGAGAGTGATGACCTGAGGCGAGTACAGAGCCAATTTTCATTTCAGCAGAATTTTGATCTTTGGGCCAAGCGTCGTCGTCGTCGCCGTTGTACTCGCTTTTTCTATACTCGCGGTTCTGTTGCCGGTTATCGAATACTAACCAGTAACCTGATACTATTGTCAATAACCGGGATTCTTTTAGTCGATAACCGAGTCTTTTTGCTTCCTCAAGAAAAATCTTGAGCCACTCATTCAGTTCTTATTTGGCCCTAATTATCTTGTTCTGAGGTTTTTCTTCACCTCTGCAGATCGAAAAATCGGAAATTGGAGGGAAAAATTGCTTATTTCGTCGGAGAAATTTGACAGAAATTTCCTCAGGTTTCGTAGTATCATCTTTCATAAGAAATTCATATAATTCTTGGAGATTTGAACTTCTGGTAGTTAGTTTTCTCAGTAAAGTATGCATCTTGGAATGTTGATTGAGCTCATTTCTGATAAAGTTGCTATTTTTCTCCAATCGTAAACCAAAAATAAAATTGAAATTTTTCGAGAATTTTTTAGCAATTTGTTACCCTTGTTAATGGAATGCGAAGTGACACTCTAATAGATTTAGGACTCTGATGCAGTAAGATTTGATTTTCAAGTCATGTTTCCTGATTAGATGGTGCATCATTGAGGGATCAAGACTGCTTAAAGAAATGGGTTTCGCTGTTTGTGTTGCTACTGCACCTCCTGTATCTATGGAAATAAGATTGGTAAGAAGAAGCAAACTTGACAACGCTCCATCGGCATTACCTCGTTCGATACCTATCTATATCTCTACGCTGAAGAAAGACATAAATCTAGAGGAACTGAGACGTCTGTATGCACACTGTAACCTCTCTTGCAACCGTTTATCCGAGAATGGTAGTAGCATCGTCGAAAAGACTGTTGACATGAAGAAGCTGCGTACAGCTATCTCACGAAGCGATGTTGTTGTCTCTGTGTTTTGTAAACCTCATCACACTGATCTTGATGATGATGAGAGTTTGTCTTCCTCATTGTTTCCTTTGAACTCTAAGAAACAGAACAAGGATAGAGATTTGTTTCGTAATGTGTTGCCTCTCACACCTTCAAATGGCAAGCTTGTTGGATTTGGTCGTGCGTATTCTGATTATGGCTTGACCGCTTCTATCCACGATCTAATGGTACTTTTAACTATAGCAGCAAGTTTTTATAACAGGTTGTTTAGTTGAAAATTTGCTTCATTAGCCCGGTCTACTTGAGATTCTAGTAACCTTCTGTTTTTGGTGTTTATATGTGTTGTTTGATGTTGTAATTTGGTTTCAGTGTCTTCCAGGTTTTACCTTCACTACAGCGGATGGGGATCGGTAAACTAATTGTTAACAGAATTACCAGGTTTGATGCTTACTTAAACCCTTAAACCTTCCAAACTTTTCCAAAAGCTTAGTTCTTATCAAACTTGTTTTGTTTAAAAAGACCCTGCTTTTTTTTTTTTCCTTTTTGTGATGGGTTATTTCTCTCTGTGTTTCAATAGGCTTCTCATAAGCAGAGAAATCTACGACATAGCAGCACTCTGCTTCGAGCATGAAAGGTACTGCCTTTGCTTCTTATCATAACTATTAGCTAATACCCATCTCTAGCATTAGCAGCTAGTGAGTTCATTGTTTGTATCCTTTCACGCTAGGGTTTAGGATCGATTCTCGGAAATCTTAGGAGGTAGATACGGTTTGATGTGATCTATTCTGATAAAGGATTTGGTGATAGTATCTTACTAAGAGTATCTTGAAAATGGGTGGGATTACGAGTAGTACAAGTGACTCTTAATGAGAAAGAAACTCTTTGTTTTTGTTCTTATAGGCCATTCTTCAAAGCGTGTGGGTTTGGAGATGACAGGATGGGTTCCACAACGATGATGTTCACGAAGAGCTTGGAGGTGTAAACTGAAGCGATAAGGCCGTTGGATCTTCAAGAAAACTGGAGGTCAAAGCAAGTTGAATGATCTTAAAATCTTTTTCTGAATCTCTCTCTGATGATCAAAGATTAAGCACAAAGATTCAGTGTTTTTCTTGCATTTGAATTTGTTATCTAGTGACCACTCTTTCTTTTTTACTTTTGTTCTCTTTTTGTGCAAAGCAACGAATCTCTCTCTTATAATATATTTATTTTGTGTTTTTAACAAAATATCATTGTTTCCATGTTTTTTAGTTATACAAACTACGATTTTAGTTTTTGAAATGATAGATTCTAAAAGTATTTATGTAACTAGATAAGTGAAAACTTTCATATTAGCTTTTAACAACATCTTTTTTAATTGATTTTCAATTTTGTCTTTTAACTACGTACCCCTTTGGCCCTTTATCCTCTTTTTGAGGAATTTTGCAGAAACATTCTTAAGAAAGTGATCAATTATTGAATGCCGACAAACCTTGTCTTAAAAGTAACTAACAAAAAAAAAAGAGAACGTAAAATTGTGTTCTTGTATGAATGTTTGTTTGATTCGATAATAAATGAATCCACAAGTATATATACCCATACTACAATTATACATATGGTGTTGACTTTCTCAGCTCATTGTTTTTGTTCAACAAGTCTTTTGGCTCTCATACTCACTGTGATTTGAACCCTCTTTTAATTTATCAAAATAGTATTTTTTTTCATTTCTCACTATCACGGTGTTTTGTTATATTCTTTAAATTTTAAAATAATATTTCTTTTCGAATAGTAGAACAAACTATCTTATACAAATTTATGACGACTTCGCGAAACATAATAATTGTTTTAATTAACATGTTTGATGGCCCAAATGGTGGGAAGTGCTAATTTGCTGATCACGTGCGTTATACACGAATGATATATGCATATACGTTTTCTTTCTTTTTTTGTCAATAGTGAGTTGATGAGGGTGGAAGACTATACTTTATATTTGCTTTGTTTGCCTTTTGATCCGAATATATCAAAGTTATATTTCAAAATATTATGTGGATACTTCTCTCATTATGCTATAATGTAGTTAACTATCACAAGTTTAATATATTTTACTTTAAGCAAAAACTAAAGAGTACGAGTGCTTTGATTTGATATCACGGTTACAAATAGAACAAGTCAAATACCGAAATAACTCTATTGTTTTAGTGAAACCATAAATTACTTGAAGTAATAATAATTTTTAAGGTTATGGTTTTCGTTGTTATTATCACGACGTATCGGTATCATGCTAGGGACGTTTATATTCATGTCAGAAAGTGCACCTTTAGGGCATTTAAGTTTTCGTACTACAGAATAATAAAACTTCGACAAATCTATACATAGTGGGTTGTTTTTGGACAAAAAATGATGCATCATAAACTAACCATTTCGTGGAATGTGTACTTCATTATCTTCTTTATGTGTGGACGTGAACAATTTGTATCTATAGATCCACAATGGATTTAATCGACGATTAAATAAAGTCACTATGATGAACTACTTACACTACATTGTTATCAAAATCAGATTAAAATAGATGAAAAATGGGCGTAAATTTCTATGCGCACAATATGAATAATCTATGATATTCGTAACGTTGTCACATGGGACGGTCACTTTTCTACTTTCATTTTTTTTAAATCTTAATTTTCGGTAATACACATATAAAAAAAAATTGATTAACTAACTAACTAACCATCAAAACCAATGGGCCAATGCATTTGATAAAAAAAAAAAAGTTGTCTAAGGAGCAGATAGGAGAGGAAGGTGAAGAAGACGAATTCTTGACTCGGCTTCGTGTGTTTGATTCCTAGCCATGTGCACTGCATACCTAACATAATTTAATAATTTATCGTCAATTCAATATATACATTAAAAACTTAGCTGTAAATCTATAATACTTAGATACTAACTGAACTAAAAACAAGTAGAGGGAAATTGTATAAAAAAAATATATACAGGTTTTCGGTTTTCCCATTCACAGTTTTAATATCTCAATTTGCTTAAACAAGAAGCATGGAGATATTATTTTGTTTGGGTCAAAAGTGAGTATATTGTCTTTATCTTAAATATATGGATGCATAATAAATTGTATTTTATATTTTTATGTTATACTCACACTTATATATAGGCGTACATACGCTTGTGAGATAATCAGTTAGATTCTCTTCATCATAACATTAACACTCATCAACACTCTCACTCTCTCTTCGTTTTCCGACAAGTCATATAATATAAATGGCACTTTCCCGGCATACACCCGACGGCAAGACTGCCACCGCAACCGCCGTGACTAAGAAGTTCGATGTCCCAACTCCGCCGCTGAACTGCTGCGTCACGTGCCTAGCGAGACTCATCAGGAAACTAAAGCGAAAAGGAAGGTTGTTGCTGTCGACGACCGCGGCTCGGAAACAAGTGAGCTCGTTGCAATGTCGGTACGATCCAATGAGCTATTCACTGAACTTTGACGGAGGCGCGTGTAGTACACTTCCCGAGGATGAGGATTACTATTTTCGGTTTTATGCGTTTTCTTCAAGATACGTTACCAATAATACTGTCAAGAAGAGACCACCACTTCCTCGTTGATCGCTCTCTGTCACTTCCCATGAATTCGTGTAATCTTATTTTTCATGTGACCTTTTAAAACTAGTTTTTTTTTTTGAGTATTTTTTTTTAGTTTCTCCCTTTCTTAAATCTTAAATCTAATATTTTTTGTCACCAATTGATTTGAAAGATTAGCTAATTACAATGTAAATTATATAATGAACAATGAATCTGATATATTATTATATGTTTAAGTTTGATTTCATATAATGAAATCCTTCTTTTCTTTCTTTTTGGTAAAATAAATACTTCTTTTCTGAAACTTGAATTCTGGAATTAGTGTAGAATGTTTTAAGATTCTTGAGCAACCCATTAAGTGGACCAAATCTTTGCTCTGTTTCTCTTTCGTTATAACCTTGTAAAGCAGTTAATTTAGTTCATTTCACTAAAATTGATTAACCCGTATCCTTCTACACCTAAACTTACGTACGTATGGGCGTATATAATAGTACTTCTTTCGCTTAATATATAGACAATAGACTACAAACATAACCTTTGTTGATTAATTGACAAACATAATAGTGACTAGAATAAAAATAATATAAAATCAGAACGTACCATTTGTATAGAAAAATACATTTTAATGGGAATCCGTGTACGCCATAGTGGAAGGCGATACATGTTTGTTAGTGACTCGAGACAAATTCGCCGAACCCTATCTCTATAGTCTTCTACTTGTAGGGTTTCTTTTTTTTACTACTTGACATAAGTTTATTATTAGACGGTAACGATATTCGCATGTCACATCGCATGAAATTGCGAGCCAGTGAAGACATGAGGAAACTTAAAGAAATTAATACAACTGACTTTCATTTTGACTTTCAAATTCATTTGACACAAAGCCCCTGAATATGACAATTCCAAGTGTATTCGCTTTACAGACCGGAACAAACCATGCTCACTGAAACAGGCTGATTAGTATAACTAAATTAGCTTATTCATTTTCTAAATGCAAGCTTTACACCAAAAAAATTACCGAAAATACGTTTAACATATAATGCTTCTTTCTTGTTCACCAATTTCTATTGTTACAACTACCATAAAAAAAAGCTTCAAGCAAACCCTTTTTCTAGCTTTTGGTTGGTTTTCTAAATGTATTTGATCGATGGCTTCAATAGCCGAAGGTAGAAAAATTATTTAAGAGAAGAAAAAAAATTCAAAATAGTGTAGTGATTCTGATTTCTGGCTTGTTGTTATCATTTAATTAAAGTTTAAAAGGAAATACAAAAATGGGTAGCTTTTTGGGCCGAACATACATCTGTGGAACCCATTTTAAGCCTTTGAATGACTTTATGTGAAAGTGATAGCTCTGAGAGTCTCTGACTCTGAGAATTGGCTTTTTACCAAAAAATCAAAGAAGGGTCTTCTCTTTGCAGAGGTCAATAATCTTTTTCTGCGCGGAAATCTAGTGATAAAAAATCTGATTGAAATGTCTGTAAGAGAAAAACATTCAGATAGAATTGGATACTAGTCCAAAAAGACAGAACTATCATCGAGCAATAATTGACCATTCTTGCTATAACGGTATACCTGTCACCGGTGTCTTAAAACATTATTTTACCTTTTTGAAAAATAAAACATTACATGACATATATTTTTCTTTGAAAATTTTGATTTTTGATTTATTTTTTATCTGTAAACCTCTTGAAGAGTGATTATGAAAAATTATGGACCAAGTTTTCCAAACTTCTTACTTAGTAATCAAAAGAAATAAAAAAGGCTTCCTAAGAAGAAAAAAAGGAATGCTTTGCAATGACGAAGATTGTTTTTTTACAACAAAAGATCCATTTTCACAGTTTTAACTCTATAGAAATGAAATAACAAACTTCTCATACCAATCCAAATCCGAGTCTTTCAATTCACAAACACTTCATAGGAACACTCCAAGTCGTGTTCTTAACTTGTTCAGATAAAGACAGATACTTTCTCCAGTCATCAAGAACAAGATTAAGATCATGAAGCTTCTTCTTTAATCCAATACAACAATTAGCATGCATTGTACACACCAAGTTTATGTCTCTGCTCGTCTGACAAAACCCACCAAAGTAAACCGTATCAAAGAACCTCATCTGTATTCCAATTTCTGAGACTATAGCTTCGTGTTTGATCTTGTTGAACACATCTTGGTCATGTAACTCTGGATATTCTAGACGAGATTGGTACCAAAACTTGTAGAACTCGATACTTCTATGGTTTGATTTCACGTAAGTGAAGCCTCCGTTTACCCAATTGTCTGAGTCATAAGGATCACCAAAGAATCTATCACACGCCATCTGAAAATCTCCATCTGGATATAGCCGAGGAAATGGATCTCGAAGCCACATTATATCTGCATCCTAAATGTATATATATAGGGAAATACGCAAATGTTACACTATGTGAATTAATTGAATTTCCTATACCAAAATTGCATTTGTTCATTTGTTCACTTTAACAAAAAAAAAAAAAAAAATTGCATTTGTTCATATTTTCTTGCAAACCTCACACACTTACACAACATTTTATGAGTTGAATCCGTTTGAATAATAAAATAAAACAAATGAAGATAATTTTTTTTTCTTAAAGTTTAATGGTTTATTGGATAAACTGATATTCTAAATAAACCAAAGTCTAGACTAATTCCTGGTTCTGCCAAACTTCAAGTACTCTTGCCATATAGTCTGTCCATAAAAGCTAACTATAATTGTCCACTATTGGACCACCATGCATTAGTTTGGTAGATGCAGTAATGTTAGTTGTGATATTTTCCTTTTTATTTCTCCCTTTATTGTGACTGTGCCTTGTACAATATAATGTATTAAATTCACAAAATATTTTAAATGTAGATATTTTTTTTCAAAAAAAAAAAAAAATTGTTAATGTAAATGGGTCCCATCTTAATGCACTTTCTGAACTATACACATAGAGTTTCTTGATCATAGATTGATTCAAAAGATTTGTAAAGAAAACAAAATTTGAGAGAAATGATGAAGATGAGTACCGTGAAGATGAAGTTATATCCCATTTCAAGCACTTGTGTGAGAAGTTCGATTCTCCGCCACATCATTTTGAGGTAATCAGGAGTAGCAAAGCGTTTCTCGCCGGAGAAATCAGTTCCTGAGGTTTCTACATAGAAGCAATGTGGGTGAAGTTGTGAGCAGCGATCAAATGCCTTGGGATCCAAGCAAACCACAACCACGTGTTGAAGTAGCTTCTGTGTTCCTTCTCCGATACGAAAACTCTCAAGAAATAAATCGAACAGAGAGTTTGGCTCTGCCCACGCTTGGTTCAGCGTTGTTATAATAACTGTTCGATTCTCTGTCGACGCATTCTCCAAAACTTCCCTAAAACTGATTGATTTTGATCTCTGGAAGAAACCAGAAAACAAAAAACTGATGAAAGATTTGGGGAAAAGAGATGAAACCCATTTTAGACAAAAAAAAAAGCACAGATTGAGACATTTAATTTCATAAGTATTAATTACTCACTGTTGGTGGAGAAGAAAAAGAGGTGTGGTTGAGTAAAGGACGAGGAGAGGTGAGATTGTTGACACCGAGCTCTTGACGAAAAGGATAAGCTGTTTTGTAAAGAAGAAGACATGAAGCAGCTAAAACTAGAAACAAAACCAGGATTTTCTTCACTTCTCTTTGTCCGATCGCAGATCCAAAATCCAGGAACTTCGAAGGCGAAGAAGGGGAAGAAGGAGCTGGAGAGTTCATGTGTTCTTGAAAGAGGTTTTAAGCGTTTATTCCATTCTCTCTCTCTGTTTATTTTGTCGGTTCTTATATGAAAAAGTTATGTCGTCTGCCGATTTTTGTAAGTACGACTGGTTAACGCTAACGTCATCACTGGCACTTTTGTAAAGAGCATTGTTTTTATTTTGTTACATAATGCATTTTTTGTGTGTGCAACTTAATGCATCTGTTTAAATAAAGGTCTTTATATTAATGATATCTTTTTCTTCTAAATATTAATGAATTATTGTGTTTCTTTTCCATTTGAAATCAATTTTTGTTTGTTTTCATTGGAGTGTAGAGAATCAACATATTACACCGATACCAAATTATATATTCAAGTGGTTTTCCGTTTACATATACTATAAGTCTATAACTCTCCTTTCTTTGTGAGTTTAAACTTAAACATGACCCACAATACAAATATATCATTACTTTAATAGAAACTTAAAAGTCTTAAACGTTATATATGGAAAAGTATTTTTTCAGTTATGATTAATGGTTTATAACTTTATATGTTAAAATTGATACCCATTAGTTAGTTGACTAATTCTTGCATCCTAGTCTCAACACGTGGCTTTTGATGTTGTTTTCATCACGTTATTTCCGATTACTCGATTAGTCGTGGCTGCTGTTATTCTTTTTTAAGTTTTTCTCGTTTGTTTTATTCATAAAGTGAAAGAGTCCATAACATCCAACAACGATGTAAATAGGGACTGAAGTTGATAGCTTACTGGCTATTGGCTATAATAATTCAAATATGTGTGGCTGAGACCAATTTGATAACAAAACAAAACTGGAGAAGGAGACCACCAAACGGTCCAAACCATTGATAAAATAAAAAATATCTTGAATTATACTACTTGTCAAAATATAGGTAGTATTTTAATTGATTTGAACTTGGTGTATACTATCAATCAGTTATAAGAATAAGACTAGTCTAAGTAAAATATACGATAAAGAAATTTGATTTTTACGTATGCGCTTTCACATTCGACATATTGTAGAAAAAAACCTTCAGTTTCATTTCCTGAAATTTTTGATCTAGTAGTTTTAGAATTTAGACTGTTATATATACTGCCACATGGATTTAGATCGTGGAATCTACGCATTTTTAACTTAATTCAAACTAGCTCATGCTGTCATGCATGTCTTAAGAACGATCAATCGCTGATGTATAATTGATCAATTTTGGTCGGTATAGCAAATGCTACTATATTATACGAACTTCATGATATTTAATACAAGGGCCGGTGTTTTCATTTGTATAGTTGTATGGCTATTATTTTCCGCCAGCTAATCAGAGACCATGACCGTACCGTGTTTGTCAATTTCCAACAAATTGTGTTACAATAATTAATGAGAGAACCTTTAAGACTCTTTTTTATACCGGGGAATCATACCGCAATTTCCAGTATTCGTATCGTAATTACGATGATATATATACTGATTAATTTGATCCATTTCGAATATAGGATCCCATTTCAAGACTCTTAAATATTTCAAAACGGCTTTGCTTACAACAAGACGTTAACAAACCAGGTCAACGTGAAGGTTTTTGCCGACACAATTAAGATTTATTAAAGATTATAACTGTCCTGCTCAGCATTACCATTTTTTTTTGTATCAAATATATTCAGTCTAGTAGTTTAATTTAATGACAGATGAATCTTTTACTTATATAACTCCAGATAGTAAACCCTTGTTACAAAAAGAAAGAAAGAAAGAAAGAAAAAGGAACCAACTTCAATAAATAGTGAAATGATCTTAACGAAACTAGCTTCACAAATTTACGACTACGCTCACAAGTCACAACATTTAATAACCACACCTAGGTGGAATATTCCATTTAGTCTCGGACACGGTCGTATTCAACGAAACATATCGTTTCCAATCTTCAAGAGCAGCCTTAAGGTTGTTCACTTTGTTCTCCAAACCTATACAACAATTAGCATGCATTGTGTTGACCACGTTGATGTCCCGGCTTGGCTGGCAAAACCCTCCGAAGTAAACCGTGTCGAAAAACCTCATATTGATTCCAAGGTTCATTGTAAAATTATTGTTTTTTATGTAGTTGAACACATCTTGATCGTGCTTTCCAGGGAACTTTCGGCTCGATCTGATCCAATATTTGTAAAATTTTGTCGTTCTGTTGTTTGCCTTGACGTATGTGAATCCAGAATTCACTTGATTATTTTTGTCTGATGGCTTCCCATTATAAGTATCGCATGTTATCTGAAAATCGACGTCTGGGAAAAACCGGGGAAATGGATCTCGAAGCCACAAAATATCTGCATCCTATAAACAAATAATCTTATTATTTATACACCACAAAAACAGAACATAATATAATGTCAAAAAAGAAAAGAAAAGAATATATAATGTCAACAATCGAGTAAGATTATATGGTAAAACTTTAACAAAAAAAATATTGTTAACATATTTATTCATTAGACATCTATCTATATATAGTTACGTTGACAATAAAGGATAAACCATCTTTCATCTCTATGTGTATGCACACACGCAAACAAAACGTTACCTTCTTGAATATTGATCACTTTTTTTTTGCAAGAGAATATTGAACCACTTCAAAATAGTGAATATTGATTACTTAATAGTAATATTTTACGTTGAAGTGATTCTAGCCAGCCACGTAATATAAATCAAGGATTTTTTTCTTCCTTTGGATAAAAATCTTTCAACAAATCAAACAAAATGAAACGTGGAAGTCAGAGGAAGAAAAAACAATCAATCTCGATAGTCAAACCTAAACCCTAGAAAAGTAACATCTAACAGAAGGAAATTATTGGAAAAAAATCATATATTGAATTGAATGGTGTTCTCCATAGTTGAGACTTGAGATACACATAAATATCTCACAAACTAACAATTTTTGGGTTTTCATAGAATCAAATATCTTTATGTTTTTTTTGGTAAAAAAATATCTTTATGTTCTTTATAGAAATTACAAATTTTATGTCATTCATTTCAAACATTCCTCAAAACCTTGTAGATTTAGATATTAGTATACTGAGATCAAATACTGATATTTTATATGTAATACATATGTCTTACTATATTATTATTATTTTTTAGTAGAGTAGTTGAAAAGTGCATGCATGGCTCGGAAACTTATCTAATTCAACTTATAAAAATAACTGCAGATTCGAGACAAAAGAGAGAAAAATTATATACTAATTACTAGCTATTAATAAAATAAGCGAAGAAGATTGAGATATCATGTACCGTGAAGATGAAGTTGTATCCAAAATCAAGAACTTGTCTAAGAAGATCCATTCGCCGCCAAACGAGTTTCAAATAACCAGGGGTCATAAACCGGTTTGGACCGGATAGTTGGTCTGAATCTGTGGCGTTAATCAAGTAGCAATGAGGATGAACCTCTATGCACCGGTCGTATGCCTTGTTATCCAAGCAAACCGCGATCACGTGCTTCAACAGCCTCTCCGTTCCGACTCCGGCTTTAAAACTCTCTCGAAACACATCGAACGTTGAGTTTGGATCAGCCCATGCTTGGTTTAACGCCGTTATGATCACCGTGTTGTCCTCCATAGCCGCATTTATCAAGACTCTCTCTAACTCTGAAACCGGTTTCTTCTCTTGTACCTATAAACAAATCAAGAAAATCAAATGACTGGAAATGTAATTTTCATTGTTTTGTTGTTTAAGACTAAAAGATCGGTTTAGCAACTATATATGTATTATAATATTCCGGAGATTAGCCTGAAATTGAATGTGAGAAAACGATATCAACAATTGCATACATAATTTAAGTTTTGTAACTCATATTAATATTCAATTATATTGATGTATCTAAATTATAAACAAATATATGTAACTCACCGTTTCTAAGGAAGTTTCGTTTCTGATTTTTGAAGAATAACAGTCTGTCTTCAATGGAGACACTACCATGTTGAGTGGATTACTTGCAGATTTGTAGAATAATAGGCAAGAAAGTGCGACGGTCGTGACCAATAACACTACTTTGATCACGTCTCTCCCTCCGAGCAAACTATCGGAATATATCCCCGGCGGCTTAGATTTCCCGTCATCGATGCTAACTCCGGAGACGTCGCCGTTGGTGCTCTTCATTGCTCTGACTTTGAATCCTTTTCCCTTCGTAGCGTTTTCTTTATATGGCCTCACCACATCTCCCTTTAATAGTATTGATTTTTCTTGTAGTGTCATTTTCAGTTTAATTGTATAATTTACTTGTGAATAATTTTTTATAACGTTTTTGATGTTTGTAACTTATGAAGATATTTTTTTTCCTCACACGGGAATCTCTCTATTTCTTGACCAAACCGGGGTCGTATCTTTTCACCGGTTCGATTTTGCTGCGTCTCAAAATGAGTAAACTACAAGTTAACTAAGAAAACTATTTACTACTCGACCAAATTTGTTCTTATCGAAATTAAATATACGGGAAATACTAGTTTACGACGAAAAAAAGTAAATGATTTTGATTCTTGACAATAACGTTATAACGATGGCTTGAAAAATTGTATCATATTGGTGGATTGAAGTGGACAAAACTAGTGGTTCGTGGCTTAACAACCTAATGATTGAAAAATCATGTCACCATATTCAGCTAACCAAAGTCTAGGAGTATTTTAATCAAATTTCTTCCCATGGAAAGCGAAATGGCTTATTGCATGGGTTCGGTTCCGTCTCCAATTTGGCATAATGTGCTACTCCGGTTTATCTGTTGGCATTTAATCGGCTATTCATTCCGGTTTGAATCGTCCGGTTTAAGTGCTCAAGCAAAATAGAAGACCCTAGTGAGGTAATTACGTATTTAGCGTTGAAGGGGTCAATAATTTGCTACGAAGTTCAATTACGAAAAATCTAAGGAAATGGCATTTGTGTATAAAGTCGTTTATTTTGGTCCTCCGGTCAGAAGTAGTGTCAAATTCTAATTTGTACTCTTAAATCGGATTTCCATTGAAAAAATGAAAAATTTACGAGAAAAATATCATATTGATGTAATATCGAAATGATTCGATTTCTGACAATCACGTTATAACGAACGGTCGGAGAGGTCAACAATTTTCTACAACGTTCAATTAAGAAAAATCTCGAAAATACTTGCATGCATTTGTGTATATATACTAGTTAATTTTCTCTAATTCTAATTGTAATAGATTCAACTCACAGAGAACTTCTACGTAATAGTAATAACAGTTCCTATGGTAAAATTGGTTTCCTTTATTCCCTTTTTTACCTCTGTAGTTGTTTTACAAAAATAAAAGAAAAGAAAAACTAAACATAAAAGACTTGTCCAACGTTTAAAAGGGTTTCATGAGGAACATGCAAGATAACACTATTCTCCCTACAAATCTTGGCAAGAAACGCATAAACATAATCAATCGCAATCTTTTTCGGAAGCCATGACCCACTTCTTGCTTTCACCACAGTGTTCCCCATAATATGCACAACCCCTGCGTCTTTACACGTCCTTAGAAACTCCAACTCATCCTCCTCCTCTTCCTCCACCGTGTGGTTCTCGCTGAAACTATCAGCTGGAACTATCGTGTCTCCTATACTCGACACCGTGTAGTCCACCATCGACGAGAACATATCCGCATTGGTATTGTTCTCGTTGTTGTTGTTGTTGCTGTTGCCATTGTGGTTGTTGGTGTTGTTATGCATAAATGCTTCTGTAGACTCTTGCGTGTGGTTCACGCTACTGTAGGTGCTTGAATTTGTGGCTGGCTCCATCATCGTTTCGATTCGAATAAACGAGAAGAGGCTATTAAACAGTTTGCTCTCGAAATCGTCGTCTTTCCTGTGAAGATCTTTGTAACCATACCTATCCAAGAAACAGTTTTGAGAGACTTTTCAAGAACAGAGAAGAAGAAGAAAGGACATTAACGTTATACCTAGCAACGCAACGGAACATTCGGAACTTTTTCGGTCCGATTCTCTTGACAAGAAACCTCTCTTCTTCAGGGACAGTGTAAACCGGAAGGTACTTGACGCAGACAAAGACAACAACCGAGTGGATCGCTGGCAAGTTGGTGATGAAATGAGAGAAGATGTGAGGCACACCACTCGGTAGCTCCGTGTAGACTAAACCTATCCCGGGGACACGGACTAGCCCTAGGCTTGGACCGAGACCGAGTATCCAGCTCATGGAGACTTTGCTGTGCACTTCAAACTCATATTTCTTGACCGTTGCGTAGTGCCAAACAGACATCACAAGAAGAGATATCGCTGCTATGATGAGAGGAACCCATCCTCCTTCGTCTATCTTGAAGATCACGGCAGAGAAATACGCAAACTCCACCACGAGAGAGAGCACGGCGAAGATAAGGACAAGACTCCAATGGCACCTCCACACGAGCAGCATGATTAAAACCATTAGTAACGTCGTCACAAGCATCACCAGCACAACCGCAGTCCCTATATTTCACACCAAGAAACCAAGAACAGAGTCGGATGAAAAAACCAGAATCGGTTATGAATGCTCAAAACTCTGCAATCGTACCGTATGCGTTTCCGATTTGGCTCTGATTCTTGAAACTAGCAGTGACGGCGATGCAGCCGATCATGAGTATCCAGTTGATATCAGGGCAATAGATCTGACCAAGGAACTTCTTGGAAGTATGAACTATCTTAACTCTAGGGAAACAACCGTGAGACACGGCCTGCTTGATTATCGAATACGTCCCTGAGATCGTAGCTTGGCTTCCAACGATTGCAGCTCCTGTAGCGACTACAAACATTGGCCAATACACACTATCTGTAGAGTCAAAACGCAAAAGAGAGTCTCAGTATGACTTCAAGATCATCAAAGATTGAAAAAGGTATAGGACAAAGACAAACCAGGCATAGATGCATAGAAGGCGTCTTTATAATGTTCCTTGTTGTTCACAAGATACGCAGCTTGTCCACAGTAAGCAAGAAGAAGACAAGGGAACACAAAGAACGTAAACGCGAGCTGTATCGCTAGTAAAGGGAAGTAAGCAATGTCTGCGTATAGTGCCTCTGTGCCTGCAAATGTTCAAGATGAAACACATTCAGAGATGGCCTCAAAGAGAGTCTTAAAGCTATTAATTACCTGTGATGCTGAGAAGAATGCCACCGAGCGAGATCCAACCGTCTCGGCCTCGTCTTTTGAAGTACAAGTAGATGTATGTTGGCGAAAACGCTTTCAAAACGCTAGTGTCGTGTTTGAAGATGTTGTACATTCCAGTGGCTCCGATGAAGAGGAACCAAATAAGCACTATTGGCGCAAAGAGCCATCCGACTTTGTCTGTGCCGTAGTGTTGCATACTGAACAGTCCTATTAGAATGATGATAGAGACAAGCACAACAACGTCTGCAAACACATAAAGCAAAGTTTTAAGCAAAAACAGAATTGACATAAGGTTGAGGTTAATTAATGTTTACCGCTGCTCATCTTTGGGTTGATGACTTTGATCCCACCAGTCGCTGAAAGAACTGTTAGGAAGATGATGAAAGTTTCAGTAAAAATGTCATCTTGGTGTTTTCAAATCTTAAGAAGAAGAAGAAGAAGAAGAAGAAGAAGGCTAGTTATTACCGGAGATGGCTGGAGTTAAGATACCATCACCAATCATCATACAAGTTCCAAGAAGAACAACGACAAGAAGAGCTCTCTTCCTAGATTGTGTACTCTCCAACCACTTCTTGGTCTTAGCAGCAAAAGAACCTTCAGGGAACAAAGTTCGGCTATAAGTCGTTAAATCCTCGTCGCTGCGTTGCTGATTCGGGATTAGTTTCACTTTAGCATGTCTACAGAGCAACGAGTATATAGCTAAAGTCCCACCTGCAAAACAAATCCGAATATAAGCATATCGAAACATCTATCGATAAAGCTCGGTTTTTTTTTTGTAAAGGCTTTACCTTGACCATTGTCATTAGCTTTGCAGACAATGAAGACATACTTGATGAGAGGAATAAGCAAAAGAGAGTAAATGATCAAAGAAAGAGCTCCGATTACATCTTCACTATCCTCAATTCCATCAGGGAATGTGTTGTAGAACACATACAATGGAGATGTCCCTAAATCTCCGTATACTATTCCTAAGCTTTGGAATGATAGTCTCAGTATCATCCACATTGACAATCCCTAATGAAACCCACACACAAAGACTTAATAAAGCTTGAAACTTTCTCAATTACTGTAAACAGAGTTGTATTGAGAAAAAGTGTTTACCTTTTCTATGTACATGTTCCTGAGCTTATTAGCTTCTTCGTCCATGGGTTGATCAAGTGTCTTCTCTAATTCCCACATAGCTCCGACTTGTCTTTCTTCAATCGTGTTTTCTCCTTCTGTAACAGAGGTTTCTTCGACCCGTTCCGCCATTTCTTTGTTGTTATCTGGAGGAATCGAAGTTTCCCGTAAATTGATTCCAGCCGTAATTCTTCCGATGAATCCAAATCGGAGCCCTATAAATCGATACCCATTTGGAATATTTCCGCCTGAGATAAGACCAAAAGATTGAAACTTTTTTTTCTTCCCTTGTCTGAGTATATGAAGCGACTTGAGTTATAAAACAGAGCAACTAAAGCTGTCTTTATCTTTATCAACTCTGTTTCTGAGGAAATTAGATAAAGGCTACACCACAAAAAGCCTCGAATTTGTGAAGAAAGGGACTCTCTGTTTTTTTTTTAATCAAAATTTCTTTAATTAAGAAGAAAAGAAAAAAAACCAGAATCGGTCAATCAATTGATTATCAGAACAAACAAAAAAAAACACAAAAGGAATCTTTAACATCTATGAAGATTACGCGAAAAGAACACGGTTTGAAGAAGAAAGATGTTTTTTTTTTGTGTGTTCTTCTTTATTTCTTTTTCAGATGTTATTAACAAGAGAGAGTGACCAAAGAAGTAAAAAAGAAGAGAGAGATGCAGACAAAGATTGCTGGATAAAATTTATAAGCTATGAAGCCGCTGACAAAACTGAAGACGAGTGGCAGAGAGAGAGACGAGCAGTTAAACTCTCTCTCTTTCTCTCTCTCTCTCCTTTTGTTTTTTTCTTTTCTTTTCGGTATTTACCATTTTATTTCATTTTTTGGCATATACTACTTCAATTTCAGATTGTGACATACTATGATATATCCAACTTTTGATAAAAACAAGACAAACGAGGAAGTAAATGTAAAGTCACTACGAATTAAATTCCATTTTTTCTCATATTTTATGCCAAAACAGTCAGAGTTTATTATCACTGTATGGATATTTTTGTTTATCTTTTTCTTTTCTTTTGCTTTCATTTTCCTGACGCAGGCCGCACAACTTTTAAATACATGTACCAGAATGTCCTTTTGTTGCGTACGAAAGTGATGCCTTGTAATGATAAACATGCGGCAGCCGAATAAAAAATCGATGAAAACAATTGTAGAACAGATGAACAGAATATCAGTAAACAAATTTTCTTCAAATTTCACAAGTTACTATAACAAAAAAAAAACTTCTATTTCATTTTGACATGTAAAAATACACATTTAGATCATCGGTATCAGATGTTATTTTATTGAGTTATGTGTCTAATAATAATTTCCAAATCACCGTTACACGTTCTACATACAAGTATTCAATAAACTCGTTATATAGAGTTTTTGACATATACTAATCAATTACCAACTAGCCCTAGTTTATTTATAGTTGACTTTATATGATGTGCTATCGAAAACTTAGTATACTGAGTTTAATTTTTCTGCCAAAATGTTCAATCTTAATTAAGAAGATTAACGCCAAAGACTCATATAATATCATGTAACATATCGATTATAACTATTTTTTCCATGATTTATCATGGATTACGTGAATACTATGTTAATCCCTATGTATATGACAACAAAAGAGAATGTGCATGAGATTACGCATATAAATCATTTTGTGTGAAACTTGCAAATTAATGAGATTAGATTTATAATGCTATCAATTTAACTAAAATAATTTATTAATTTAACAACGGTCGGTCGAAGACCCACGTCAAGAAACTGTCATCTTGATCGGATCTGCTAATAATTTTCTCATCTGGTGATGATAATACGTTCAATACATCATTGTTCTTCAAATTTCTCATTGCGACACAATCATAGTTGAGAAGAGTACAAGTATATATATTGATTGAGCAAAGTATTTATGACGCACTTACAGTGGATAGCCAAAGATTAATAGTTGCTGCCGATGGTGATGTTATGAATTTCATATAAAAAATAATCTCAAAACAAAATTAATGATTTAATATAATTTTTGTAAAGGGTTTAGATGAATGATTTAATATAATATATCTCATTAGTGTTAGCAATTAAGGTTTTGATAAAAAAGCTTCGAATCTTTGTCAGCGACGTAGATTAGTAATTTGATTGAAAACCTTTGTTCAGAAGAAAAAATAATAATTTGTAAGATGTTAGGGTACGAAGTGGTATGTGATAAAAAATGAAACAAATCCATTGACTCTAATTAACCAATCGTTGAGCTTACATAACATTCTTATGTATGGCATCACATAATGACATAAAAAAACACCACACACACAACAAAATGAATGGCTTGTCTGCACGTACGTACGTGTGACTAAAACATGTGTACCTCACATTTGTGTGTTAATATAATAAATATTGAGACATCAGGCATTATATACGATAAATAGCAAGAAAGGTAGATTTACTCCTCTCCAATAGTGTTTTAATTTCCTGGGGTCAAAGTGTTTACAGTATTTCCAAATTCAAGATCATTATCATATTAGTATTTGCAAATCAATTTTCGTGAATGGAGCCACCACGTTAACTTTCAGCCGCGGAATTACAGAACTACCCTTAATGAAAATCTTGATTAAATCTTCAAAATTTCCTTTTTTTGTTATTCACGAATTTGATGAAAATCTTACTAATATCTTTATTTTTAAAAATTTATCAATTGTAAATTACGATATTATTTTTCTAAAACACAGAAAAACCTAATAATTTAAATTCTCTATATATACATGTCAAACCCTATGTGATATACAAAATCGGCCACTTTATTTCTTCTTTGCCAACACGTTTCATGAGAATCATAACAAGCATAATAAAATTTTCTCTCTTCGATTATACAGTTTTGTTCTTCTCGACTACGCTAACCGAAACTTCTTGAGTTATCAATAGAGAAGTCTCTACCTAATAGTGACAATCTAGGCTCTGCTAGCCAGTTTAGTCCAATTGAGCGGACAAAACTTTCGGTGCCTGTTTTCAATATATTGTTAAGATCATCCCAACGAGCTTTATTTCGTAGGGTAATCATCCCGACGAGCTTTTTTTCTTTCTTTCTTTCCTTTTGTTTCTTATTATTTTATATTATTAAATATATTTTATTCATGTTGGTTATGAGAAGATTTGATAGCTCTGTTTTATTATTTTTTGTATTATGGTTTTGTTTTCGTAATAGCATTGATTTTGTCGCGAATATGAAGAGAGCTTGAACCAGTTTCCAAACTAAAACAGAAGAAGGTAATTCTCGTGTGATATAAATGTTTGATCTTTACTTATTTTCTATTTCTTTTTGTGTTTTTAAATTACGTAGCTATGTCTTAGTTGTATGAATGCTATTACGTAATATACAACATATGTTACACTTGCTGCAGCCTTTTGTTGTTCTTCTCTGTAGCGGTAAGCTTTGTTGCATATATTAAGGGTAAGGCTTTAATTTGGTTCTAACTCTAGAATTACCAATAATTTACAGTTTCCGTCGTGATTTTTCGTTTAGTACTCATCTTACGGCTTAAATGTCACAAGCCACCAAACCAGATTAAATGAGTAAGACCTTCTGCACGAGCCATACTAGGAAGAAGCTTAGACCTACAGACACAACCTCTACTTGGTTTAAGCTTTCTGTTTTAAAGGCCATGTTCTTAAGATAGCCTTTACGTTCAGGATCGTCATCCAGTGCGAGCAAGACTATCAGCTTGGGCTGTTTGCACAAGTACACTGTCGTACTTGCAACACCCATTCTGAAATAAGAGATCACCTTTTTCCTCATTGTGAGCAAGTGTGGAACGTGGTGATACGTCGTCTTGGACAACCCTCCTATATGTTCCACAATTGCTGAGCTCTTAACAGCTTCAGTCAATGTTTTTTTAACGCTCAAAAGGGTAGCTTGCATGCTGTCTATATGTTTAGGAAGGAGCGCAATCGGAGATTACACAACAACATGTCCTTTCCGCCGGTTGTAATCTCTTCACTCTTCTCTCATATTGAGAGGTGCACTGACATGCTGTCTACCTTACTTCTCTCTTCAGCAGAGTGGTTCTCTCACGAGTAACGTAATCAGCAAATTCGTCTTTAGCAATTGCTTCATCTAGCTTTTTTTTTCTAAATCTTTTTTTTTGTGTCTTATGAAACTTTGATTTACGCCAATCACGAGTAAAGTATCACGTTCCTTTTGATAATTAAATTCACATTTGCATGCATCCCAAAATGTATGTACGAAAACTAAATTCGTAGATTAAGATTTATAAGCAAAAATAATTGTGGGTCTCCAAACATTCTGAAACATTCATATTTGAGAGACTGGTATGATCCAAACTAACTTATATTCCAACAGTTGCATTCAAGGTCAATGAATTCTTCTTTTTATTCACTTGAAAACCCTAATAACAAGAAGGACGTAATACACTAACATTGCCGATTAGAAACATACCAAAAAACAAGATCTTTTAAAAAAAGATTATTTTTTTCTTTACCGATCTAACACTAACGTTGCCAATTTAAGATAAAAAGAACAACAACTTTCTTAAAAAAGAAAAAATATAAACAAATTTAGAACAAGTGTGTAATGTGGGGCTATGGTGTACTGTTGAGGGGGGTTTATAATGTAGGCTTATGGTTTAGGATATAGAGTTTATATTGAAGGGTGTAGGGTTCAATTTTTGGTGTATTTAAAAAAAACGTGATTACAATAACATTGACGATTAAAAAAATATATTAAAAATTTCTTTAAAAAAAATCATTTTACCTTATCGATGTAACACTAGCATTGCCGATTTAAAATAAAAAGAACAACAACTTAAAAAAAAACAATATAAGCAAATCGAGAGCAAGTGTGTAATGTGGGGTTATGGTGTACTGTTTAGGAGGGTTTATAATGTAGGGTTAATGTTTAGGGGGGAGGACGGGAGGGAGGGGAGGGGGTTATAATGTGGGGTTTGGGTTTGGGGTGTAGGGTTTATATTAGTGTGTAGGGTTTAGTTTTTGGTGCGTTTTAAAAATTTTGAATTATTATTGAAGTATATCAAAACTAAAAATCATTGATTATAAATTTGTATCTACCATTTTAGAATACAATCACAAATAACTAAAAAAATAAAAATCCAAAATCAAAAGAAAACGACACCAATAGATTTTTAAAAGACCACAGTTATATAAAGATAAAAACTGTTTAGTGAATCCTTAAAAATCTAAACTATCAACTGAATTGAAAAGTAAAATAAAAGACATAAGAACAAATAAAAACTGGAGTAAGAAAAAGAATATGATGATAAAGAAGAAAAAAGATCAAAATTATATAAATATAAAAACTGTTTAATGAATCCTTAAAAATCTAAACTATCAACTGAATTAAAAAGTAAAACAAAAGACACAAGAACAAATAAAAACTGAAGTAAGAAAAAGAATACGATGAAAAAGAAGAAGAAAATTCGAAGAGTAGGAAAAATAATTAAAAGAAGAAGAAAATGGAAGCTGAATACACTCAACATATTAATACATTCTTTCACGAATGATAAATTTGAAGTATTGTACACGGTTTTGTGCACTAAACTAAATGGACAAAGATAAAAAAAACATAAAAATAAAAATAAATTATGAAAATGACTAATGTACTATATAAGTAACTCTTCTTACATATTTAGTTTGGTAAAAATACTCAAGTTTTTAACATAGTAATTTAGATAGTTTTTTTTTATTTCATTTTTTTCAGATTTCATTGTAATGTTTTGAATTACGTATGTTTTTCTTTTAATAGTTGTATATATATATATATATATATATATATATATCTGAAATTAAAAAATTTAGTTTTTACTGATTTGTATCTGAAATTTAAAAACTAAAATAACTCCATTTTACTGATTTGTATCTCTGAGCCAATTTAGCAATATTTGTTGTTGACAGAAAAAAATGAAAATCATTGTATTTTATGTTTACATATATACCACAATAATGAAACAAATTCTTACCATTTAAGTAAAGCTATATAAATTTGGTAAAGAATAATGTTATATATATTAATTTCATACATGCGAATAAGTTTAAGAGTCAACAATCCAAAATTTTATTATTTGTATTTTCAAAATCTTTAATTAATTAATTTATTTAAAAATATTGTACCCGCACAAGGTGCGGGACAACCACCTTATTTTTCTTTTAAACTGTGATATATATAAAGATCTTTATTAAATTCGGAAATAAACAGCAATCAATAATGTATTATATTTTGAAAACACCCTTCTATCACGTCAATTTTCATATTTGAATATTGGAATATTTTGATGGTTGAAAATGTTAGTTTACTCGATATCGTACTGGAAAAGAAAGAAACAAAACGTTATCCTACTAATAATAGTTGACAGAAAATAAACTAAAAACTTTATGATTCAAACCCATAATGAATGACAGGTGACGCATATTCCACTTATGATCCATTTCTTTTTATGAACTACCAAATTAACGATTGGGACAAGTACCATCCACATGTATTCTGACCATATTTGTGGTAGTACAGTTAGATGCAATAGAAAAGAATAATAATTTTCAAATAATTTAGGCCATCTTCGATGTGAACTATTGCAAAGGCCTTTTTAACTATTTTCAAATGTTATGTTATAAATAGGCTTTTTAGCAAGAAAACCCCTCAACTAAAGATGGATCGTAAATAAACCCCTCAATTATTAATGTAATGAAAAAACCACTCAAGTTTACTTTTTTTTAATGTCGAGACCCCTCCGTCCCCTCTGTCGTCAAATCTGGACGGCACCCGTATAATCAAAACTCAGCGTTCCATTTTATCATGAAAAACAACATGTTTTTCATTCATCGAGAGTTTCGATTAGAAATCCCCAATTCGACTAGAAATTGCAAAACCAAAAGCATGAATCTTTCTTCTGATTTCTCAAAGTTATGATCTTTTACAAATGAAGAAGCTTTGTGTGACTATAAACAACAAATCTATGGACTTGCGAATTGAATTGTGAAACCAAATTTGTCTCAGAAAGAATTAGCAACAAGAATAGCTTGTCTACATCTTGCTCTAGCTTGTTCAATCCTCTCGCTAAAAGTCTCTTTTTTTAACAGAAGCTTTAACCAGCTCATCTTCTCTCGCTCATCATCTCTCTCTTCAACTTTTCCTTCATCTCTCAAAACCTCAGCTTCTTCTCTCGCTCTCTCTGCAACAATCTCTCTAGTTTTAGCTAAAAGCTCCTTAGACCCAAACTCTTTCGCCATCAGACTTTCGAATTTCTCTAAGAAGTCCATTATCATATACCCTTTTGGTTTCTCCAAGTTGATCTCTTTCGTTCTTTTCCAATCGACTACGAATCCAAACAAACTTCACAGTCTCACTTTGAGAAATTAGGGTTCGTCGATTTAGGTTTTAATTTGGGAATTTTAGAGGTTTAATGTATTTAGGGATTTCAAAATCGGGTTTTCACACACCATGTTGTTTAGAGTACATAACATGTTGTTTTGAAACTGAAAACATGTCGTTTTTCATGATAAAATGGAACGCTGCGTTTTGATTATACAGGTGCCGTCCAGTTTTGACGACAGAAGGGACGGAGGGGTCTCGACATTAAAAAAAGTAAACTTGAGGGGTTTTTTCATTACATTAATAATTGAGGGGTTTATTTACGATCCATCTTTAGTTGAGGGGTTTTCTTGCTAAAAAGCCTTATAAATAAATGGATTTGGTATGCCAGAACTTTTTATATTCTTCCGTCAATTCAAATTTTCGAGAGTTTCTCTTATAAAAGTAGAGTCAAAAGAATATTATGAAAAATTCGGGTCACATATTCGCTTAACAAATAAAATCGAAAACCAACAAAACCAAACTAACCTGTTTGGTTACCTAACCAAAAACAGTTGACCACTCCTCTACAACATTCGTTAATGGCACAAGGTCGGCTGAAATTTGCCAAACAGGTTTATATAAAGTTTATAGTTTCTTCCGTTCAATAAAGGCTAGTATGTTACAAGCTGAATAATATACCAAATGTCAATTAATTTGGCAATAATCAAGATGCTAATTTGATTCTGTAGTTGTTTACATTAGTTTACTACTTGCAATAATCACGATGCTAATTTGATTTTGTTGTTGTTTACATTCGTTTACTACTTGCAAAGAAGCTAGGACAGTTCCCAAATATTGTTACACTAGTTCTAGTTTCTATGGCGTTAGACAAATGGCCTCTAGCTACATCAATACTTTTACACCCACTTATAACGAAGGCTCTCTCTGAAACCACATCATATGATTATGTTTTTGGAGCTAAGTTATAAACTCTATAAGTCGGAGGCAGTCCCATAAATTTTATCATAACACCAAGTAGTTTACCGTTAATATAATTTTTGCTTTACTTTGAATACTCGAATAATTTGACCATTCAGATAGGCAAACACAGGAAAATCCACAACATCAAAGTCATATATTATACAAGACATAGATTTTCATCCTCAAACTATTTAGCTCTATCGAACAAAACACGATCAGGCTCTTGATTCATAGCCTTTAGTTTGCTTCACACTGACATTTCCCTTTTTTTTTGTCAAAAATATTCTCATTCATTTTTGTGTACGAGTATCCATCGAATTGTCTAAATACAAGCAACATAAACTCTGTAAAAATAAGGAAAAACACTTTGTTAAAAAAATTACAAAATATTACAAACTTACATGACATTTATAAACTGCAAAAGACCTTTGATGATAAATAATGATTATCTGTCAAACATCAAAGTTCTCCATTTGAATGTTACTCTTAAGAGGAACATATTCACCGAGATACCCACCAAGATGATCATGCAACGCAGATTTATCAATCTCCTGATGATGAAAGCTCTTGCAAACATAGTAAAACACACTCTGCACAAGCAATCCAATAAGATTAACTATCACAAGAACACCAACCAAGAACCCACCAGCCACTAATCTAGTGAAAACTCCGTAATCTTCTCCACCACGAACTACCAACGCACCGAAAACTCCACTAATGAATCCACAGTGAGCAAGATAGACGAAAACCATCGAACAAGCCATAAACGTCTTCCCTTTAAGCAACTCGTAGCTCTTCTTCATCGCTGCGAAACCGTAAACCGGCTCAAGAACAGAGACCACGCTAGCTAAATGCCACAGAGCCGTCATGTAAACATGAACGCCCAAGAACAGAACGAAGATCACTAGCAACGAGAAGACAGCTAAACCTACGTTCTGTAAATCGATGGCTACGATCAAAGTGACCAAGAAGATCAAGAAGACGATGTTGTAAGCGAGCATCAAGAGTGAAACCCAGAGGAAAGTGATGAGCAGTCGTTTGAGGCCGAGAGGGATCGCCGACATTGTGGAGGAGAAAGAGACGGGTTTTCCGGTGTAGAGAGAAGCGACGGTGAAGACGACGGCGGCTGTGGAGAGGAGAGAGAATGCGAAGAGGAAGATTATGTAGCAGAACTGGAAAACGAGGAGGACGGTCCATTCGTGTTGGGTCTGAGATTGGTCGGCCGGAGGGTAAGTGTTGATCTGAGCTAAGATCGGTTGCGTGAAGAGGGAATGTGCGAGGATTGCGAAGGAGAGAGGAAATATTAGGGTTAGGGTTATGAGGTAGAAGGTTTTGAGGGAAAATTTGGGGATCGAGGTTGATTCATGCAAGATTCCTCTAATGCTGAGAAATTGAAGCTCTTCTGGGGCAAGATCCATGGCGGATTTAGGGATTGGTAAAGAAACGAATTGAGTTTGAAATAAAGTCGAGCTTTGACGAATTGATCGAATCTTGAGAGCTTTTCCACACAGAGGAAAAGACGAAGAAGAAGATTGCCTCCTCGTAAAGATTACATTATTTTTGAAAAGACCAATTCTAAATTTAGGATTTGTTTTATTTAAAATTTGAATTTTGAAAATCAAAGGAATTGTGCGTGAAGAGAAAAGAAAAACTGAGAGCTGGACGGGATTATTTATACAGCTTACAAATAAATCACAGCAAATATCTTATTGAAAATTTAGAATTTGCTGCGAAACAAATCCTAAATTTAGAATTGGTCTTTTCAAAAATAATGCAAGGAATAAAAGGAATTGTGCATGAATTGTGCGTGAATTTGTTTTCTTCAAAATTTTCAATAAGATATTTGCTGCAATTTATTTGTAAGCTGTATAAATAATCCCGTCCAGCTCTCAGTTTTTCTTTTTTCTTCACGCACAATCACATGAAAAGATTTGTTTGATGTTAATGTTTGATGATTTCAATGGATGTAGTACTATCTCTCTCCGCCAGACCAGCTAGGTGATTCAGTTGCCTTATTTGGAGCTCTCACTGATCCTTTTTAATGTTCTGTAGAGTTCCTTTATATATTTTGCTGTCTCATATCTCTATAAGTTCGTAGTCTCTATTTGTTCTCAGTGAGTGATGATATGTTTATGATTGCCACAATTCGTTCTAATTGTTATTGATTTATCTTGTTTTTTTTAGCAACTTTTTGCTTAATCCGTTTGTACTTTGTTTTCGCAGCTGCTCCTTTGCTTCGATCTGAATCTGAAAGGAAAGGTACAATTGCTTGTAAACTAACAAATTTCTTTTTGATGCCTTCATTTACACATCGATAGTGACCTTTTTGTTTCATTAGTGTCAGTAGGTGATGACAATGGTCCACCTGAAGTATTGACAAACAACGACATCTTAGCTAAACAAACGTTAGAACGCTTGAAGATCATAGCCTCTGGCCCCCGTAATCCAACGCTGTGCCCCAACCTTGAAGAATACAATGTGTGGACAAAGGCAGAAAGGAAGACATATTTCAAATATCTTAAGTACGAAAAAGGGCATCGATCTCCGACATGGTTTGAGGAAGGGTTTTTAGGCACGTGGTGTCTAAATCATCCACAAGCGGTCATTAAAAAATTTGATGATTGTAAGTTGTAATTTTTGTTTTTTTTCTTGAATTTCTATGTTGAAAAAAATATTACTATTTTAAAAAACTCTTCTTCTTTTTGGCAGGAATGATCATCAGTTGTGAGAGGTCAACGTTTAGTCAAGACTGAGTCAGTTGTGCAAGTTCTAGAATCTGACCAAATTCTGCTGATCACGTAATACACGAATGATTAGGCCTGGGCAAATTATCCGCTATATCCGATTCGATCCGTTATCCGCTTCGATTCGATCCGAAAAATCCGGATAACCGTAACGATACAAATCAAAGCAAATACTAAAATTCAATATCCGTTAAAAACGGAGCAAATAGCAAATATTGTTTCTGAAAAACCGAATATCCGATCCGATCCGTATATTATAAAAATTACATATATATACATATATACTAAGAAATTTGTTCATTTTGTCTTTAGAAACATACAAATCAACAAAAGTATTGTTTTCACAAATATAATCCATTCATTTATATAGTAAAAAGGTTTAATAACGTAGCAATAGCTTACTTAAAACTTTAAAATTATTTTTGCAGTATGTTTATTGTTAACGATGATGTGTTTAGTGGTACCTTTATGATTAATTAATTTACGTTTTTAGAACTTATTTTTAAAGGCATATTATAAATTATGAAACAATAATATATTTAGGGATGTTTCTATCTAATTTTCAATTATTTATAATTAATATATTTTTTTGTTTTTTTTTAAATATATTTTACGGATCGGATCGGATATCCGCGGATATTTTAATTTTTGATGGATATCCGGATATTCCGGAAATTTTCGGATCGGAGCGGATCGCAAAATCAACTATCCGGATCACACGGAGCGGATCACGGATCACGGATATTTTCCGGATATCCGCTCCGTGCCCAGGCCTACGAATGATATCCATAAACGTTTTTAATTTTTTTTTGTTTATTGTGATTTGATGAGGGTGGAAGACTATACTTTATATTTGCTTTGTTTGCCTTTTGAGCCGAATTTATCAAAGTTATATATCAAAATATTATTTGGATACTCATCTCATTATGCTTTCTGGGCACCATTTATTAATATTTGCTATTATGTGGTTAACTATCCAAGTTTAATATATCTTTTACTTTCTATAAAAACTAAAGAGTTCAAGTGCTTTGATTTGATATCACTGTTTAAAATAGAACATTTTAAATACAGAAATAGAACATTTGAGGTTATGGTTTTCGTTGTTATGATCTTTACGTATACCGGTTTAATGCTAGGGACGTTTATATTCACGTCAGAAAGTGGACCTTTAGGGCATTTAAGTTTTCGTACTACAGAATAATAAAACTTTGACAAATCTATACATAGTGTTGTTTTTGGACCAAAAATGCTGCATCATAAATTAACCATTTCGTGGAATGTTGTGTACTTGATTATTTATTTTTTAAAGTGGACGTGAACAATTTGTATCTATAGATCCAATCCACATTAATGGATTTAATCGACGATTAAATAAAGTCACTATGATGAACTACTTACATTGTTATCAAAATCAGATTAGAATATATGAAAAATAGGCGTACATTTCTATGCGCACACATCAATAATCTATGATACTTGTAACGTTGTCACTTGTCACAAACCGGTTATTGGCGTTTAGTTGCTTGAAATTCATTCTCGTTGCAACTACAAAACTCCCCGTTTCGCTTAAAAATCAAAGCGTAGCGTTTTAAAAAGACCATATGACACAAACCCAAACCTGCAGCGTAAGATCACACTGCACGTCCTTGCGCAACAAGCAATCACTTAGACGACAAATGAGCAATGGGATGCAACGCTACAAGAACTTAATAATGAAAACTAGTTTCAGAGTTTGTACACGCCGGTGGATTCCTTTCACTTAACAAATCCCCAAATTATCCATCTGTATTTTTGCTCTTTTGTATTGTATGAGACCTAGATTAGATTGGGAACAAAACAATAAAGAAGTTAACAACGTATATAATATTCAGAAGAAGACGTCATCAATGAAGCAAACAAATTCCAGAAAAACAGTCTTTTTCATCCGACAGAAAAACGCAAGAGCTTGCTTTTTGTCACTTTGCTTAGACTGTTCTTGAATAAGAATAGTGTAAGTGACTCCATCAGCTTCTAGTCCACAAGAAAATGATTTATTCAATAAGTCATAAGCTTCAGATGCCCTTGATTTCTTACAGAGACTGTCTACAACCGCGTTATACGTATTAATATTCGGCCTAAAACATTCACCATCCATCAAATTCATCAACTCGTACGCTCTATCAAAGTTTCCAGCTTTACAGTGGCCATTGACGAGCGTTGTATACGTGTTCACGTTAGGAGACAAAATCAAAGAAACCTGCATGAACGTATACGTGCTACAGAAATAAGCCGTTAAATATCCAAAAATAAATAAACTAAAATGTTTTTTTCTTAAAGGCACAAAGTTTAGAGATACATTAAGTTATCAACATCATCAACTCCTAACACGTTCCAATCTCTAGTAAGATAGCGGTTAGATGTTTCTTTGATTTCAACTTTTCTTATATGATTCTTCTGTAGATCGTATAGAAACACGTAGAAAAGAGTTGAGTTTTGTGGATTATAGATTCTCCCCCCGGTCCGAGTATGAGTTACATTTTGAGGCACGAGGATAACCTCGCCATTTCTAGTTGTACCATGTACCCTCAAACTCGTGTTATCGACCATATGCGTACTGACTATATGCATTTCCGAGGGTTGCAACACAAAAGTCTTACTCCACCACCTATTATTCTTCTCCGCATCTTCCATAACCCATAGTTTCATCACACCTTCGCTTTTGACATTGGAATGGTCTAGAAGAGCTACTCTTCCACCGAATTCTATAAGACGATTAAAACGATGAGGCCAAAACGAATCATCTTCAGGTACTTGGAGAATACTCATATCCTCAGAACTAATATCGAAACTCACAAGCACTGGATCACCCACATGTACCCAAGCGAGGTAATGCATACGCCCGTTGATGGCCAATCCTTGTGTCAAAGGAAAATGTGGTGGAGATGGGCACGGAATCTTTCTCCATCGACTTGGTCCATCTCCTCTTAGTAGCAAGACCCACTGCTCCGACAGGAACGTTATGTCATCTCCAACTTCGTTACTGGTTCTTGCAACTGTGCATAACACTTTGTATCGATCGTGAACAGGATCGTGTCCGATATGGTACAGGATCTTCTTATGCTTGTGATCTTCAGCGATGATGTTGGATTCATCTATGTCGGGTAAGACAACAAGTTGCCTAGTGGTAGTGTTATATATATGCGCACTTGGCCCCTTTTTAAAGCACATCAAACCGCGATAAACGTGAGAGAAGGAGTAGCCTTTCATCGCTGCGATTGTCACTTCTTGGTCAACTATAAAGGAAGACATTCTAGTACCGTCAGAGTCGGTAGAAGCCGACGATGATAGTAATACGTTTCCGCGGTGGCTGTCCTCAAATTCCAGCCACAAGTATAGGCGCGGCACCGATGATGATGGAACCTTTAGGAAACGGTTGGTGAAGTATTGGGAACGAATGAAGGATGACCAGAGTTTTGAGACAGATTTGAACCTCATAAGTGATTTCATGAGAATCTCTACCACGAGATCAAAAGGAATCTCCTCCAACGCCTCGTGGCTCTTGCATATTTCTCTTCGTCTTCTTCCTGTTACCTTCGGTCTACTCTTTGTTCTTCTTCTCTCCCTGTGGAAGATGACGGCTAGGTCAAAAGAAAAAGGCATATTTTAGTCTCACAAAAGTGTTAATGATGGAAAATTTTGGGTACAAAGACCCTATATATATATAATATATATTAAATTTATATATTTAATATTATCATAGGGAAATAATTAAATTTATATATATTTTCCTCTTTGATATTTTTACAATTTAGAAGGAGTATATCTTTTCCCTCTAACCATAATTTTTTATTATAACGATCACCTTTTTATTTTATTACATTTGATCGAACACTTTTTTGTTTATTATAGTTAAGAGTAAATATTTTCTTATAGGTTTGTTTATAGATCGATAACTTTATATGTGTTTGAAGTACTTGTCGACTGGAAAATTAATCTGATGCCATTACTGTCCCTCCATTGATCTGACTTGTCAGGCAAGTCAAGGAAAAAAATCCCATCAATGTTAAATTGTTAGAAATGTATGCCGCCAGATAAGAATAAACAGACTATCGAGTCTGATCATGTGAAAAATGAAATGTAACCTGCTGTTTTTTTTTGGAACACTTTAGGAAAAAAAACACTTTTGGTATATATTCGACTAGTTGAGCTATTATTTAGGGAAAAAAAAAAACCCTAAAACCAATGGCTACCCAAACACGACCTCAGGTCAGGTGTTTATCACGATGGAGCTTCATGAGACATGTGGCTAGTGCCTTAAAAAAAGAAGGGTTCGGCGTTTTCATAGATAGCTACGCTCGAAGAAGAGACATCCAATACATCTTTAGAGCGATCGAAAACTCAAAGGTCGCGCGCGTTAGTGATCTTCTCTAAAAGATACGTACGCAGATTCAGAGATGTGCTCGCGCGAAGCGGTGAAGATCTACCATCGACGTAGGGAAGGAAAACTCTTGCTGATCATCCATTTGGTGAAACATGTGAATTTTATCTAAACAGACACTGGCTACGAAAACTCACCGTTTCGCTGAAAAATCGAAACGTATGATCACACTGCCCTTCCTTACGCAACAAGCAATCGCTTAGACGACAAGTTAAATGAGCAATGATGCAACGCTACAAAGAAGAATGAAAACTAGTTCCAGAGTTTGTACACGCCGGTGGATTCCTTTCACTTAACATATCCCCAAATTAGCCATCTGTATTTTTGTTCTTTTGTATGAGACCCTGATTCGATTGGGAACAAAACATTAAAGAAGTTAACAACGTATACAACATTCAGAAGAAGACGTCATCAATGAAGCAAACAAATTCCAGAAAAAAACAAAAAGTAACTAGGCTTGTTCCAGTTATCTGCAAAGTCTTGTTCCAACTTCCAAGCTTTTGCAACTTATGCTCTTTGGAAAGAACAGAATGCTAGGCTTCATCTTTCAATATTATAATAGGACCAAGATGTCTAGAAGAAGGGGAAACATCAGAAAGAAGATTCTTTAAGCGTTTAGTCGTGTTTGGTAAGCATTCGGTATAAAGGATCCGTAAGGAAGTCTAGGATTCTTTCAGCATCCCCATACTCTAAAGCTAGTAGCTAGGTTTCTGCTTTTACAATAGCTTGTTCCTCCACCGGGTTCTCTAACGGAATGTGATTTATTAAAGTGCGAATAACGCAACTCCATAATCTTCACCACCACGAACCACTAACGCACCGAATACTCCACTAATGAATCCACAGTGAGTATGATAGACGAAAACCATCGAACAAGCCATTAACGTCTTCCCTTTAAGCAACTCGTAGCTCTTCTTAATCGCTGCGAAACCGTAAACCGGCTCAAGAACAGAGACCACGGTAGCTCAATGCCACGCTAGCTAAATAAGTAAAACATGTTCAATATATACTATTAGCACAAGAAAAATTACAAACACTCAAGCATATGAAAAAGGGAAAAAATGTAGGTGATATAGATAGGAAAGGAATCGAACTCGGTTTTCTACTATTAACCTGTAACACTTAAACCACTATGATACATAACATATTTGGTAACTGGGAGCCTCTATTAACTTATATATCTTGGGGCCTGGGGTAAATGCCTTTTTAGATACACATGAGGCACGACTCTGAGTAGACGATAAGATGATGTTATCAGATATTACTTGGATCTTGCATGTGGTTGAGGCTAGTTTTTCAAACATCTGTAATGCTGCTTGTGCTGTTGTCACATCACCGAGAATTGGAGTATCATGGTATAACATCACTTGTTCCAGATTTGGTATTGTCTCCACCAAGTCAGATCCATCTGCTTTTATCCATATCATCATTGAAAAAAGTGATTTCTCCAAACTTCAATATCTTTAAGAGTGCCTTCCCAAGGTTTGCACACACACACGTCTTCCCACAATTGTTTGTATATTTGAAACGGTAATTCTCGTCTTCACATCTATTTGTATCTATGTAATGGAGTCCTTGAAGTATATACAATAAAAGGAAATGGTATTTCAGAAATTTTAAGTGTGTTAATAAAAATACGACAGCTGATGCAAGAAAAGGATTTGTGTAAATACTTGGAAGACGAGTGTTTCTAGATTGAGTCGGCAATGATTCCCATCCTACATCTTGGTTAGTATCAACAGTTAAATGAATAAGGTTGTTGAATACCACTATTTGAGTATTTTCTCGCAGCAGAAACTAAGTATGTGCCTAAAAATAAATAAAAACAAATCAACAAGATCAAACTACTCCCCCATTCACCAATATACCTAATACAATTTGAATTGGTGGTAAAATGTACATTTTCAGGTACAAGGATAACCTCACCGTTTCTAGTTGTACATTGTACCCTCAAACCCATGTTATCCACCATATGCATATTGAGTATATGCATTTGAGAAGAATCCAACCCCAAAGTCTTCTTCAACCACACATTCTTCTCTGCATCTTCCATAACCCATAGTTCCATCACACCTTCGTCTTCAATGTCAGTATGGTCTAAAACAGCTACCCTGCCACCGAATTCTATAAGATGAGTAAAATGAGGGTGAAAAAGGGCATGATCTTCAGGTAACTGGTGCATACTGAATTCCTCAGAACAAATATCGAAACTCACAACCACAGGACAAGGCAAATGAGCCATAGCGATGTAATGCATACGCCCTTTGAAAGCCAATCCATGTTGCGATGAAGGAACGTGTGGTGGACATGGGCTTGGAATCTTTCTCCATCGATCTCCTCCTAGTAGGAAGACCCAATGCTCTGATATGTAGGTTCTGATATTTCCAACTCTGTGACGGCTTCTTGAAACTGTACAAAACACTTTATATTGATCATGAACAGAATCGTGCCCTGTATAGAACACGAACCTCGTAGTCCTAGACTTGAGATTTTCAGCCGTGAACATGTCGGGTAACACGACAAGCTGCCTAGTGCTAGTGTTATATATTTGCGCGCTTGGCCCCTTTGTGAAGCACATCAAACTGCGAAATACGTGAGAGAAGGAATAGCCTTGCATCGCTGGGACAGTCAAATCTTGGTCAATGACAAAGGATTGCACATCCGAGTCAGGAGAGGACGACGATGATAGAAACATATTTCTGTCGTCTTCAAAGCGCAGCCACATGTATAGGCGTGGTGGCGATGTTGAAACTTCTGGTAAACGGTTGGTGAAATATTTTGAACAAATCAAGAATGACCAGAGTTTTGAAACAGATTTGAACCTCATCTGGGATTTAGTCGGCAGTCGCCAGAGAATCTCGATCACGAGATCAAAAGGAATCTCCCGTGGAGCTTCGTGGCTCTTGCAGATTTCTCTTCGTCTTCTTTTTCTTATCACCACCTCCGTTCTCCTCTCCATTCTTTCTATCCCCTTGGAAGATGACGGCTAGGTCAAAATAATAAGCCACTGCCACACAAATCCAAAATCCAATTCCTTTAATCAATGGGAATACGAAATTTACCTCTTTTTTTTTTGTTAGGTTTCTATAATAATGGTTTGCTCGAAATAAAGGATTTTCTGTTTTATTATATGCTTATTAATTTTATGTTTGATGGAATATCTTTTATTTATTTATTCAGTAGTTTTCGATTACAAGAATAAATTAACAGAAAATGTTTTTACTGGCCTTCTTCGGGCCCGAGTAACAAGTTTAACAAGAACCTATATTCTGAGACATTACAAATGTTGCAATGATGATGATGATTATGATTACAACGTGGATATTGTTAAGATTATTTAGTGGAGAGGCTACAAAGGAAAAATATAAGCAATCCCCTTTTTTTTTTTTTTACACCAAACTTGATCTTAGTTCAGCTGGTTAGTCTCAAGAACTAACCAACTTGGGATCGAGTGGTCTACATAAGAAAAACAACAATCACGTGCACGTGCTCCTTTCGAGAGGGAGTCAGCACGAACATTCAATAAACAAGGGATAAAACTGAGTGAAAAAATAGAGAAAGAAGAGCGAAGGAATTTAAAGACTTCAAGTTCAGAGGCCATTGTGGGCCACTCCTCTTCATCCTCAATGATCTTCACAAGTTGCATACAATCTGTCTCGAAAGAGAGACTGTATAATCCACGTTGTAGCGCCATCGTCATGGCCCAGGTCAAAGCTGTGAGTTCTGCATGAAGTGGGGAGGAAACCTGGAACTCAGCCGATGCTCCCCATATGCGTTCTCCGTTTTCATTTTCTATGACAAAACCCTTTCCGAAGAAGGAACTGTTGGGGCACCAAGACGCGTCTGATTGACATCGTGGGAACGTTATTATTTGCTCTGTTGGGGCAACAGAGCTTGGGGTAACGTCATTTTCCAGGGGATTGTCGACTAGTTGTGCCACAGTCCAGTTTTCAGATTCGGGGCAGGCGAGTTGGAAAGTGTCCAAGGGTGGGATGTCTTTCTCGTTAAAAACTTTTTCGTTTCTTGCTTTCCACAGGTACCACATAATCCATGGAAATCTCTCAATCGTCTTCTCCGGTATGTTAGCTTCTTTCGCACGCCAAAAGAGGTGATCAACATTTTTATACAATGAATCACACGGGAAGTCACCCAGAACGTAAGGGAATTCAGAAATGCTCCGTACTTGTAGCGCCGCCGGGCACTCAAACAACAAGTGATTAGGTGTTTCGGGAGCAGCGTCACAGCGTGGGCATAGTCGATCTATCCCGCAATGTCGTTCAACCAGGTTGTTCTTGACGGGAAGACAGCCTGCGATTGATTGCCACATAAAGTGTTTAATCTTTCGCGTAGTCTTTGTTGTCCATACTCTGCTTTTCAGTGCTGTGACACTTGGTTCTAAGACCTGTGGCGAGTCACTGGTTTCCTTGAGATCAGAGGCAAGATTGTAGCCGGTCTTAACCGTGTATATCCCCGATTTCGTGTAAGCCCACACAAACTTATCCATCTGAGGGGTGCGACTCGGCTTGACACATCGTATCCGTTTAACCTCTTCCGCCGTGAAAAGTTGGTGAAGAACTTCATCTTTCCATACCTTTGTGTGCTGGTCTATCAAGTGGTACACCAGTAGATATGGATCCTTGAAGACATTTTTTCCAACTAATTGTGTTGGCGGGGTAACCGGGATCCAAGCATCACTCCACACAGCCGTGGTAGCTCCTGTTCCTATGGATTTACGAAGTCCTGCTTTTAGTAGGTTCCTGGCAGCAATCATGCTAGTCCATACATATGATGGGGAGTTCACCTTCTGTACCTCTAGTGGCGATGAGTGGAGGAAATATCTCCCTTTAAGGATCTTAGCGAGAAGTGAAGAGGGATATTGTATAAGGCGTCAGAGTTGCTTCGCAAGTAATGCGAGATTAAAGTTTTTTAGGTCTCTGAAGCCAAGATCTCCTTTCTCCATAGGTTTACATATCTTGTCCCAAGCAATCCAATGTATTCCCCGGCTATTTTGCTTTGTACTCCACCAGAAATTAGAGATTGCTCCTTGTAACTTTTTGATAATATCTTGTGGTAAGAGAAAGCAAGACATCACATAAGTAGGCAAGGCTTGAGCTACAGATTTGATAAGGACCTCTTTCCCTCCTTTGGACAGAAGTTTGGCTTAACCTGTCCTGGATGAAGGAAAACACTTGCTTTTTGGATCCGCTTATTTTTTCAGGTAGACCAAGGTATATTCCCATGCCCCCATCTCGTGATATACCGAGGGTTCGTTTTAGTTCCGTCCTTAGGTCATTTGGGACCTTGTTGCCGAAAAAAACTGATGATTTCGCTGTGTTCAGCTGTTGACCTGATGCCTGACCATATGTATTGATGATCTTTATTAACTCAGCACACTGCTGGACTTCAGCTTTGCAAAAGAACAGACTATCGTCCGCAAAGAGTAGGTGTGAGATAGCTGGGCAGTTTCGTGCTATCTTAAGTCCTGTTATGCGTCCTTCTTCTTCAGCTCCCTTTAGTTGAGCTACCAAGGCCTCCATGAGTATGATAAACAGGAATGGAGAGAGTGGATCGCCTTGTCTTAAGCCCCTTGTAGGGTTAATGTGACCTTTTGCTTCTCCGTTTAGAAGAACTTGGTATGAGACAGATGATATGCAGGCTCGTATCCATGAAACCCATTTTTCCGAGAAACCCATCTTGAGCATCAAAGCCTCTAAGAAGGTCCATTCCACTCTGTCGTAAGCTTTACTCATATCTGTTTTGACTGCCATGAATTTTGTCTTGCAACTTGGGTTCGTGCGGAGCGCATGGAAGGCCTCTTGAGCTATAAGAATGTTATCTGTGATTAATCTCTTTGCCACAAAGGCAGACTGTGTCTCCGAGATGAGCTTCGGGAGGAATCTCTTCAGCCTTCTACATAGGATTTTTGAAATGATCTTGTAGCTGACATTGCAAAGGCTTATGGGCCGGAATTCTGACATATCTTTCGGTCTCTCTGTCTTTGGGATTAGGCAGATGTTTGTCTGGTTTAGACGTGCATCCAAGGCTTCAGAGGAAAAAAATTCCTGTACCATTGCGATTACATCTTTGGCAGTTACCTCCCAGAATTTGTGATAGAACACGCTTGTCATCCCGTCAGGACCCGGTGCTTTCTCAGGGTTAATATCATATATGGCCTGTTTAATCTCTTCGTTTGTAGGAGGCTTTGTAAGAGCTTGATTCATATCTGTTGTAACCTGCGCGGTAACATACCGGAGTGCCTCGTCGAAGTCGGCTGGTTGAGACGACGTAAAAAGATTTTGAAAGTAGGCAGTCGCTACATGTTCAATGTCGTCTTCTGTTTCCGCCCAGGTCCCGTCACTCCGTTTCAGCTTTGTAATACGATTTCGAGCCCGCCGTTGCTTGGTTGTAGCATGGAAGAATTTGGTGTTCATGTCTCCCTCACGAAGCCATGTAACTCTACTCTTCTGTTTCCAGTATAATTCTTCGTCCCGGAAGGCTGAGCATAAGTCCCATTTGAGTTGTAAGACTTCCTCACTTGTCATATTGTCATTTGTCTGTGCCTGTTCCAGGAGATTTTTGATTTCTTCGATTTTTTTTATAGAGTTGGATTGGTTCGTTTTTTTCCAGCGTGAGATAGCTCGACGGCATGCTTGGACTTTTTTGTGAACATCTCCCAGGTCCGAGATGTCCGTTGTGCTCCATCCTTCCTTTATTGTGTTTTTCAAGCCATCCTTATCGAGCCATCTCTTATCGAACTTGAAACATCTTTTTACACTAGCAGGTTTTGATAAGATGCGAACAAGAATGGGTCTATGGTCTGATCCCCACAGCTTTAAGTACTCCACATTTGTGTGGGAAAATTCATGGTGCCAATCTTCATTCCCCATTGCTCTGTCTAGTTTGCATTGGATTTTACCACATTTTCTATATCCAACCCATGACATTGAGTTTCCTTTAAAGGGAAAGTCCAGTAAACCACAATCATCTAGCATTCTTCGAAAAGGGAGAAAAGATGATTCTGAGTGCTTGCGCCCTCCACGCTTCTCCCAATTCCCAACCATTTCGTTGAAGTCACCCAAGAGCAGCTATGCACCACGTCTGGTGTGGCTAAGTTGGACCAAACGGTCCTAGAACAATTCTCGGCAATCAATGACCGGATCTCCATACACAAACGAGATGAACACATTTTTTCCTTCAATTTTTGCTTCAATATCAATCATTCGTTTGTCGGCTGAGATGATTTTAATATCAAAAGAATCAAAATAAAAAAGTGATAGTCCACCACTTGTGCCTTCCGGCTCCACGGTGAACAATTTATTATAACCAAAAGAAAAATGGAAATCTTGCAAAAAGGAATAACAATTCTTTGTCAAATAAGCTCTTGCACCTTGACAGTTCCATGCAATTGTGTTCATATCTTCTTACTGGGTGATTTCTGGGACACCACCGAACCTAAAACAGCAGAAGGTTTCTTGCTTAGAGCAGAAGGAAACACCTCATTACGAGGGAGATTAGAAGATGCCAAAATTTTTGTGAGTTTACCCGTTGTGGTTTTCTTCTTTGGCGATGGTTTGGCCCTGAGAGCCTGCATCTTACGTGACGCCTGACGTCCTTTGTGGTCTGGGCTAGCTGGTTGTTTCTTTCTCTGGCCGAGACTGGCCTTTGTCGTGGTACGTCTTGGTCTCTTCTCCACTACGAGTGCAGGTTCCTGGTCATTTTCGATAGGCTCTTAGTCATGCACCTCCATTGGTGATAGTTGTGAGATGGCGTCAATTTTTTCTGCGTCCGAGGCCAGCTCCTCGCCTAAGAGATCGTCGTTAGCCATCATCTCATCGTCAATAGGGTCGTCGGCTAGTTCATTGATCATATAATCTATCTGGTCTGCGGTAAGAGCCTCGCCTTCTTCCACGTCATAGAGAATCTCATCGTCCAGAGGAGTGAAGGAGAGCTCTTCATCCAAGGCCTTTTCCAGCGACTTGGGGAGGTTCCCATGTTGTTGGGTGCCTTGTCCCGGGGAGGGAAGAGGTTCACGTATAGCTAGATTCCCCATTGGTAGTGTTTTTTTCAAAAATTGTTGGTATTTTTCAGCTTTGGAGAGCTCCACTACCTTTGCTTTCCCTTTGATCCTTCGGATGCGCTCACTTTCGGATTCGTTTTGATACCTGATCAGATGCCCGTGGGCACGGCGCCCTCCTGCAGGTGGAGGTACTTCAGACACAGTACGTTGGGAGTCAGCTCTAGTATTCCGTGATCTATTATTCTGATCTGCTGGCTTTGAAGTTGGTGTCTCCAAGATGTCCTTCTGGTTTGGTTCAGCTCCTTGGCCATGGCCATTTTTAGGACGCCAGACTTGCTCGGAATCATGACGTGTATCACGTGAGCCTCTGTAAGAGTCTGTCTTTCTCTGGTAAGGGTGGTGTCGATCATTTGTGGATCTTTCCTTCCGTTCAAGGCGGTTCCAGACTTCATGGCCTCTCGATTCACGTTTTTCACGGAGTTCCTGTCGGAGATCTCTGTTTCGTGAGGTGTACGGTTCCCGAGATCGGGAGAGAGAACGTTCGAGAGGTCGAGAGAGAGAGCGAGAGTCCGAGTGTCTTGGATATTCAGTTCTTTTTTGATACTCGCGCTTAGGAACTCTAGTCCTTACACGCTCATCATAAAGATATCCATCACTCTTCTCGGTTCTCTGGTCATAAATGGGGTCCTTGGTTCTCGCAATTTGCTCGTTGATCCCATAAGCAAACAGGGCTTCTTGTCGAAGTTCCTCCAGTCTCTTTTTTTTTCTTCTCATCACGTTGTTCCTCAGTAAGATCTGGACAAGTACCTTCCTCATGTGAGAGAAGGTTACATGTAAAGCAGTATCTTTGTATCCCTTCATAGGTGAGGGTCACCATGGCGGTATCTCCGTTGGAAAACCCAACTTTCCGTGTGAATTGCAGGGGTCTATCAGCATTGAGCGAGACTTGAAACTTTGCCCTTTTTGCATCGATCTTTGTAACTGTTCCGAGGACTTTTCCGATCTCATTGAAGGTATCATCATTCCATAAGTGCACCGGGATTCCCGTGACCAAGATCCAGAATAGCATCGTGTTGGGAAATCCTCTCGGGTGAAGGGTTCCCATTTTTCTAGGGCAAAGCTCCACCGGTTGAAGTGCCATGGTCGTTTATCCAAGACTTTGTTCAGATCTTCTTCATGATCGAAGTCAAACTGGAAGCGACCGTTCCCAAGGTTTATCCCGTGAGCCCGTCCTTCGACGTCCCAGATCTTGGGTTTTGGCAGCAGTTTGATTAGGGCATCGATACTTCTTCCCTCCTTGTGGAGAGTTCGCCCGATTAGGGTAAGTTTGAACTGTTCCGAGACCGCGTTAATGTCACAGTCCGGGATCCTTATGATCTCATCTTCCACAGCGAGTCTTCTCCTGGTCTGGTGCGGGCTTCCATTGCGATGCGCAGCGCCAACAAGTTGATTCATGGTGATAGTCGGTTTGCTGGTGGGAAGGCGGCGATTATGGAGAAGAAAACGTAGCAGGTATGCTAGAAATTAGGTCTACCAGAGACAAAGTAGAGATTTGTCAAACTATGTGACGAGATCTCGTGCTTCAGACAGATCTGAGAGTAAACTTAGCAAAGAGCTAGACAGAGGGATGGAGGATACGTAGCATAAGCTAGAGGGGATCGCGTCTTTTTATGTGTGTATCGTTGCCGCTATTCGAGAATAGAGGCAAAAGCACGTTATTAGAGAAGCGAAAAGCCTAGAGAGAGAGGCGGGATTTTTTCTTTTTCGAGAGCATTTTCTCCTTCGTGGTTTGAATTCCTATGATAAAACAGCAATCCCCTTATATGATGTGTTCTTTGACAAACAACCAAAGACTCAAGAAGGATTTGGTAAGTCTGTAGTTTCTACGATTGGGTTGTTTCTGGTTTAAAATAGTAAGTTTAAAAAACTAGGTGGGTGTTTCTGCTAAATAACTATATTTGAAAGGACTTGAAGCTAAAAACCATGGAAATGTCAGATTTATCCTTGGTCTTCGTCTTCCTCTCCGTCACCGTCCTTAAAAATCTCACAGACCATTGGAATCACCGTCGTTCGGTCGTATATCTTAATTCCTCTAGAGCTTTGTCCATTACTTCAATTAGTGAGTCAAAATCCTTGCAGACCACTCTGTGTCTCTGTTACTGTTTTTCAAATTTATCGACCAGTTTGATTTCTATCTAGTTGAATGAGCTCTTGATAGATTTTCGTTTAGAACCAGTTTGATTCTCGTATTTAAAGTTGAAATGCGTAATTCCCTCACTTGTTCGATGATGACTAAGTACTCATGCATTATGTTCGATTGAGCTTCTTTGATAGTTTCAGAGCTTCCTCTTTTTTAGATCTTGATTGTTAGGTGGCTCTAGATTCTGCAAGCAAACAAGCAAAGTAGTAAACGAATACTTTTGCGTGTACCCAAATTTTGTTTCAGTATATATAATTAAGTAATAGGGAAGATAAAATAACAGTGAAGTTGTTAATTTCGTTTTTCAGTTTTCTATAGGGAGAGATAGATAGAGAGTGGGGGTGATAGAGAGAAAGAGAGACGAGGAAGTTGAAGGAAGAAAAAACCTTTTTGCAAATGGCAATGGAGGAGGAAAGTTTCTCCAAAGTTTTACAGATTGGAGACTTGTCTTCAGATTACATGGTAACTCTGTTTTTTAAACTATTTCTTGTTAGAATTACATGGTAACTCTGTTTTTTTAAACTATTTCTTGTTAGCTTCTGGTTCTGTATTTAATGAACTTTCTACATCTTTTAATCTATATCTTTTATATCTTTTAAACTATTTCTTGTTGGTTATGTGTCTGAGAAGATTTTAATCTTGTTGACTTTGTTTTAAAGGTGGAATCTTGTTGTTCTCTGTCCGTATTGGTCTTAAAAGAACTCACTGTTTTTTTTTTTTTTTTTTTCCTGGTCTTAACTTTCGCTGTCTGAACAAGATCTGTCCTTCGTTCTTTCTCAATGCTGTGTTGAGTTTCTCGTTTTTGTCTGAACAAAAACATGGATCTGTTAGCTAGTTCCTCGGTCTGAACAGAGTTCTTTTTCTCCCTTCATCTTATACTCCAGAGAGCAATTCCGCTAGACTTTGTGAGAAGATTCTCCGACAGTGAGCTTCTTGGTAAGATGAAGATAACTGCAAAGTGGGGAACCACTTGGGAAGTAGACATCTGCAAGAACCCGGGATTTTTCTACATGGACAAAGCTGGATGGAACCAGTTTGTCAGCGACAACTGTTTGAAAGGCGGTGATTTAATAACATTCACTCACAAAGGAGCCATGTGTTTCTCTGTGAAGATCTTCAAGGAGATGCTCCAACCTCCTCAACCCACACCACCTTTTTTTGCTTCTTTTAGTGGAGGTGGGCATAGGACAGAAGAACAAGAGGAGTGTGTCTCCAAAGATGTAAACAAGGAAGCTGAATCTGATGGAGGAAGAAAGTTCAAGACAAAGCTCGAGAAAGTGGTCAGTGTCCCGAGATATTCTCGTGGCTCCTCTTCGTCTAATGTTACCGGATTCACCGTTGTCATCCAAAGTTCATATTTCACCAAAAGGCTCCTGGTAAGATTTAAGAGAGACCAAAACATTTTTGGGCTTAATTTGTTTTTTTTTTCAAACCAGTGACATGTGAGTGAATGATAACAGTTTTTTTTTTTCTCTTTTAGGGGATCACGCATTCTTTTGCAAAGGCTCATATGCCGAGGACGAATGCATCGTTCAAGATACATCATCCGGATGAGAAGAAGTCGTGGAGTGTGCGTTACTTGCCGAGGATTCATCCATTCTTACTTAATAAATGGAAGCCAATGTTTTCTTCTGGTTGGGGTGTTTTGGTTAGGGAGTATCCTTTAGCCATTGGAGACATATGCACATTTACACTCATCAAACCGGAGGAAATGCTTCTCGTTGTCACAAAACCCAGAGAGGAGGACTCACTAATGATGATATGATGTTAGGGTGTTTGTCTTGTTAGCTTAATCATAGGTTATTATCTAATGTTTTTTATCTACTTGGAAGTAATTAATCTGCGTTTGTGTTTGAACTTTGAACTGTGTCTTAGTTTGTATTTTTCTTTTATGTCTTTGACTTGATGTGCAAACTCTCAGATGGTCAATAATAAAAGTAAAAATTAGGTGTAGCATAATGACTTAATGAGAAATATAAACATCCAAAAAACAAAAGAAAAAAGAACATGAAAAAATTAGGTAGCCAGGTGATGGCAACTGAAAAAATTGAGCTACTGCCTACTACCAATTTCTTTGTACTCGTTTTGAATTCTTCCCAACTGAGGTTTTTAGCATAACCAAGCTCAAAATCATCCCAACCAAGTAGAAACTAATTAATAAAGGGTCTGGTTACAATCCGTTTAGCTGAAAAGGGCAATGTTTATGGTCAATATAATTGATAAAGGGGATGGTTATGATCGGTTTAGTTGAAAAGTGCTCTCTTTTTGTAGTTTAAGCGAACAGGGTCCAGTTATGATCGGTTTAGTTGAAAAGGGGCTTTGTTTTCATCACTTGGCACAACATTGATAGCAAACTTGTAGTGTAGACCCTAACGATAACATAATTAGTTATTTGTCGCATTGAGGAAGGAGCATGTGCATTGTGCATAAGGACATCTTGGTTTTCCTTGGAAGAATTTCAAAATTATGGAGGGAAAATTAAAATACTTAACTTCTATGTCTATATTTTGATCGCCAGTCATCTTCTAGATTCGAAAAATGAAAACTTTTTGTTTCTTGGGAACAATTTGACGAAAGGTTTCAAATTAGTGTACCTTTTAAATGGTAATTTTGAAAGTAGTGTGTACCTTTTACGGAAAAGAGAGTGTAGTTTAAGTTGAGGCATGGCTAGTTTTGAAACATGTGGGCTTCAAATATTGAGTTTAAAAAGTAAGTGGGCGGTTCTGTAAATTAGTTCTATTTCAAAGGACTTGAAGTTAAAAACCAGTACTCTTCTTTTAAGTCATAAAACCTTGTAAAAACCACGGAAATATCAGAGTATCCTTCCTCTCCGTCACCGTATCCGGTCACCGTCGTCGAACATCATCTCACTATTGCATCCCCGTCGTTCAGTCGTACCGTATTTTCTCTAGAGCTTTGTCCACCACCTCAATTAGTGAGTCAAATTCTTTTGGTCCTTACCTTGTCTGTCCTCTGTATCTTTCTGTTACTATTTTTAAAAATGTATTCTCGTTTTCCGACTTGGATTTCTATCAAAGATTGTGTTTTTCCGACCTAAATTTCTATCAAAGATTGTGCTTTTCGTACCTGGATTTCTATGTAGATGAATAATCTCTTGATAATTTTTTGTTCAGGCATTAAAACCCAGTTTGGTTCTGATTTTTGTAAGTTGAATCTCGTAAATTTTGTTCCTTCTTGGGTGTTCATCACTTGCTCGATGAAATGCTTCTAATTTCTCATGCATTTTTTTCGATGCAGCTTTTTCAACGCTCGCTCAGAGGGAGGAGTTTTGCAATGGCTATGGAGGAAGAAAGCTTCTCCAAAGTTATCCAGATTGGAGACTTGTCTTCAGATTACATGGTAACTGCGTTTCTAAAGTATTTCCTGTTCGATTTATCAAGAAAGGTCAAACCTTTTGCTTCTGTCTTTATGGATCTCAAAGAAATCACTGTTTTAAATGTGTAATCTTGTTGTTCTCTGTCTGTATTGGTCTTAAAATAACTCGCTGATATTTTCCTGGTCTTAAGAAAAAAAAACCATGGATTTGTTAGAGCTCTTTCTACTTGAAAAGATTGTTCATTTCTTCTTTCTCAATGCTTGTGTTAGAGTTTCTCCTTTGTGTCTGAACAAGATAGATTGAGCAAAAACATGGATTTGTTAAGCTTTCACTGTCTGAACAGATCTGTTTATCTGTCTTCATCTTATCCTTATAACCAGAGAGCAATTCCTCTAGACTTTGTGAGAAGATTCTCCGATATCGAGCTTCTTGGTAAGATGAAGATAACTGCAAAGTGGGGAACCACTTGGGAAGTAGAGATATGCAAGGCCCAGGATTCTTCTACATGGACAAGCCTGGATGGAACCGGTTTGTCAGGGACAACGGTTTGGGAGGCGGTGATTTAATAACATTCATTCACAAAGGAGCCATGTGTTTCTCTGTGAAGATCTTCAAGGAGATTCTCCATCCTCCTCAACCCACACCCTTTTTGGCTTCTTTTAGCAAGTGTAAGATTTGCTTTTTGTGATTACGAAACAGAGTGAACTAAGCTAGATAAAAGACATCGGTTCTTTACTTTTGAGTTTTGATGATAAACAGGTCGGCATAGGACAGAAGAGCAAGAGGAGGCTGTCTCCAAAGATGTAAAAAAAGAAGCTGAATCTAACGGAGAAAGAAAGTACAAGAGGAAGCTAGAGGAAGCGGTCACTGTCCCGAGAGATTCTGGAGGCTCCTCTTCGTCTTCTGTTGCAGGATTCACCGCTGTCATCAGAAGTTCTTACATATCGCAACTGGTAAGATAAGAGAAACCAGAACATTTTGGGCTTTGGTTTTTCAAACTAGTGACATGTGAGTGAAAGAACACTGCTTTTCTCTTCCTTTGTATTTCAAAAAAAAATCCAGGTGATCTTGAAATCGTTTGCAAATATTCATATGCCGAGAACGAGCGCAACGTTCAAGATACATCATCCGGATGAGAAGAAGTGGTGGAGTGTGCGTTACTTGCCGAGGAGTGATCCATGCGTACCCGGTAGATGGAGCCCATACTTTTCTGCTGGTTGGGGTGTTTTGTTTAAGGAGTATCCTTTAGCGATTGGAGATATATGCACATTAACACTCATCAAACCGGAGGAGATGCTTCTCGTTGTCACAAAACCCTGTGAGGAGGACTCTCTACTTGGAAGTAATTAATATGCGTTTGTGTGGTCTTTGTTTGTATTTGTATTCTTTTATGTCTTTGACTTTGACTTATGCGTAAACAACTCTCTGATGGTCAATAAAAGTAAAATTAGTTAGCATAATGAGAAACAAAAACATCCAAAAACGCAGAAAAAAAATTAGGATAGCACCAAAAGAAAAAGATTGTGCTATTACCGATTTCTTTTTGTACTCTTTTTGAATTCTTTCCAATTGATCTTGGTAGCATAACAACGCACAAAAGCATCCCAAACAAAAATGATTCCAAAAACAAAAACTACATTAAAACCAAAAAAAAACAAAAACAACTACATAAGCCACTATAGATGAGCTTTCAAGTTTAGAGATATATCAAGTTCTCAACATCATCCAATCCAGCAACGTCAAAAAACTTGGTAAGATAGCCGTTCGGTGTTCCTTTAACTTCGACTTTTCTCATATGATTCTTCTGTAGATCGTAAAGGAAAATGTAGAAAAGAGCTGTATTTTGAGGCCGAGGTTCCAAGACCTCCCTTCGAGTACGAGAGCGAGTTATCAAGAACATAACCTCTCCGTTTCTAGTTGTACTATGTAACAACAGATTAATCTTGTGGACTATAGGTATTTGAGAAGAATCCAACACCAAAGTCTTACTCCACCACCTATTCTTCTCTGCATCTTCCATGACCCATAGTTTCATCATGCCTTTTGTATTAAGATCACGATAGCGTAAAATAGCTACTTTCCCACCGTATTCTATTATATTGGTCTTCCGACGGTAACGCATATCGATCATAGTAGGGTTAAATATATCTTCAGGTAGTTGGAGCATACTGATTTCTTCAGTACTAATGTCGAAACTCACAAGCACGAGGAATAACGAACACAAGCTAGGTAATACACACGCCCATTAATAGTCAACAACTTTGTAAAAGGATTATGTGGTGGACATTTGCTTGGAATCTTTCTCCATCGACTTTCTCCATCTCCTAGTAGAAAGACCCAATGCTCTAGCAGGAACGTTGGTGACACTCGTCGAAATTTGTCAAGGGTTATTCTTGCAACTCTGCAAACCACTTTGTATTGATCGTGAACAGGATCGTGTCCGATATGGTACTTGTAAAATATGATATTCTTAAAGATGTCATCTTCAGCCATGACCATGTTGGATTCTTCTATGTCGGGTAAGACAACAAGTTGCCTAGTGGTAGTGTTATATATTTTCGAACTTGGCCCTTTTCAAAAGCACATCAAACCGTGAAAAACGTGAGAGACGGAGTAGTCTTCCATAGCTGGGATTGTCGCTTCTTGGTCAACTACAATGGAAGACATAGTAGTACCGTCCAAGTCAGACAAAGCCGACGTTGATAGTAATACATTTTTGTCTTTAAAGTATAGACGCTGAGCGGATGGTGAAACCCTTGGAAAACGTTTGGTGAAATATTGGGAAATAGTTAGGGATAACCAGTGCTTCGAGACGGATTTGAACCTCATAAGTGATTTAGCTGGAAGTCTCCAGAGAATCTCTATCACCAGATCAAAAGGAATCTCCCGTGTAGCTTCGTGTTGCCTCATCTCCATTCTTCTCTCTCGTTTGATCAAGATGACGGCTAGGTCAAAAGAAAAAGCAATAGTTTGTGATCGGAAAAAACTTTAGGTTGGTCACAACTCCTAGTCTCCTATAATCATAAATGGAAGTACGAAATTTTCCTAATTTTTTTAACATATTAACAAATTACATCATTTAATAGAAAAAAATACAAAATTATATCCTTCTCATCTCATATAACTACTTTTTATTTTAACTATACATGACCAGCAAACAATTTTTTTTTTAATGTTATGTTAATCCATCTATTAAATTAAATTAAACTAGGTTTGAAAGCCCCGCGTGAGGTTGTTTGCGATGGTTTTTTTGTTTAATTTTATTTATATCGTTGATTTGAATTATGATAGTTTTGTGTTAACTCTCATGTTTTTGTTATGTTTTGAGTTAATTCAACCACTAACACTCAAAAATATTAATATTTTTTTTTTTTTAATTTATTAGGATATTAACACCCCGCTTTATCTCGAGTTTTCTATTTCTAAAATTTTATCATGTTATAAATATTATGTTTGTTTATTTTTTTTTACTTCTATTAGACTGTAAACATGTATATGTATTTGATTGAAGGTTAAAATTTATAAATATGTATATGCATTTGACCATTTGACTGAAGGTTAAAATTAAAACTGTTTAAACAATTCTTGTTTTTCACTATAATTAAATTTACATATAAAACTCATTTCTATTTGTTTAGAAAAACAAACTCTAACTCTAATTTTTCATTAGCTTTCTATTATCTTAATTAATTTATATTCAACTTTTTAACTTGTAAACAAATTATAATATTTTAAATAGGATAATCCTTTGAATAAAAAGGTAAATATATACTATTTGAAGTTAAATATTTATTCTATTTTATATTCCAACTTTTTGATAACTTTTAACATCAAATTATCATATATTTCTATTAATTATTTAATTTATTTGTATATTTTTATTAAATATGAATAAATGTAAAGAAATATGAATAGTCATATATTTAATAAATATTTTAAATACAATTTAATATTTTTGTGCTGATGTGGACACTCTAGATGGAGAGAGCAAACTCCCTAATTATATATAAGATATTAACATAACCGTCTGATCAACAGTACTTTGATTCCCTTGATTTGACTTGCTAATAAGTATTAACAAAGAACTTTTCTTTTTGAAATTTGCATAAAATTAACTATTGAGATCAGTGGGGAATTGTATAAGTTGTGTTTCTAATTTCCATATAGACCGATCTTGAGAGCTTTTTACAGTGTAAGTATGATATATAAACGATTTGTATATGTACTTTATACCTTAAGATCAAGGTACAATATTCATTTCCTTATTCAAGACCACTTGAGTGTAAGTATGATGTTAGGATGTCTGGCTTGTTTGTTTCTCTACTTGGAAGTAATTAATATGCGTTTGTGTTTGTATTGTGCGTCTTTCTTTGTATTTTTATTCTTTCATGTGTTTGACTTTGACTTATGCGTAAAGCCGTAAACTCTCTGATGGTCAATAAAAGTAAAATTAGTTAGCATAATGAAAAACAATGCTTAGTGATTAAAAGGAATTAATGCTTCTACATAGGAGACACGAGGTCTGGGTTTCGAATCCTGACGAATGCGATTTTCTAATAATTTATGCAGATTAATAGAGGCAAGCTTACAGGAGATCTACAGATTGATGCACATAGAGCCGTCGGTCGTGGAACATTTGAAGATAGTAGAATCGTCCGCTACAGAAGTGTCTTATTATAATAGTTCTCATAATTTGCATTTAGATTAGTCAATGTTAAAAAAAAAAGAGAAACAAAAACATCAAAAAAAATGGAAAAAATTAGGTAGCGCCAAAAGAAATTATTTTTGCTACTATCGATTTCTTTTGTACTCTTTTTGAATTGTTTCCAATAGATCCTGGTAGAGCATAACAACGCACAAAAGCATCCCAAACAAGTTAAAATAAGAAAATGTTTCCAAAAATCATAAACTACATTAAAACCAAAAAACAACAACTACATTACATAAGCCACTATAGTTGGTAACTTTCAAGTTTAGAGATATATCAAGTTCTCAACATCATCCAATCCAGCAACGTCACAAAACTTGGTAAGATAGCCGTTGGGTGTTTCTTTAACTTCAACTTTTCTCATATGATTCTTCTGTAGATCGTAAAGGAAAATGTAGAAAAGAGCTTTATTTTGAGGTTCCAAGACCTTCCTTCGAGTAGGAGAGCTAGATTGAGTTATCAAGAACATAACCTCGCCGTTTCTAGTTGTACTATGTAACAACAGATTAGTCTTGTCGACTATAGGTATTTGAGAAGAATGCAACACCAGAGTCTTACTCCACCTATTCTTATCTGCATCTTCCATGACCCATAGTTTCATCATGCCTTTTGTTTTAAGATGAGTGTAGCCTAAAATAGCTACTTTCCCACCGTATTCTATTATATTGGTCTTCCAAGAGAATTGGATATCTTCAGGTAGTTGGAGCATACTGATTTCTTCAGTACTAATGTCGAAACTCACAAGCACAAGATCAGGATAACGAACCCAAGCTAGGTAATGCATACCCCCATTGATAGTCCACAGTTTTATAATAATAATATGTGGTGGACATATGCTTGGAATCTTTCTCCATCGACTTGATCCATCTCCTCCTAGTAGCAAGACCCAATGCTCTGGCAGGAACGTAGGTAACTCTCTTCCAAATTCGTCAAAGGTTCTTCTTGCAACTCTGCAAACCACTTTGTACTGATCCTGAACAGGATCGTATCCGATTTGGTACATGAACATGATCTGCTTAAAGTTGTCATTTTCAGCCATGAACATGTTGGATTCTTCTACGTCGGGTAAGACAACAAGTTGCCTAGTGGTAGTGTTATATATTTTCGAACTTGGCCCTTTTGAAAAGCACATCAAACCGTGAAAAACGTGAGAGACGGAGTAGCCTTCCATCGCTGGGATTGTCACTTCTTGGTCAACTACAAAGGAAGACGCTGTAGTACCGTCTGAGTCAGCAGAAGCCGACGATGATAGTAATACATTTTTTCCGTAATCGCCAAGCCACAAGTATAGACGTGGCAGCGATGAAGGAACATTTATGAAACGGTTGGTGAAGTATTGGGAACGAATGAAGGATAACCAGTGTTTTTGAGACAGATTTGAACCTCATAAGTGATTTAGCAGGCAGTCTCGTGAGAATCTCTATCACGAGCTCAAAAGGAATCTCCTGCGACGCCTCGTGGCTCTTGCATATTCCTGTTCGCCTTCGCTTTATTATTACCTTCGATCTCCTCTCCGTTGCCCTTCTCTCCCGTTGGACGATGACGGCTAGGTCAAAAGAAAAAGCCATATTTTAGTGATCGATATAACAACTTTGGGTACAAAACCCTATATAAATAAGAAATTTTAGGTTCTCCTCTCTAACCATTTTTTTTCTTTAAATTATAACGATCACCTTTTGTTTTCCTTTTTAACATTTGATCGAACACTTTTTTTTTTTTTTTTTTTAAATTATAATTCATACTTGTAATTCATATAATCTTATTAGGCAATTTAACAAGAACCTAAATTCTCAGACAGTACAAGTGTTGCAACGATCATGATATCAGGAGTTTGAAGTGTGCTAGTGGAGAATCTTAATAACACAACTTATTCCCTAATTTGCAGCTTCGCTGAAGATAATCTGCAAAACGTCGTTCCATTATGCTTTTTGGAAAGAAGGCTTCAATATCTTTTAACTTTAAAATCGGACCATGATGTATAGAAGATGGGAAAGCCTAGCTCAGAAAGAAGCTTCTTTAATCGTCTGGTCGTGTTTGTTATATGTAAAGGATCCGACAAGAATTCTAGGAGTCTTTCTATTAGAGTTTGCTGAGCGTTTATAATATGAAGAATGTTTATTCACTCTCATAACTCATTAGACTGAAAGTACTGAAACTTCAGAAATCAGATACTTATACTCTCATTTGCCGCAAATACAAAATCGTCAATTCCTAAAAGGAACGAATTCCGATTTGTATTTGGACAAAGGAAAAAAAATATAATATTTTTAATGAAGTCGTTATACTGTCTGTGTTAACAACACTCTTCCCCTTTGTTAGCTTTCCGACGGAGGGGATTTTTGGCGATGCTGAGATCACGGCGTTCGCGTTCCCGTCACGGCGCGCAGGCTTGCGCCGTTATGTCCGCCGTTCTCCTTCTCGCTTCCGTCTCCCTTCTCTACACGCGTCTCTCGCTCTTCTCATCTCACTCGCCGAACCACCTCCGCTCCGGCTCCGGCGAAGACGCGGTTTTGTTCCCGGATTCTCTCCTCGTCTCAGATTCCGACATCGTCGAATCCGGCGGGGGAAGAGGATCCACCACCTCAGCCGAGGATAGAATCGACGAGCACGACGACGCGATCGAGGACGACAGAAACGACGGCGTTTCGAACGAGGAAGACGAGAATCAGGACGCGGAGCAAGAGCAGGAAGTGGATCCTAATCGGAACAGCAAAACTTCTTCTTCTGGGTTTTACTTCGATCACGTTCACGGAGTCATCAGAAGAGCCTTCAACAAACGATCGATCGACGAATGGGATTACGATTACGCAGGTTTCAGCATCGGATCGGGAATTGGTGGGAGTGACGATAACTCGGGAGCAAAGAGTAAAGCTGCGTTCGGATCCGACGATGTTCCTCTAGACGAATCGATTCGAAGGAAGATCGTTGAGGTCACGAGCGTGGAAGACGCGTTGCTGCTGAAATCGGGTAAGAGGGTATCGCCACTGAGAGAAGGCTGGGGAGATTGGTTTGATAAGAAAGGTGAATTCTTGAGGAAAGATAGGATGTTTAGGTCGAATATCGAGACATTGAATCCGTTGAATAATCCGATGTTGCAGGATCCTGATGCGGTTGGGATCACTGGGTTGACGAGAGGTGATAAGGCTGTGAAGCAGTGGAGGTTGAGTGAGGTTAAGAGAAACCCTTTCATGGCGAAGAAGCCGTTGAGTGTTGCTGAGAAGAGAGTACCAAATGAGTTTAGAGAGAGTAGAAGTGTTGATGAGAGGAAGAGTGAGATCAAGAGTGGTGAACGTAAGACATTAGATGATGCTGATGATGCTAAGAGAATGGAGACAAAGGAAGAGAAGAATGTGGAATTGGAGAGGGAACATTTGTATGCAGATGGAACGAGATGGGGATATTACCCTGGATTGGATTCGAGTCTGTCGTTTTCGGGTTTTATGGATTCGTTCTTCAGAAACGAGAAATGTTCTGTGAGAGTGTTTATGGTGTGGAATTCGCCTGGTTGGATGTTTAGTGTTAAGCACCAGAGAGGGCTTGAGAGCTTACTTTCTCAGCATCGAGATGCTTGTGTAGTGGTTTTCTCCGAGACAGTCGAGCTTGATTTCTTCAGAAACACCTTTGTGAAAGACGGGTTAGTGAATGCTTTCGCCTCTATACTCCTCCATTGAGTGGTAATTTGATTGATTGATTTCTCTGTGTTTTTGTTTGCAGTTACAAAGTTGCTGTGGCAATGCCTAACCTTGATGAGTTGCTGAAGGATACGCCTACTCACGTGTTTGCTTCTGTGTGGTTCGACTGGAGGAAGACAAAGTTTTATCCTACTCACTACAGTGAGCTTGTCCGGCTTGCTGCCCTGTATAAGTAAGCTTAATCACCCTCCAAAGTCTAAACTTTATTAATCAATTGTTGCACTCTCTTACCGCTTTGGGATTGCATTTTAATGCAGATATGGTGGGGTTTATCTGGATTCTGATGTGATAGTTTTGGGTTCTTTATCATCACTGAAAAATACTCTCGGTGTGGAGGATCAAGCAGTGGGTGAATCGCTGAATGGTGCTGTTATGTCCTTCGAAAAGAAAAGGTTCGTGAACATCTATTCGTTCTTAGTAACCTCCAATGTTTCTGTCTTTATGTTTCTAAGTTTTAACCTCTCTCTCTCTCTGCAGTCCATTCTTACTTGAATGTTTGAACGAGTACTACTTAACGTACGACGACAAGTGTTTGCGATGCAACGGAGCTGATCTCTTGACTCGGGTGGCTAAACGGTTTCAAAACGGGAAGAATCGGCGTGTGACTCAACAGGAGCTCAACATTCGACCGTTCTCTGTTTTCTTCCCAGTCAGCTCACAACAGATAACAAAGTAAACTCTCTCTCTCTCTCTCCATCTATATCTATCTCTACTAGTTTTGGCCAAAAGATTGAGCAAAGCTTTTAACTTTAAACTTGTCTTGATTTTGTTGGAGCAGCTATTTTTCAATTCCTGCAACAGAGGATGAGAAAACGCAGCAAGACGAATTGTTCAAGAAGATCATCAACGAGTCCTTAACGTTCCATTTTTGGAACAGCGTAACTTCATCTCTAATCCCTGAACCAGAGAGCCTCGTTGCTAGGTTTCTTGACCATACTTGTATCCGATGCTCCGATGTATTATAAAATTCTTTCTTTTTTTTAGTAAAACCAAATCATATATATAAAGCATAGATTTTTCTCAGTCATATAAAGGACTCTCTCTCTCGCCTCTCTGCGAGAGTTAGTAGAGGGAGCCATTAAAGCTTCCATGGCATCTCTTCTTGCTAGGTCGAATAGATTCCTTCTGAGACCTTCTGAGATACCGAATTCTCTATGCTCTCTTTACTTCTTCAGATTGATCTCTTCCGACCACGAATCCGGTGATTTTTCTCCTCCTCCTCCTTCTCCTTCTCCGTCATCTTCACCTTCCCAGTCTCTAGTTAAATCGGTCTGTTCATTGGTCTGTCATTCCTATCTCCGTCAAACCCATGTCATATTATCCCCACACCGCGTCAATCTCGACCTCGACGCTAATTCTCTTACCCACGAGCAAGCGATCACCGTGGTGGCTACACTCGCGAGCGAAGCCGGTTCGATGGTGGCTCTCTGCTTCTTCTACTGGTCACTGGGTTTCGAAAAGTTCCGACATTTCATGAGACTGTATCTCGTTACCGCTGATTCTTTGATTGCCAATGGGAATCTGGAGAGAGCTCATGAGGTAATGCGATGTATGCTTAGAAATTTCTCGGAGATCGGGAGGTTAAACGAGGCTGTTAATATGGTTATGGATATGCAGAATCAGGGATTATCACCTAGCGCGATAACTCTGAATTGCGTTCTTGAGATTGCGATAGAGTCGGGTTTGATAGAATATGCAGAGAACGTGTTCGACGAAATGTCTGTGAGAGGAGTTTGTCCCGATTCAAGCTCTTATAAGCTTATGGTTATTGGTTGTTTTAGAGACGGTAAGATTCAGGAAGCTGATAGGTGGCTAAGCGGAATGATCCAAAGAGGGTTTGTTCCTGATAACGCTACATGCACATTGATACTTAGTGCTTTATGTGAGAATGGTTTAGTGAATAGAGCAATCTGGTATTTCCGTAAGATGATTGATTTAGGGTTGAAGCCGAACTTGATTAATTACACGTCTTTGATCGATGGGTTATGCAAGAAGGGGAGTATCAAGCAGGCTTTTGAGATGTTAGAGGAAATGGTTAGAATTGGTTGGAAGCCAAATGTGTATACGCACACGGCTTTGATTGATGGGTTATGTAAAAGAGGATGGACTGAGAAAGCGTTTAGGCTGTTCTTGAAACTCGTTCGTAGTGATAATTACAAACCTAATGTGCATACTTATACTTCGATGATTGGTGGGTATTGCAAAGAAGATAAGTTGAACCGTGCAGAGATGTTGTTTAGCAGAATGAAAGAGCAGGGTTTGTCTCCTAACGTGAACACGTATACAACGCTTATCAATGGCCACTGTAAAGCTGGAAACTTTGATAGAGCGTACGAGTTGATGAATGTGATGGGTGGTGAAGGTTTTAGGCCGAATATTTATACGTATAACGCGGTTGTAGACAGTCTCTGTAAGAGATCAAGGGCATCTGAAGCTTATGAGTTGTTGAATAAAGCATTTTCTTGTGGACTAGAAGCTGATGGAGTTACTTACACTATTCTTATTCAAGAACAGTGTAAGCAAAGTGACATTAAGCAAGCTCTTGCGTTTTTCTGCCGGATGAAAAAGACTGGTTTTGAAGCCGATATGCGGTTGAACAACATTTTGATAGCTGCATTTTGTAGGCAAAAGCAAATGAAGGAAAGTGAGAAGCTTTTTGAGTATTCGGTGAGTCTTGGCTTGGTTCCAACGAAGGAGACTTATACGTCAATGATTAGCGGGTATTGTAAGGAAGGTGGCATCGATCTGGCTTTGAGATATTTTAACAACATGAAGAGGCATGGATGCGTTGCAGATAGCTTCACCTACGGTTCGCTAATAAGCGGTCTGTGCAAGAAGGCCATGGTAGATGAGGCTTGTAAGCTTTACGAAGCGATGATTGACAAAGGTATTTCTCCTTCTGAGGTGGCTCGGGTCACGTTAGCGTACGAGTACTGTAAGAGGAATGATTCGGCCAATGCAATGATTCTGTTGGAACCGTTGGATAAGAAGCTGTGGATTAGGACGGTTAAGACACTTGTGAGAAAGTTGTGTAGCGAGAAGAAAGTTGGAGTGGCTGCTCTGTTCTTTCAGAAATTGTTGGAGAAAGATGGTAACGCTGATCGCGTTACCTTGGCTGCTTTCACTACAGCTTGTTCTGAGTCTGGCAAAAACAACCTTGTTGCTGATTTGACTCTGAGAATCTCAAGAGGAGTAGGCTAGAAGGGGTTGTGTCTTCCTCAGTTGCTTCGTGCTCTCTGTTTGAAAAGCTAAATCCCACATTGTGGTTCAAGAAACTATGGAATGTAACCGTTGAGGCAATCGCATGGATTGTGATTGTTGCATTCTGAATCAATTCATACCGGTTTTATCGCCGGTTAGTGGATTGGAAAGACTGAGAGTTGGATTTGGACTGTTATCACCAAAACATGACTGTGACAGTGAAATACAGTACCTTCTTCCCTGGTCTTTGGCCATTCCAGCCTTAAATGGTGGACTTTAAGCTTCTCTGTTCTTTGAAGATTATGTTCTTACTGCTGTAAAAGTACAGAGACCTTGCTGTCTGATATTATTTTAGTAAAAGATGTTAACTTTTTTGGTTTCTGAATGCAAAGCTGTGTGCTTTCTTAGAATTGTCTTTGTTCTCCGGAACCATCCAAAACTATGACAGGTGACTCGTGGGCGTGACAAAAGCAGTGACATACTTAGTCGCCAGAATTGACTCTCTAACCTTTTGGATTATGTGTATATAAAAAATGGCTAAAGATGGAACCATAAATAGCACTAAAAAGCTTGAAGCTTGTTGATGTCTTACTCCACGATCGTCAGCAACAACTGCTTCCTCTCTCTCGCTACAAAGTTCACTGCTCGTGGATCTCGTCTTCAGGTAAACATCATCGCAATTCAGTTTCCTTAATTACAATTTTCTTCGGTTTTTGTTTTGATCCGAGTATTGTTTGGATGATGCGTCAGATTCTGAGAAATTTCTAAATTTTATGTGGAAGAAAATTTGATTTCGACCTAAAAGTTTCCAACTTTTGATCCGTTATTTCCGTTATTGTCCATAAACCTCTCTGTTTGTTTCTCAAGCTGAGATTTGATCCTATGCTTTTGATTTTTTTGTCATCAGTGTACATTAGCAATGGCTCGATCGGCGGTTGATGAGACATCAGACTCCGGAGCTTTTCAGAGAACCGCATCAACATTTCGAAACTTTGTTTCAAAAGATTCCAACTCCCAGTTTCCAGCTGAATCCGGTAGATACCATCTCTACATATCGTACGCTTGTCCATGGGCTTCTAGATGCCTCTCATACTTGAAGATCAAAGGACTTGACCATGCAATAAGCTTCTCGGTTCGTTGTTTGCACAAACCCTTCACACTCCTTATCTTCATACCATTTCCTGATTGAACAGTTCACTGTTTTGATTTCCATCAGTCTGTTAAACCGATTTGGGGAAGAACCAAAGAAAGTGATGAGCATATGGGATGGGTTTTTCCGGATTCGAACACCGAGGTTCCAGGAGCTGATCCTGACCATCTTAATGGTGCTAAGAGTGTAAGACAACTCTATGAGATTGCTAGTCCGAATTACACCGGGAAGTATACTGTTCCTGTAAGTCTTTTCTTGCTTCAAAATGTTATTTTGTAAGTCTTCTTGAATCTGGAACTGGATGATTGTGACTTGTGAGTTTCGGTTTTTCATGACAGGTTCTGTGGGATAAGAAGCTCAACACTGTTGTGAACAATGAGAGTGCTGAGATTATCCGGATGTTCAACACCGAGTTCAATCATATCGCCAAGAATCCTGATCTCGACCTTTATCCTTCTCAGCTCCGAGCTAAAATCGATGAAGCTAATGAATGGATTTACAGTGGGATAAACAACGGTGTCTATAGATGCGGGTTTGCCAAGAAACAAGAACCTTACGAGGAGGTAAGTGCGATAAAAAACTGTACATATATGCTTAATTGATTCACATGAGAGAGATTTAAAAGTTTATGGTTTTTTGTTTGTAGGCGTTTAAGCAAGTGTATGAAGCATTAGATAGATGCGAGGAGATTCTTGGAAAAGACCGGTACATTTGTGGTGACACTTTGACTGAAACAGATGTCAGATTGTTTGTCACTCTTATAAGATTCGACGAGGTAAATTGATTTTAAGTTGCTAATTTCACATTGAAACCAAGAAGAAGTAAAACACATCAAGAAGATAACAATGTTGTAACTTGGGGTGCATGCAGGTTTATGCGGTCCACTTCAAGTGCAACAAGAAGCTCTTGAGGGAGTATCCGAATCTGTTCAACTACACCAAGGACATTTACCAGGTCTCCGGTATGGAGAGCACAGTGGACATGAATCACATCAAGCAGCATTACTACGGAAGCCACCCTTCGATTAACCCTTTTGGGATCGTCCCTCGTGGACCAAACGTTGATTACTCTTCGCCGCATGATCGACACAGATTCTCCAAATGACAATCTCTCTTTCAAAGATCAAATCTTTGTCACAGTGTGTTGTGTTTCTGTCTAAAGAAAGTTAGAACCTTTTACAGCAAATAAGAAGAATAAAGTTGTGTTTTTGACGTTGCAAGTGATGTCTGAATGTGAATTCTATGTTTTAAGGAAAAATCAAATAAATATATGTTACAGTTTGCAATCTCCACGGTTTAAAACAATGTTTGTTCGCAAAAGTAATTTGGTTGTTTTATGCAATTATAGTAGTGTTGGGGTTATCCTGATTACTAATTATAGTTAAGAGGGTTATTTTGTTATCAATAAACCAGTCTATACGAAATTGTTGATTCTTCAACTTGCTAACTAGACTGATTAGGAGAATCTCATGATGAATCTACATGTCCTTGTTTGTTCATGCTCAGTAACACTCACTCTCTTAGAAGAACCATAGACAGAGTCGTAACAACTTTTGTAGTCTAACGAAAAGCTTTGAAGAACTGGTGATAACTCGTGTAACAACTTTTATTGAATCTAATCTGATAAAAAAAAATTACAAAGATGTTCCTGAAACAAAAAGTAAAGAAGAAGCAAATTTCTTTCACAGTGGTCTCTTGAAAAGCCTCTGGGCTCGGCGGTAGAGTTTGGATCTCTGCTGTCATTGGTGTCTTGAAAACCCTATCTGCTTCAGGATTAGAGAATGGATTTCTTGTTGTCTTGAAAAGCCTCTCTGCTTTAAACCATTTTCTCTTGAAAACCCTCTCTGCTTCAGGTTTGAGAATGGATTTCTTGTTTTCTTGAAAAGCCTCTCTGTAGAAGAAGAAGCATCACTGTTTCTTTTTTTGTTTGTTGCTTGAGAATTGTCTCTCCACTGTTGTTGCTGTGGCGGCTTTGCTTCTCTCTTTTTCGGTTTAGCTTCTTGCGATTCCGCTTCTCATCATACGCAAGTCTATTAGCCTTGTCAGATAACAGAGTCCAAGCAGCTGAAACCACCTTAAACAAGTCCATCGCTCCACGAAACCTGTTCTTGTCCGGATGAAGCAGAAGTGCCAACTTCTTGTAACGTTTCTTCACTGTTTGGTCGTCAGCTTTAGGGTCTAATCCGAGTCTTCCATACCAATCTGATTCTCCTCCGATGTTCTTGTTCGATGCAGAGACATTAACATCGATCATCACCGAAATTTGTTCCAAACCATCGAGCTTCGGATACAAACGCTGAGCCTTGGTAACGAATTTCTTGGCTCCGACGTAATCCTTCTCTGAAAGTTTCCTCTCCGCAATATTTATTGCTCTGTTAGCTTCCTCCTTATTGCATTCCATGTCTGTCGAGATATATGTTTTTTTCTCACTTCTCAGTGTCTGTTTCTGTACGCCTAAACGCCTAAACCCACGATTTATCATATAGATCAAACAGCGTGAAGAACAACTCTAGTGCGAAGCAGAAACGGGTTTAGATTTTGAAGACGACGCGAGAAACTGAGAAAGAATCAGAATGGATAATTAGAGGACGATACAATATAAAAGCAAGAACAATATTGATTTCTCTGAATTTGTAGATTGTGTGATTCTCGATTTCCATTTTGTTCATGCCCTAGCGAATACAGGCGTCTATTTCACGCAACTTATTTTCTTTCTTAAGTATTTTAAACATTGATGGAGGGAAAAAAAAGGAAATTTTATAGGTAAAGTTGTATTATTTATTTTTAATGATAGAAAAACAACATATGTGGGCTAATCAAAATATTTGAAAGTCAAACTTTTGTTTGTTTGTTACTTTTCTATCGATTTTGTATATATGTATATAATCCATGAGAAATGTACTTGATGAAGAAGGAAAAAAACATGTGTTGTTCAAGATTCACTATTATGTCTCCATCCAAGTTCACTCCAATAGTACCATAATTCCATCCGTGATTAGAGTACAACACTTGTGAGAAAAAGAAAAAGAAAAAAAACAGAACCATATTGTATTCAAAGATTCCAATGAAAGGGTTACAATACCAACTACACAACAATGTTAAAATGTTTAAGGGAAGTTAAGACATTACACATCGACGATGAAGGAGAGCACTCTCATCTTCTTGAATCGGAACTAGATGGTTGTGAAGTGTCGGTTTTTCATGACAGGTTCTGTGGGATACTGGGATAAGAAGCTCAACACTGTTGTGAACAATGAGAGTGCTGAGACTATCCGGGTGTTCAACACCAGAATTTTAAGAAGCCAGAATTTTCGATATCACTTACTTTGTAAACTGTATTGCACAGGGAAATTGGTCTGAATTCTGATAAAGAAGAGGCTCCCGGAGTTTTTGGAATGAGAGCAATTACCGTCGCATTAACTTGCCGTAACAAAGACCCGCTCAAACGTCGTGGACCAAACGTTGATTACTCTTCGCTGCATGATCGACACAGATTCTCCAAATGAAAATCTCTCTTTCAAAGATAAAATCTTTTTCACACTTTGTGTTAAGTTTTTCTGTCTTAAGAAAGAAATTTATAACCATTTACACCAAATAAGACGAATAAGTTGTGTGTTTGTGAATTGTGACGTTGCGAGTGATGTGTGAATGCGAATTCTATGTTTTGGGGGAAAACAAAATAAATATATGCTACAGTGTGCAAAAGTATTTTGGTTGTTTTATGCAACTATAATAGTGTTGGGGTTATCCTGATTACTAATTATAGTTGGAGGGTTATTTTGTTATTAATAAACCCAACGAAATTGTTTTTCTCAGTAGACCCGCTGTAGTTATTCTGTATTCACCGCCGCTATGAACCACCAAGTAGAGCCACCGGAGAAGAAGAAGAGGAAGAGGAAGACGAAGAATTCATCACCACCACCTTCACCTCCGTCTTCGTATCCGTCGTTTTCCTCACTTCCAGACGAAATCGCCGTGAATTGCTTAGCCCGGATCCCGAGGTCGTATTACCCGACACTCTCAATCGTTTCCAAAAGCTTCAGGTCATTTCTCTCTTCCTCCGAGCTATACGCAGCTCGATCTCAGCTCGGAAGCACCGAGAAGTGTGTCTATGTATGTCTATTGGATTACAGTGATCAACCTCTTCTCCAGTGGTTTAGACTTTGGATAAACCCTAATCGAAGCCTACCAAACTCCATGATTAAAAAGAAGAAGAAGAAAAAGGCAATCGGACAGCTGTTGGTTCCGATTCCGTCTTCTAATCTTACTGATCTGTCAACTGTCAAACCGGTAGCTGTTGGTTCAGAACTTTATGTAATCGGCGGACCACTCAACCGAGCAGCGTCCTCCGCCGTGTGGGTCCTCGATTGTCGCAGTCACACTTGGCGTGAAGCCCCCAGCATGAGTGTAGCCCGGAAAAATGCTTTGAATTGTGTCTACGATAGGAAAATCTATGTTTTTGGAGGAGCGGAGGAGGAGGACGATTCATGGGGTGAGGTATTCGACACCAAGACTCAGACTTGGGAACGCCTCCCTGATCCGGGTAATGAGGTACGCAAGTGTAGAGTTTGGAAAATCAGAGAGATGGAAGGAAAGATTTACTATAATTTAGCTAGCACAAACTACAATATGTATGCTTACGACACAAAGCAATGTAAATGGGAATGCGAATGCGATGAAGACTTGATTGCAAAGGTTTCCAAGCTTCCGAGTTCAGAATATGTGAGGTCCTCTAGTTTCAGGCACTTGGGGTGTAGTGTGTATGATGTTGAGGATGGTCGCTGGAAAGTAGTGAATGGGTTAGAGTCACTGGAAGATAAGTTCAAGAGGAATGGTGGCTCAAGTGGTCATATCGCCAAAGTAGTTAGATGTGGTTGGAAACTCTTTTTCATTTGGGAAGGCGTTACGAGGAGAAATTCCTATAATAGGAAGAAGATTTGGTGCGCAGAAATAGAGCTCCAAAAGTGTTATGGGGGTGAGTTGTGGGGAAACGTTGAGTGTATTGATCATGTGCTTACCGTGCCCACGAAATGTCAGATCTTGCACTGTCACTCTGTCTCGGTTTGATTGACTTGTATCCCAAGGTATGACCATTCGTTTTGCATTCACTGTTAGTTTGTTTGTAAGATATAATTGAAAAGCATGTATCTTGTAGTAGTATCTATATACTTATCGGGAGAAAAGGTTCTTTTAATCCTCAACATTGGCAAAATGGACACAAGTTTGGTCAATGTTCCGAGTTAGGTCTTCATCATAATCTTAATCTGCACATTCACATATACGTTGATCCAGTTTGGCTCAAGCCTATGGAAAGTTTGAGTCTATTTACTTTAATGAAAAAGTTCATGCTTTCATTTATAGGATTTGCCAAAGTTGGAGATTAGAAAGTATATTTTTTTCCCTCATACATATCTGCTTTAATGTATAATATGAATGTATGTTGACCAGTTGGAAAAAGGAGAAAGAAGCAGAGGGAATAGGAGAGCAACAAGAGTGAAAGTTAATGGTAACAGTCATGTTCATGATCATGAAACTTCATTTTGTAAAACTTGTCTTTGAATATATTTTATATAATCCCTTGTTGACTAAGATTCTGATTCATTATTTTGTGTTATCATATAGTGATTTTGAGTCTTTTCTTTTATAAAGTGTAGAGATGTCATAGAAAACCAAAAGTCCTTTAGGGTTATTACTTTGGAGTTTGGACACCAACCTTCAATGAACTCTTTATCCGTCATGAACCAAATATCAATTATGTTTACCTAGTGATTGACACAGATTCTCCTCACGAGAACAAAAAACTTATTTACGATCAAAATCCTTCAAAATTGACTTGTTAGAAAGTTTTTTGAAAAGCATACATTGATCTATTTCGGCGGAAGTCAGTGGAAAGTTCTGAGTTTAATTTTGTTTGATACAAACAATTTCATGCTTGTTTTATACGATTTGCCAAAGTTTGAGATTAGGAAGTATTATTTTTTCCCTCATACATATATGCTACTATGTATAATATGAATGCCACTATTTATAAGTATTATTTTGTTATCAACAAACCTAAAAAGATCATCGTATGAAATTGTTTAGAGATAATACCAAATCATTTCTCTCCATTAACCTAGTTTTTCACACAACAAAAAAAGAAAAAAAAGTTCACCGCCATAATGAACCTCCAAGTAGAACCACCGGAGAAGAAGAAGAGGAAGAGAAAGACGAAGACAAAGACATCCTCACCTTCACCTCCGTCTTCGTATGCGTCGTTTTCCTCACTTCCAGACGAAATCGCCGTGAATTGCTTAGCCCGGATCTCGAGGTCGTATTACCCAGCACTCTCAATCGTTTCCAAAAGCTTTCGGTCACTTGTCTCTTCCACTGATCTCTACGCAGAACGATCTCATCTCGGAAGCACGGAGAAGTGTGTCTATGTCAGTGTATTGGATTACAGTAGTCTTCTTCCCCAGTGGTTTAGACTTTGGATAAACCCTAATCGAACCCTACCCAACTCCATGATCAAGAAGAAGAAGAAGAAAAAGGCAATCGGACAGCTGTTTGTTCCGATTCCGACTACTAATCTTCCTTATCTGTCAATCGCCGAACCGGTAGTTGTTGGTTCAGAACTTTATGTAATCGGCGGACCACTCAACCACGAACCGTCCTCGGCCGTGCAGGTGCTCGACTGTCGCAGTGACACTTGGCGTGAAGCCCTCAGCATGAATGTAGCCCGGGAATATGCTTGGACATGTCTCTATGATGGGAAAATCTATGTTTTTGGAGGAGTGGATGAGGAGGACGAACCATTTGGTGAGGTGTTCGACACAAAGACTCAGACTTGGGAACGCCTCCCTGATCCGGGTACCAAGGTACGTAAGTGTAAAGTTTGGAAAATCAGAGAGGACGAAGGAAATATTTACATTACTAGTAGAAACAACTGTACGTATGCTTACGACACAAAGCAATGTAAATGGGAATGCGAATGCGATAAAGACTTGGTTGCAAAGGTTTCCAAGCTTCCGAGTCCAGAATATGTGAGGGTGTTCTCTAGTAACAAGAACTTGAGGTGTAGTGTGTATGATGTTGAGGATGGTGACTGGAAAGATGTGAAAGGGTTAGAGTCACTAAAAGATAAGTACAGGAGGAATGCTGGCTCAAAGAGTCATATCGCTGAAGTAGTTAAATGTGGTGGGAAACTATTTGTCATGTGGGAAGGGGTTACGAGGGAAAATTCCGATAATAGGAAGATTTGGTGCGCGGAGATAGAGCTCCAAAAGCGTGATGGAGTTGAGATTTGGGGAAACGTTGAGTGGGTTGATGTTGTGCTTACCGTCCCCCAAAAATGTGAGATCTTGTACTGTCACGCTGTATTGGTTTGACTGACTTGTATCCCAAGGTATGTTCGATCGTTTTGAGTTCACTATTAGTTTGTATGTAAGATATAATTGAAAAGGATATAAACATGAATGTATTGCTGACCAGTTGGAGAAAGGAGAAAAAAGCAGAGGCATGTGGAGAGCAACAAGAGTGAAGGAGATAAACTAGTTTATGTTAACAGTCATGTTTACGATCATGAAACTTCATTTTGTAAAACTTGTCTTTGAATATATTTTATCTTATATAATCTCTTGTTGGCTAAGATTCTGTTTTCATTATTTTGTGTTATCATATGGTGGTTGAGTCTTTTCTTATCTAAAATGTAGACATGTCATTGAAAACCAAAAGTCCTTTAGGGTTATTACTTTGGACACCAACCTTTTTAGTCGACCCTTTATCCGTCATGAACCAGATATCAACTATTTTTACCTCATGACTGACACAGGTTCTCCTCACCAGAACACAAATCTTGTTTACGATCAAATCCTTCACACTTGAGTGTTTCTTTGAGTTATGTTGAGTTTTCTGTTCAATATTGAAAAGCGAAAACAATGTTGATTTGAAGATAAACTTCTTCGTCACCATTGTTTACAACCGCATTCACCACCTCTATATTGACCAGAAGCCAGAAGAGGGGCTTTTGTGATCCGCAACAAAACCACATTATTCGCCTCCTGATCGACACAGATTCTCCAAATGAAAATCTCTTAAAAAAAAAGTAAAAATATGTTACAGTTTGCAGTCTCCACGGTTGAAAACAATGTATGTCACTATGTCAGTTTGAAATAGCAATTGGATTGTAATGTACAGTAACGGGTCCAATGGGTGTCATGATGTCTCATCTCTCATGTGTTAGTTACTGTGTTAGTGGTGGATTTAGAAATCTTGATTTCTTGTCCTTGACAATTAAAAAAGACATTCTCTTGTCTTCGAACATGCTGACTCTTCACTTCCCATGTAATACTTTTGTTCTTAGTTAATGAGAAATTGTTCTAAAAAAACAAATCTAGGCTTTGTTTTGGTTTATATTGATGAGTTTTTATATTAAGTGTTCTTATAATATACAAAGCTAGAGGCGATATAGGCAATTTTCATATATAACACTAAAACAAGATTTTTTTTTCTCTTATACCATTTTTCCATAAGATAACATAAACTTAAAACTAATTTTAAACCTTCAAAACTAAACTCTATTCCTGTATATACTAAAACCAAACCCAAATACTGTATTTAAATTAGAATTTAAAAAAAAAAGGTTTATGGTAGATATAAAAAAATGGTATGAAAAGAAAAGAACTTGATTTAAGGAATTTCTCAAAAACAAAAGGTTTTATTATTGCAATTACAATAATCTTTGGGGTAATCTGATTACATACAAACTATAGTTAGGGGTTTATTGTGTAATTAATAAAGCTCAAAGGTCTTGGTATGATATTTTATATACCAAAATGTTTTTTCTCATTTGACCCAAAAATTCGCCGCCGCTATGAACCTCGGAGAAGAACCACCACCGGAGAAGAAGAAGAAGAGGAAGACGAATAATTCATCACCGCCACCTTCACATCCGTCTTCGCATCCGTCGTTTTCCTCACTCCCAGAAGAAATCTCCGTGAATTGCTTAGCCTGGATCTCGAGGTCGTATTACCCGACACTCTCACTCGTTTCCAAACGCTTCCGGTCACTCCTCTCTTCCTCCGGGCTCTACGCAGCTCGATCTCACCTCGGAAGCACCGAGAAGTGTGTCTATGTTTGTCTATCGTATCCCAGTCATCAACGTCCCCAGTGGTTTAGACTTTGGATTAATCCTAATCGAACCATACCAAACTCCATGGTTAAGAAGAAGAAGAAGGCAATCGAACAGTTGTTGGTTCCGATTCCGGATTCCAATCTCTCTGCATTGCCAAGTCTCACCACCGTAGCTGTTGGTTCAGAGCTTTACGTAATCGGCGGACCATTCAACCAACCGCCGTCCTCCTCCGTGCGTGTCCTCGATTGTCGCAGTCACACTTGGCGCGATGCACCCAGCATGAATGTAGCTCGGAAATATGCATTGAGCTGTGTCTACGATGGGAAAATCTATGTAACCGGAGGTTGCAAAGGAGTGGATGAGGAGGAAGCATGGGCTGAGGTATTTGACACAAAGACTCAAACTTGGGAACGCCTCCTTTATCCGGGTAATGAGCACGTTTGTAGAATCGCAGAGATCCAAGGAAAGATTTACTTTACTGGTAGAAACAAGAGTAACTATGCTTACGACACAAAGCAGTGTAAATGGGAATGTATCAAAGGCTTGATTGCAGAGGTTCCGAGTCCAGAAGATGTGAGGGAGTATTTTAGTAGAAGTTACTTGAGGTGTAGTGTGTATGATGCTGAGGATGGTGAATGGAAAGAAGTGAATGGGTTAGAGTCAGTGGAAGATAAGTACAGAAGGAATGGTGGCTCAAGTGGCTGTGTGGCTAAAGTGGTTAGGTGTGGTGGGAAACTCTTTGTTATGTGGGAAGGTAAGTACACGAGAAACAAACCCCATTGTATGAAGAAGATTTGGTGCGCAGAGATAGAGCTCGAAAGGCGTGATGGAGGTGAGATTTGGGGAAATGTGGAGTGGGTTGATGTTGTGCTTACCGTCCCCATGGAGTCTCGTATCTTGCGCTGTCACGCTGTACCGGTTTGATTTGATCGACTTGTATCCCCAAGGTATGACCAATCGTTTTGAATTCACCCTTAGGTTGTATGCAGGATATAATTGAAAAGAGTAGTATCTATGTTAACAGTCATGTTTGTGAACATGAAACTTTATTTTTCCAAACTTGTATTTGGTTTGATATATATTATATACTAATACAATTCCTTGTAGACCAAGATTCTGATTCTTTGTTTTGTGTTATCATATTGGTGAGTTGTGACGGAGTCGATGTCAAAATCAAAAAAAGTGAGTGGTGACGGAGTCTTTCTTTTCTAATAAGTATCGATGTCAAAGAAAATCCTCGAGGAATTCACTGTGGCCGCTAACCTTCGATTAAACCCTTGATACGACACGAATCAAAGTATTCTTACCTCATGATTCACACAGATTCTAAAAAAAAACAAAAATCTTGCTTCCCTCTGCTTTTAGATAAAAACGTGGAGTTTAAGATATCATGTTTTATAAGAAAACATCATTTAATTTACTACTCCTAGATCAGTATCACATCAAGAAAAGTGTTTCCGTAGACTAATGGGTCTGTATATGATGAGATCTCCAGGTGGTATTTTATCTCATTCCCATATCGCAGTTGAAGTACTTTGTATGAGTTCATATCAAAAAATTCTTTGTAAAATTGTTCTCCATATATAAGAGCTCATATCTTATTGATCTATTAACTCCACGCAGAGGAACTCAAGTATAAAATACAGCACACATACAATTATTTAATATGATTAAATGTGAAGATGTTGGTTGTATACTTATGATTATTATGGTGGCATGATGCTTTTGTTTCAGACACGGTACATTATGTTTTGAATAGCTCTCTGATCTTCAAAGAAAAGAGCACATATTCCTCAATGATCGAAACTAATAGAGTTTGTCTGAAGGTATACATATTATCATACGTACACAATAAATTATCCATTTGATGAATCATGTTAGTGCCCAATCTTCTGATCACTCTCTTTCACTGGTCTTGAAGTTCTTAACATCTTAGCAACATTTAATATCTTCTTACTAATAATAGTCTTTTGATCAAATCTGTGATTTTTTTAGACCATATGGGAGGAGGGTGGTATGTGAGCAAACATAATGTTTCCTATGCCCCTCTTGAATATCTTGAAGTCTCAATTGGACTGTATCAGCCTCTTGAATCCAGTCCCAATTTCCAAATCGGAAATCTTTGCCTAATATCATCATTAAATTAGCTTGTGTTTGCCACAAAGGTTGCTTTCAGTTCATCAAGTCTCAGTTGGACTGTACCAGCCTCTTGAACGCAATCTCCCAAACGGACAATTGGGTTAATCTTTGCCGTAAATCATTAATCATCTATAAATTAGCTTGTCTTTGCTTTAGCTCTTTAATAGTTGCTTGATCTAAAGAGGAGAGCAAATATCTCCATCTAAAATGGTATCATCAATACTGTAAACCTTTTAACATATTATTGATGTTACGGTGGTGATGATGACAGACAATCTGGTTTACCGGAAGCATATTACTACGACGACACACACGTTACACCCCCAAGCTAAATATTGTAATGAGAGCCATCAGCCATGTGAATATGTGATGATTCTATGATCATCGAAAGATCATAAAGTACATAGACAGACACAAGACTTACATTTGTAGACAGAAGTAGATATATATTGGTACACATGAGAGTTGATTATATTAAGCATTGCAATGGGTGTAACATTGGATACATGACAAGATTTCCCCTGTTTTAATTTCAAAGTACTGCACCAGAGATTATATTAAGATTGAAATGAGTGACATAAACAATTTTTAAAAACAAAAAACCCCACACTACCTAGTAGTTAGTTAAAACTATAATTTAATCAACCATATAAAAGACTTAAGGATTTAAAGAGGTAAAGTTATCAAATAACATTAATGTAAAAAATCTTATAAACTGAAAAAAAAAAGAAAAAATCTAAAGCCATTAAGTAGAGTTGCCTTAATAACATTTTACTTTGAGTAGAGTTGCCTTCAGATTACATCAAAAGCCTACCCGATTAACCCTTTCGGGATCATCCCTCATTGACAAAACATCGACTACTCTTCGCCGCATGATGGACAAACCCTTTCGGGATCATCTCCAAATAAAAATCTCTTTTTCAAAGATCAAATCTTTTTCACACTTGAGTTTTTCTGTCTTCAGAATGTTAGAACCATCTTCCCCAAATAAGAGTAACAAGTTGTGTCTTTTTCAAAGTTCAAATCCTATGTTATGGAAGAATGAAAGGTTTCTATATAATCTTAGGGTTATTATAATTACTAATTATAGTTAGGGTTTTATTATACTCACTTGACCCACAGTTTTCACAGAAAACAAAAATTCATAGCGGCTATGAACCTCCAAGTAGAGCCACCGGAGAAGAAGAGGAAGAGGAAGACGAAGAATTCGTCACCCCCACCTTCTCCTCCGTCGTTTTCTTTACTTCCAGATGAGATCACCGTGGACTGTTTAGCCCGGATCTCTAGGTCGTATTACCCGACACTCTCAACCGTTTCCAAAGGCTTCCGGTCACTTCTCTCTTCCTCCGAGCTCTACGCAGCTCGATCTCACCTCGGAAACACGGAGAAGTGTGTCTATATCTGTCTGTCGGATCCCAGTCATCAACATCCCCAGTGGTTTAGACTGTGGACTAACCCTAATCGAAATAAGAAAAAGAAGAAGACAATCGGACGGTTGTTGGTTCCGCTTCCGAATTATACTCTTCCTTCACTGCCAAGTCTCACCACCGTAGCTGTGGGTTCAGAAATTTATGCAATCGGCGGACCAGTCAACAGGGCACCGTCCTCCGCCGTGCGGGTCCTAGATTGCCTCAGTCACACTTGGCGCGATGCCCCTAGCATGAATGTAGCCCGGTCATACGCCTGGACATGTGTCTACGATGGGAAAATATATGTTTTTGGAGGGGAGGAGGACGAACCATGGGCTGAGGTATTCGACACAAAGACTCAGGTTTGGAAACGCCTCCCTAATCCGAGTAAGGAGGTACGTAAATTTAGCATTTATAAAATCAAAGAGGTCGAAGGAAAGATTTACGTTGGTTATTTTGGAGGAAGAACTGCTTACTACACAAAGCAAGGTGAATGGGAATACGGTGAAGGCTTGGCTCTAAAGATTCCGAGGTCAGAATTTGCGAGGACACACTTGTTAAGACGCATTACGTTTCTGTTTTGTGCTGACGAGTGCTTGTGGTATGAAGTTGAGAGTGGTGCTGGGACTAAAGTGAAAGGGTTATTTTGTGTTATCAAACTTGTGATCGAGTCTTGAAGATATCATATTTTTATAAGAAAAAACATCATTTAATAGCTTTTTCAAAATATAATTTTCTCAATCATTTTTTTTCTAGAATTTAAAGAGTTAAAATATCAATCTACATAACTAATAAGGCTTGGACAATCTCCAGCCTGTGGCGAGTTGCAGCCTGCAATCCGAACTGAGGACGGGTTTTTGGAGTTAGCTCACCCTCGCGGGATCGCGACCCTTTGTCCCGGCCATTGTAGCACGTGTGTCGCCCAGGGCATAAGGGGCTTGACACATGGCACTCTCCTTTTTTTTTTTTTTTTTTTCGCCTAACACCAAAACGACGTCGTTTTGCGCTTTATTTTTTTTTTATTTTTTTTTCGTCTTACACCAAAACGACGTCGTTTTGCGCTTTATCTTTTTTTTTTTCGTCTTACACCAAAACGACGTCGTTTTCGTATTTAAAAAAAAAAAAAAAATCTAAATCAAAATTATGTGTAATGCTGTTCGTTTTGATGGGCTTGATTATTTATCGGACCTCTTCGTTTCCATGGTAGCTTTAAATGGGCTTACTGGCTAATTAGCTCATTTCATTTCCTTTTAAAAAGGATTGCAATTATTATTATCTATGAGTCTGTAGGATAATAATCAATCTATAATGATTGTTAGTATAAGGAAAATTAGAAGAACTCAACTCAGTCGATAAATTATTGTATAAAAGAACAAAAAACATATGAAACTATTCACTATGAGTCTATATAAGATTTCACGTAAATAACAACTAAATTTTAAAACTATATGAAAAAAAAACAAAATGCAAAACTTACAGAATCTAATATATTCGAGTAAAAAACAAATGATATATTCGAATCTAATGTTCTGAATAATTAAATTAAAAATATTTGGTTTAATAAACCCGCGCATTGCGCGGGTTCTCTCCTATTTAACATTAAAATTTCCATAAAAACTTGTCAAAAGTCTTATAAATTGAAACAAAAAAATTCCTACAACATTTTCAATTTTATTAGAATAGACGGATTAATATTATTTAAGCTCACATCTTTCACAGTTGACTTGAGTAGTGTTGCCTTCCGAATACATAAGAACCATCTTCACCAATAATAATAACTTCAAGTTATTAACTTGTGTTTAAAACATTTTGACTTTTGAGTGATGTTGAGTTTCTATGTTTTGAGAAAAATGAAAAAAAAACAAAAGCTTTATGCTCGATACGTTACAATTTGCCGACTCCACAGTTGAAAATAATGCTTGTTTGAACATAATCTTCTTCGGCACCAACGTTGTCCAGTTGGGGAAAATAAAATCTTTTTCCTTCTTTTCAAACTGTCACTGAGTAAACTTTCTTTGCAAGATATCAACATTGCAACTGATGTGTGAATGTAAATTTTATGTTTGGGGAAAAATAAAAGCTTTCTGTTTCAACTATAACACAGTTTGCAATCTCCACGCGTGGGTTGTATTAGGGTTTCAAACAGTATTTGTTTGAAAAAGTAATTGGGTTGTATTTTCCATTACAATAGTATTGGGGTTAGCCTAATTACTAGTTATAGTTAGGGGTTATTTTGTTATTACCAATCCTTAAGGTTGTTTACATACCAAATTTGTTATTACCAAACCTAAAAATTCACCGCCACTATGAACCTAGAAGTAGAACCACTGGAGAAGAAGAGAAAGACGAAGAATCCATTGCCACCACCTTCTCCTCCGTCGTTTTCTTTACTTCCAGATGAGATCACCGTGGACTGTTTAGCCCGAATCTCGAGGTCATATTACCCGACACTCTCAACCGTTTCCAAAAGCTTCCGGTCACTTCTCTCTTCCTCCGAGCTCATCGCAGCTCGATCCCACCTCGGAAGCACCGAGATGTGTGTCTATGTCTGTCTAGCTGATCGCAGTCGTCAACATCCTCAGTGGTTTAGACTGTGGATAAACCCTAATAGAACCCTACCCAACTCCGTGACCAAGAAGAAGAAGACAATCGGACAGTTGTTGGTTCCGCTTCCGGATACAAACCTTCCTTCACCGCCAAGTCTCACCACCGTAGCTGTTGGTTCAGAAATTTATGCAATTGGCGGACCAGTCGGCGGAGCACCGTCCTCTGCCGTGCAGGTCCTCGATTGTCGCAGTCACACTTGGCGCGATGCTCCCAGCATGAATTTAGCCCGGAAAGATGCATTGAGCTGTGTCTACGATGGGAAAATCTATGTTTTTGGAGGGTGCGAATTCAAAGACGAACCATGGGGTGAGGTATTCGACACAAAGACTCAGACTTGGGAACGGCTCCCTGATCCGGGTTATGAGGTAAGTAAGTTTAGGGTTAAAAGAATCAGAGAGGTCGAAGGAAAGATTTTCTATGGTAGATTTGAAGAAAAGAATGCTTACGACACAAAGCAAGGTAAATGGGAATACGGTAAACCCTTGGTTCCAAAGGCTCCTAGGTCAGACGTACACTTGTTAAGACGCAATAAATTTGCCTTTAGCATGCACGGGTACTTGTTGTATGAAGTTGAGGGTGGTGACTGGAAAAAACTGAAAGGGTTAGATTCACTAGAAGATAAATACAGGAGGAATGGTGGTTGCTTTGGTTCAATCCCTAGAATAGTTAGTTGTGGTGGGGAACTCTTTTTTATTTGGGAAGGAGGGTGTACTTGTAGGAAGAAGATTTGGTGCGCAGGAATCGTGCTTGAAGAGCGTTATGGAGGTGAGATGTGGGGAAACGTTGAGTGGGTTGATGTTGTGCATACCGTCCCAACAGAATGTCGGCTCTTGCGCTGTCACGCCGTATTGGTTTGATTGACTTGTACTCCAAGGTAAGATCAATCTTTTTGAATTCAGCATCAGTATGTAGGATATAATTGAAAAGAATATATAGTGTGGTAGTATCTATGTATATACTTATAGGGACAGCTAGTTCTTTTACTCCTCAACCATTGGCAGAAAGTTCTTTGAAAAGTTTGAGTTTGTTTAATGATAAAATTTCATGCTTCTTTTATGAACATGAAACTTCAATTTCTCGTCTTTGGATATATTTATGTAATCCCTTGTTGACCAAGATTCTAATTCAATATCCTGTGTTATCATACTGGTAACTGTGTCTTTCTAATCTTTTTTTTTTTTTGCGCAAATTGAGTACTTACTATATATGGACCCTAATCTTTAGTGTAACCTTTATCCGTTACGAACCGAACACCAACTATTATTACCTCATAATTGACACAGATTCTCCTCACGAGACATAAACTTATTTATGATTAAATCCTTCACACTAGACTAGAATAGTGTTGCCTTAAGAATACATAAGAACCATCTTCACCAATAATCATGACTTGTGTTTAAAACATTTCGAGTGATGTTGAGTTTCATGTTTTGGAAAAAATTGAAGAAACGCAATTTCTGTTCAATATGTTACAATTTACAGTTGAAAACAATGTTGGTTTGAACATAATCTTCTTCGACACCAACGTTGCCGTGTGAGTTGGTTAACCACCGTGTATCTGAGCGTTCACAACGAAAGAAATGTTTTAAAAAGATAAAATATGTTACAGTTTGCAATTTCTACGGTTGAAAACAATGCTTGTTTGAAATAGCAATTGGGTTGTATTATGGCATTACAATAATCTTGGGTTATCATAATTACTAATGATAGTTTGGCGTTATTTTGTTATCAAGAAATCAATTAGGTCTTCGTATGTTATTGTTATATACCAAATTGTTTTTCTCGCTCGACCCACTTTTCACAAAAAGAATAACCGCCGCTATGAACCTCCAAGTAGAACCACCCGAGAAGAAGAAGAAGAAGAGGAAGAGAAAGGCGAAGAATTACTCACCACAACCTTCTCATCCGTCGTTCTCTTTACTTCCAGGTGAGATCACTGTGGACTGTTCAGCCCGGATCTCTAGGTCGTATTACCCGGCACTCTCAACCGTTTCCAAAAGCTTCCGGTCACTTCTCTCTTCCACCGATCTCTACGCAGCACGATCTCACTTCGGAAGCACCGAGAAGTGTGTCTACGTCTGTCTATGGGATGCCAGTGAACAACTTCCCCAGTGGTTTAGACTTTGGATAAACCCTAATCGAACCCTACCCAACTCCATGATCAAGAAGAAGAAGAAGAAGAAGAAGAAGAAGAAGAAAAAGGCAATCGGACAGCTGTTGGTTCCCATTCCGTCTTCTAATCTTACTTATCTGTCAATTGCCGAACCGGTAGCTGTTGGTTCAGAACTTTATGTAATCGGCGGACCATTCAACCATGAATCAGCCGTTCGGGTGCTCGATTGTCGCAGTCACACTTGGCGTGAAGCCCCTAGCATGAATGTAGCCCGGAGATATGCTTTCAAATGTGTCTACGATGGGAAAATCTATGTTTTTGGAGGGTGCCAAAGAGTGGATGACGAACCATGGGGTGAGGTATTCGACACAAAGACTCAGGTTTGGGAACGCCTTCCTGATCCGTGTACCGAGGTACGTAAGTTTAGTGTTGATGATAGAATCAGAGAGGTCGAAGGAAAGATTTACTTTGCTTGTACTAGTACTACAAACAATACGTATGCTTACGACACAAAGCAATGTAAATGGGAATGCGAATGCGATAAAGACATGATTGCAAAGGTTGCAAAGGTTGCAAAGGTTCCGAGTCCAGAATATGTGAACGTGACCAAAGTCGTGTACTTTAGTAACAGTTACTCGAGGTCTGACTATAAATGGTACTTGAGGTGTAGTGTGTATGATGTTGAGGATGGTGACTGGAAAGATGTGAAAGGGTTAGACTCACTGTCAGATAAATACATGAGTAATTGTGGTGGCTCACGTGGTTCAGTCGCCAAAGTAGTTAGGTGTGGTGGGAAACTCTTTGTTATTTGGGATGGGGTTACGAAGAGAAATTCCTATAATATGACGATTTGGTGCGCGGAAATCACGCTTGAAAAGCGTCATGGAGGTGATATGTGGGGAAACATTGAGTGGGTTGATGTTGTGCATACCGTCCCCAAAGAATCTCAGCTCTTGCACTGTCACGTCGTATCGGTTTGATTGCTTGTATTCCAAGGTATGATCAATCTTTTTGAATTCACTATCAGTTTGTATGTAGGACATCATTGAAAAATGAAAAGCATATTTTTAATCCTCAACATTGGCAAAATACACACTCGTTTGGTTTATGTCCCGAGTTAGGTCTTCATAATCTTCCTCTGCACTGCACGCACATATGCATTGATTCATTTTGGCTGATCGAAGTCAATGGAAAATTTTGAGTTTGTGTACTTTAATGAAAAAGTTCATGCTTCTTTTATACGATTTGCTTCCAACTATAAAGTATATGTTTTTCCCTCATACATATATGCTAGTATGTATAATATGAATGAATTGTTGACCAGATGGAGAAAGGAGAAAGAAGCTGAGGCAAGAGGATAGCAACAAAAGTGAAAGAGATTATATTAGTTGATGTTAAGAGTCATGTTTGTGATCATAAAATTCATTTCGTCTTTGGATATATTTTCAGTATCACTTGTTAACTAAGATTTTGATTCGTTATTTTGTATTATCATATTGGTGATAGACTCTTTCTTTTCTAAAACGTAAGGATGTCAAAGAAAACCAAATATCCTTAAGGTACCACCATGGCCTCTAACCTACGATTAACCCCTTAATTAATTAGTCAGGAATCAACTATTCTTACCCATGTTTGACACAGATTCTCACGATAAAATTCTTATTTAAGATCATATATTTCACGCTTGACTTGAATAATGTTGCCTTCATAATACATTTTGAGCGATGTTGAGTTTCTATGTTTTGAGAAAAATAAAGAAAAACTTTATGTTCAATATGTTACTATTCGCAGTCTCCACATTTGAAAACAATGTTTAACCACCGCTAAATTGGACTATTGGACCACAGACTGGAAAAAATAAAGAACAAATTGTTTTTAGTTATAACTTGTAAAGTCTATTTATGCGATGATCCCAAATAACTTTCCTTGGGGTTTAAGTATTGTACCTCGAAAGTCGAAACTCCTCAAATGAGTTACTGATTTTTTTTCTCAACTAATTCTCAGTCTTGCGTTATCCATTTGAGATATATTTCATTTTTTTAATAATTGATGATTGGACCAAACTATAACACTTTAACTTGTACGGCTTATTTTCCAAAGTTTGTTTATTACTTCATCCTTTTCGTTTTTTTTTTCTCCAATCATACAAAAATTTCTCACCAAACCCTAAATTCCCCGAAATTGGGTACTACGGATTTCGTCATCATCACCTTGAATTCACCGCGCTATTGATTCTCAACTATGGCTATATTGCTGGAAGAGATCATTCGATCAGTTGAAGCCTTTCTGAAGCTCAAGAATTCGAACCAGAAACCATACGTGGACCCGAATCTAGACCCGGTTCTTCTGGTCCCCGGAATCGCCGGCTCGATTCTAAACGCCGTTGATCATGAGACCGGTCACGAAGAACGCGTTTGGGTCAGGATCTTTGGCGCCGATCACGAGTTTCGAACAAAGATGTGGTCTCGATTCGATCCTTCAACTGGTAAAAAAAATGTCTTCTTTTGTCTTCATCCGCATTTGATCATTCATAAACACTGCAATTAGCTGAGATTAAGACTGTAATTTTGACTTTTTGCTCATGGTATTGAGTTTGAAGATATGTTTATTTAAGAAAGTTATAAGCTTTGCTTGTTAAAAAGCTCTAAGCAA